TTTTATGCCCCTTTTCTAGAGCCTCACTTACTGTTTTCTTCGTGCTTGTTCTCGAGCACTTCGTTAGAAGTTGCACTCCCACTCTCGACTATCCAGGTCAGAGCTTTTAGTCCAAACGTGTTACTCCCATTTGGCTTCCTACTACGTGGCACCCTTTTAGCTCCACTTTTAGGGCTTTGGGATTTGTGTTTCACAGATTGATGTAGATATGTTTTTCATTAGTTTTGCATTATGAAGTTTAGTTTCTTGATGTGTTGAGAAGGATATTATGGGTGGTACTATGATTTCTTCTTTAGTATTAAAATTAGTCACGCAAAACTTGTGAACATTTTGGACAAGACATAACTATAGGCTTCTTTGAGTTTTTTGGTTCTTTGAGTTTTTTATACTCATTATTCCATTTGTTAAAAGTTGTTAGGGAAGGTATTTTGGCACATTACTTTCGATGTTGAAGTTGGCTTTTGCATTTAGCAATCATTGGTGATGATTGACTATCATCTATAATAGTTGATTATCCTTATCAAAGGTTTTGCTTGATTGTTATTGATATCGAATGATTTGCCATTCTTCGGGATGGTAAATTTTTTCTTTGACAATGATTATGCATCTTTTCATTGATGGGATGATTGATGATCTTTCATGATGGTTAGTTGTTCGCTTTGATGGCTTATGGCTTTTCACATTATCATATATTCTTTGTGATTTGCTTTGGATTGGTATTTTGGGTTTAAGATATCAGTAGGATGTTGCTAATTCTTGCTTGAGCAACTTTGGTTCTTTGGTATTATTGATCGGGATCTATTCAGATTGGCTAATGCAATAGTTAACATAAATGAGTGTTTGTTGGTTTTACGGCATTCACTCTGTTTAGTTGATTGTTACTCTAGTTGGTTCTAATAAATTGAATGTTATTACGTTTGTGATACATTTACAAGCATCTTGCTTGCTAGTCAATGATACTTTGTGCTTTTTGAGTTATCTTTGGTAAAGCTTTTGGCATACTGTCTACAATCTTTGGTAGTTAAGTTTTCTCATTGAGTTTACTTGATAACATACTTGCTATTAAAATTTGTTAGATGGTGAATCCAATAATTTTCCAACTATAGTGATCTTGGTGGTTCCTATACTCTAATACTTGTTTATCGGATGATAACTTATTTTGGAATACTTTTGTGTTCTAATTGAAGATTTATTCACTGATAATTCAGTCTTTAAGATATCATTGTCTATGACTTTGATATTGTCCATCTATTGATCTTTGAATTTCGGCTAATATAGGCAGATTGGCTTTAGCACTTCATGTGCATGGTGAAATCTTTAGTCATAGAGTAGCTGTTGTAGACTGGTCACACCACCCGCCTCTCTGTCGATGTTCGTTATTCCCTTGAAAGGGCATGACTGTGTAAACAACTCTAACTGCCTGTTTATAGTAGTTTATCTAAACCTTATTGACAAATTTGGTTTCTTTGCTCAGGAGGGTTGGGGCCTCTAGCTTCTCTCTCTATGTCCCTATAGGTAGGGGTGTATCACACTTTTGTAAGTTGGGTGACACCCAGAGCAATAAGGGTGGCTAACTCCTTTGGTCATTTCCTTGTCGGTGACGGTTGGAAAGTGTCTGAGTTAGTAGCACATCTGTGTTATACAAAGAGGTTACCTTAACTCATTTAAGTTGGTACATTTATCACATAGTATGATCACCATGAACTTTTTCTAGGATTGTTTCCTTGGTGGTGGTCTAGACTCAAGTATGTATTGACAAGGACGTCAATCTTCCCTAAGGGGGGGAGAGTGTTGCAAATGTGACATTGGGTATCAAAAATTATCTATTAACTGTCCTTTTGGATATTTTTTCCTTATTGCTATGATGGCAAGAGGTCGGTATTGTTGGACCTGTTATTAATCTCCACCTAAGCTAATTAAGAAATTAATTTTCATGTGTACACTTGACCAAATGAGCATAAAGATGGAATTCCTAAATGCTATCAGTCAAGCATACTTAACCTGGCTAGAGAAACTCATTTGTTGACTTGCACTTGCTAGTGTTGGGAACCCCTGAAATATTAAGTTTGGTCTCTCAATATTTGCTAAATGATAGTTTACCATGTCTGCCAAACACCCTTGTTATCATACCCTTTATATTAGTCTCATTCTGGTCCCAAATGCTGTTTATGGAAAGTGTTTAAATTTACTAATTTGGCATATCTACGGAATGTAGAGATTGTTTTAAACATAATGGTGTTTGTTCTGTGACCAAATTCGCAATATAAAGACATTCCATATTTAGTAAGTTTCAAGCTTGTACCAAAGACTAACTCCTGGTACTAAGGGAGGCTTAGGGTGATGTAGCGCACCTTATCTCTCTCCCCTTAAGCCAACTAAAAAACCAATTATTCCATGTGAGGCAATTAGTTATCCACCCGTACCATAGTCCTAATTGGAAAACCAATTATTCCATGTGAGGCAACTGGTCATCCACCCGTACCGTAGTCCCATGGTGGACACCTTCGTCTGTGGATGCTCCACCAAGAGGAAGGACGTATGTATGGATGCCCAATACATATGATTTCAAATTTAGGGGTAAGAATATACCTTGCTCAAGGGTATATTATACTTTTAAGTAGCCACTAATCAATGGGAATTGAACCTGTGCAATTTGCTCCGATACCAACTGTAGTGCACATTATCTCTCTCCCTTTAAGCCAATTAGAAAAGGGGCAATTGCTTGATGAGAGAGCCCTTAGTGGCTATTTTATCCCTATTTATCCCCCAAGGTTCCAAAGATCCATGGTGACAATATAGCCAAATCTCATCCCATAATCACATGCGTTACAGATGAAGCCCAAAGCATGTGTTCCTTAAGGTTGGGGGCAGGGGGTTGTGGGGGGTTTGAAACGTATAGTAGGGATAGTGGGTAAGTCAAGTATGGCCGACCAACCTAAGCCATAATTTAGCTCCGCTTGCGTGTCTATCCTTGTTCTGCATTTGGCTTAGGTCTAATCCCAAGTTCCATACCATGTTAGTTGGTGAAGTACCTATATCCTCGCGTTAAACAATCAGTTTGGTGAAATAGCGCCAAACTTCATTTGGCTCTATGTTGCATGTTAGTTCTAGCATTGGGATGTTGGATACTTTAGGATTGTTCCAAGTCATTTCGTGCTCCTGTCCCTTCGCTTCTTGGGATATATACTTGGGAGTCGTTCCGTACTCCAGTGCTATTACTCCTTGGCTTCATGCTTCGGAGTTTGGCTCCGTTCTTTTATTCAGTGGACCAAGGCCCTGAAACTTGGGTTTCATAGCACTAACATGGAAGGTCTAGGTTTTGCTTCATAATTGTCCTGTGGTAAATCATCATAGAATAAAGGGTAAAAACCATATGTGCTATAGTGTGGTACTAGGATGACCACTCATGGATAGATTGCTTAATCTTTTAGAGATAGGACAAGGGCATGGGTGGTCTTGGATTACCAATGGACAAGGGATGGCTTTAGCGTAACATATTAATATGTCAGTGGTACCTTTAGGGTGTTTGTTATAGAATTAGACATATAGAGCACTTGAACCAAGTGCAAAGGCTGAGTGGCATAAATACCATTTATGGGCTAGCATGTCCCCAAGTAAAAAATAAAACTTACAAAGGTTGTGAGTAAGATTCCTTCAAGTGGTTAAATGTGTGCTTAAATGACTAAAGTAGTTGTTCCACTAAAAGTTTTACACTTACATATCACACTTTGATGGTTTAAGTTATATTTTGTCTTTTATATCCAAAAAATTTGATTTTTACTGCTTTGTATTGCTAGAGATCTACTTGATAGAGTGATGTTTGAAGATCCTAAGAATTATGTGAATAGTGTAGAAATGAAAACAAAGATCAAATATTTATAATGATGTAATAAAGTGATGTTTTGTGAATGTCAGTGGATGGAGATGAAAAGGAAGATGTAGAGAAAGAAGAAAAAAATAATTTGAAAAACCAAAAGAAGGAAAGAATTCATTAAGAGTTGAATTTACTTTCATAATTGCTATGAGCTGTTAATGCTAAGTTTTGGATTAATATTTGACGAGTATTCTTCCACTAATTCAAGTAAAGTCTGCCAAACACTTGGGCCGTGTATAAGTGGGATAACAATGGCGTTACAACTTCCATTATCATCCATCTATAGAGTATAAAATGAATGACTTAATATTAATTTGTTTTCCCAATCTTATAGTATATGGTTTGTTTAAAAAATTTATTGCTCAATGGAAGGGACCACATCAAATGTTATGGCAAGTTAGACTACAAGTTTATAATGTTCAATAGGCTAATCCTCTAAAAATTATACATGTGCAATGGATAAAACACTTCATACAAAGGGATCGACATCACTTACAAATCTAGTGATGCCTCCTCTTTATGATCCTCTAGATCCTGATCTGTCCATTAGAGAACCCTAACTATCTTCTATAATTCCAAGAGGAGAGGATGATATGAGGTCTAAATGTATAACTACTATATTATATGTTAATATAGTATAGTGGGATTTTGATAATTGCTGAATTATTTTCAATCCAGACCATTTGCTTTTGTATATAAACTAAGGTTTTTAAATTAATTAATATGCACATTTTTGTAATGCACTCATACTGTTTTATTATTAATCTTCATTTATATGCTTATTTCACTGACTTGCCAATCCCTGTATATTACCATCATGCTTGCTACTTTATTACAGGAGTTCCTGAAAGATGAGGGAAACTCATAGGCTCAAAGAGAGTGGCCTTCGTCTTTACACATATCCTGGTCATGATTAGAGGCTTCAAGCTCATTAAAGACTGTCTTTGCTAAGTTGTTTTTGGCAATAGCATTATTCTTTATTGCCTTTGAGATTTTGTTAAGACATACAAACTAATAAAGATGAATTAAATATTTCTAATCTTAAGGCTTTAAATCTGTTACTCTATAATCGGTTGGTTGTGACAAAAAACATTTGCAGCAGTACAAGGAAAATCTGTAACTATATGCATAGGGTTTAAGGTTAAAGCGGGATTTTTGAGCCATGGCACTATCGCCATGGCTGCCAGCTGCCCGGATCAAAACAAGGCGGCATGGCTCTTCGATCAGTGCTTGTATCACTGTGACAACACCAACCCAGAAGGTAAGGCTAGGAAAATCCAGTGTAGAGGTTTCTCCTGTCGGGATTGGGGCTTGGTCGTGGGGCGATACAAGTTACTGGAATGAAGGCACTTGGAATGGTAGTGATTCTTCTTTCTTCATGCCGAGTTGTGTGGATTATCACTCTTCAATTACAGATAGAAAGTTGAGAGATGCCAAAGAGGCATTCACCGCGAGCGTGGAAAGTGGTTTGGATTTCTTTGATACTGCAGGTGAGCAATTTTGCTGGTTGATCACAATGGTGTGTTCAATTCTCTTTTTTCGTTTGTCCAGAGGTCTATGGCTCCAAGGTGGAATTCTCTGTCCCGAGCTAGAACTTTACTGCTAAACCATCTAACTTGTCCAACTCCAGTTTGCATCTGGTGCTGTAAATTCTGAAACACTTCTAGGAAGGTAAACAAGCTTGTCTTCTATTTTTCAAGTTTTCCTCTTTCTTCCCGCAGGTTTATCAAGGAGATCAAACAAGAAGAGCAATCTAAGATTGTAGTGGCAACGAAGTTTGCTGCACTGCCATGGAGGTTTGGCCGAGGGAGCGTTGTCAAAGCACTCAAGGATTCTCTGGAGCGTCTCAATCTTTCGTCTGTCGATTTATATCAGCTCCACTGGTATGGCACTTTTAACTTGAAAGACGCTCTAAACTTCACGTCTAAATTAAATGGCAGGCCAGGCATATGGGGAAATGAAGGTGGTGTCTTCTTTCTTTCTTTTTTTCATTTTTACTCGTTTTCTAGTTTCTTTGCTACGTTGTATTTGTAACAGGATATCTCGACGGTCTTGGTGACGCTGTGGAGCAAGGACTCGTAAAAGCCGTAGGAGTTTCCAATTACAAAGGTGTGGCATTTCTACTTTGGAAACCAATGTAAATCCTTGGTTTGCTTCCAGTGGACAGGCTTAAGAGGGCTCACGACCAGCTGAAGAGACGAGGAGTTGTCCTGGCATCGAATCAAGTAAACTACAGCCTGATCTATCGAAAACCAGAGGAAAACAGCGTCAAACAAGCCTGCGACGACCTGGGAATCACACTCATAGCTTATTCTCCGATCGCTCAAGGTAACTTCCAGGCACATGAAATAAAAAGATGAGGATTCTCAAACATCTCACAGGTATCTTGAGCGGGAAATACACGCCATCAAATCCACCAAAAGGACCCAGGGGAGGAATCTACAATGCGGAGTTCCTGTCAAAGGTAATAGCTACTATTCTTTTTCTTGTTTGTAGTTTTGAACTTTTTGAAACTTCCTCAGCTCTCTCCTGTGCTAAACAAGCTCAAGCAACTAGGAGAAAAGTATGACAAGACATCCACACAGGTTTTTTTTTTCTGGTGGAGCCTTGAAAGTCACATAACTTACGCAAAGTTTTCTCGATGTTTAACTTTTCCAGGTAGCTCTCAGTTGGCTGGTCGCACAGAAGAATGTGGTTCCCATTCCAGGTGCCAAGTCGGCACAACAGGTACTAAAAGAAAAAAAAACAGAAAAAAAAATTTCATATTGTTTTTTCGTGGCTAAGTAAAGAGGCATCTCCACTTATCAGGCGATTGAAATCGCGGGGGCTCTCGGATGGAACTTAACAGCCGACGAAGTTGAGGAACTCCGGGACATTGCAAAGAGAGTTTCTCCAGTGGTTGGATTTCCCGTCGAGAACCTGTGAAGGCTTCCTCGTCTAGTTCTTGAGAGAATCTAAAGCTTCTTTCTCTTGATAGAGTGGACTCAGTACGCTCTAGATATTGAACTTAGAAACGTAACTACGTATGAACAAATCTCGTGACTGTTGCCTAATAAGTTAAAACACACAGCTCTTCCTGGAAGTTCCATTGGAATTGGTCAGGTCACTTGACGCGGTGGCGGCCACCATTCTATAAAATCCTGGGAACAAAGATCTCTCCACGTCTGTTGCTACTACGCAGGCCATGGGAAATTCGCTGGGGTGCTGGAGCAGCGACGAGAGATTAGCGCAAATTCGAGGAGTTACCTTTGTCAACAACACTGGCAGCACGATCCAGCTAATGGAGAAGAATCGAGAGGTGTACGGAGGCTTGTTGTGTACTCTGGAGGCGCAGGCCCGTAGCGCGAAGCTAACTTATCCCAAGAACCAGCTCTACTATGCCATGGCGGTCCTCGCGCGGAGTGAAGATGGCCTGGTAATACCAACAAATCTGGCGGTTAGTTCCAGGGACATGGATTCTTACAGCCAAATCACAGTCTCTGTGAGAAATGGTGCTTACTTTCTCCAAGGCGTGAAGAGAGATCCTAGACAAGTGCTCGCTTCGTGATCTTGACGGGATAGTGGTCGGCGGGCCTTGGGTGTGGGAGATATACGAGCTTGTAGTGTGGATTCAATGGCTCCCAGCTGTGTTGGTGTGTGTGAGCCTCGCAATGCAAAAGATGGAAAACGTTGTGCTTACTTGTATTTCGTGATGAGATGGTGGATGATGATGCTGCTCTGGATCTTGGAGAGGTTGCTTCCGGGACACTTTCGATTGCCCAAGCCGAAGGCAACGTACGTATGAGGCTGAGGCTTCTCGTTCTTGACACGGAAACTTCCGGTTAACGTAGGGAATACGACCAAAGAAACCAAACGCTTACAATCCAGCGGTCGGGATCAAACTCTCTCGGGTTCTTGTGCACGAGGGGATCCATGTGTACTTGTCGTAGCCACGCCTCTACGAACCATCCTCTCGGGATTGTGTAGCCTGGTGAATTCGTTGGTCAAGTATATATCCTTTTCAAAAGCTCTCTAGAAGTTTACTCACCGTTTAGCTGCACGTCGCTAAGAACTTTCCGAAAGACAAACGGGGAAATGTTAATCAGCCTCAGGGTCTCATCAATCACCTTCACAGAAAGTCAGCGGTCATAAAGAACTCGAAGAAACTTTAGCATACTCTAGACATGTAAGTCATGCTCCTGATGTCAGCTAGTGTAAGGCTTTCGCCAGGCAATTTCTTGAGCGCGATTTCATCTTGTTCAGCCTGCAAACAGCACTGAGAAAATATTCATACTGAAAGCTAAATGGATACCTTGAGTCTTTGGTAAACAGCAGGGTGCTCTTTCAGGAGGATGGCCAACCAGGTAACGAGATGTGCCGTGGATTCGTGCCCTGCGTTCATAAAAGACATGATCAAATCCACGATTTGATCATCTTCTAGAGGTTGACCGCCCTCGTCTGTGGCGTCCAGCAGCATGGACAAAGTATCTCCTCCTCTCTTCCTGCTTTTCTTTCTTTCGTAGAATATTCGCCAGAAGTCATTTGCCAACGTTGCGCGTGCCTGGTTGAACCAAGCACAAACTTAAGACGGAGAAAGAAGAAGAAGAAGAAGAAGAAGAAGAAGAAGAAGAACCTTGACAGCGTTACTGTAAGCAGTGCCTGGAAACTTGAGTGGTAAAGCACGCAGACCCTTGTTCATGGTGTGAAACAGTCCAGACACCTGTTTGAAATCAATCCCTGTATCCTCTCCTACTAGAATCTCGTGAATAGTTTTCAACGTAAACTACAGAAACGACAGAAACAAAAAGCAGGTTAGAATTTTGCGGATTGTTTTGAGGCTCGCTCACCATTCTTGCTTCATCTAGAAAGACGATGTTGCCTCGATCCGCCCATTCGTCTAGCAATTTCTTCACGTTTTCTTCAATGCAAGGCATTTGATGCTGAATTGCTTTCGGTGAACTTAAAGCCGGCTTGACCAGTTTGCTGAGCTTCAAATGATCGTCGCCCGTCACTGCCGAGAGAACCTTCAGTCCCAGAAGGTCTTTCACCACTCGCTCTGGCCATCCGATCTCAAAAACATCATGGTTACAAAGCACGGTCTTACATACTTCTGCTGATGTGGCCAGAATGGTAGGCTGCCTGAACAAAAACGCTTTATACAGGCCTCCACATCCATACCTGCAAGAAAAGCAGAGGTTTTAAAAAGAAAAAGGAAATTAACACTTACTTGGAAATGAAACCCGCTACAAAGGACTCCGGATTGCTTGACTTGAAGGCCTGTAAGAAATCCCCCATGTTTCCGAAAACAGGCCAACCAAGCGAACCTGGTGGCAATGGTGGCGATCCAGGTCTAAGCTTCGGAGCATAAAACCAGCTGTTGAAGTTGAGAATGCACGAGATAAGGACGATGATCAAGGCCACTGCCATGGAAGGAAGCCAGAGATCCATTGCCTGCATGGCTGCACACAAGCGTCTTTTCAAACGCTTAAAAGAGCTAAAAAATTTGGTCGCATTCTCTTATCGTATCAAACTCGAAAACTTTAGATTGCTACCTGTTTGGATTGGCGCGGAATCTAAACTGACGTGTAAGCTCTTATTCGCAGAAAGGAAAGACCAAAAAGTATAGGTCAGGTGTCAATACATCACAAACGTGAGATTTGAAGCGCTGGAGCATCCATGGAAATTCTTATGATAACCTGGAGACAAAGTCATGAAATTAGTGCGCATCATTTCAATCAAATCGCAATACCTTGCCAACACTTTTTCCAGAATGAAGGTACTCCACAGCATCACATGCAGAGCTTAGGCCAGTAAAGGGTGTTGGATCAACTGCAATCTGCAGAGAAGTAGGTTGTATTCTCGCTCAAAGAGCAGATAAGCACGATACCTTTAGCTTCCCCCGACTGTGTAAGCTATGAAGTTTCGCAACGTGTTCTTTCCAAAGCTTATTGTGATGCATTAAGTAGAATCCAACCTGGATAACCTTGTTAGCAAAGCAGCATTATGGCAGCACTTGCTTACGATGGTTTGCGATTTCCACAGCAACTTCTCGCAAAGTCCAGGATAGTTTCTCGGTTGCCATCCACCTTCTCCTTGATACTGCAAGAAAGCGTTTTCATATGGCGGCTAAAATACAACATTAACACACCTGTGATATCATTCCTATGACGATCAGACGTCCAAAAGTTGCAAGAGCATTCAGGCATGTGTCAAACATCGTCCCGCCAACAGATTCGTAGACAAGGTCTACTCCACGTGGATATTCTTTCTTCAAAACCTGTTCATCTGTTAGATACTCCATAGCACTTCTTACATACCGTTTTTATGTCTTCCGCTTTGTAATCTATAACCCTGTCCACCCCAAGCGACGAAAGCAATGCAGCTTTGTCACTTCCACCACAGGTGCCAATCACTTTATTGCCTGCTAGTTTTGCCAACTAAAATAGAAATCAAAGAACTATCACTTGTAAGTACTGATAAAAGCACTACCTGTACAGCAAATTGTCCAGTTCCTCCAGCTGCAGCAGTCACAAGAACAGTTTCACCTGATCTCATCTTGCCAGCCTGCAAACGGGATGGCAATCAGTCTTTATGTGGAAAGCTAGCACCACTACCTCTTGCAAACCAAGAGAAGCCGTCAGTCCAGAGACAAGTATAGCCACAACTTCAGGAGTTGGGGAAGGAACAGGAATGACAGACTTTGCAGGAACCTGCAAATCTAGTTAGAACAAAAATTTCACTTTTCTTTTGCTAAACCTGTGAGTATTCTGTAAAACCCCCGTAGCTAAAGGTTGCAACAGCAGATCCTAGCGCAATCTCATCTAGAGCTACGCCAGGTCCAATGCCTGCAACCACTCCAACGGACTGCAAAGCGCACAAAAGAAAAACTTACATAGAAATCTAATAAAACTTTACCTCAAAGCCAGCAACAAAAGGGAGGCGCGACAATGCTTCTTTCTCATTTGCAAAATAACGTCCAGAGCTATAGTTCACCTGAAACATAAGCATATGTAAGATAAAAAAAGAGTTGCACGCTTACTTACATCACTTGCATTCACACCAGCATAGTAGTTCTTTATAAGTACGTGGCCTTCTCTCACAGGAAGTCTTAGTGGTACCGTGACGATTTTCGTGGCCACACGAAAATTGCTGCTCAGCTTATGAACCATCCTGAAAACAGCAATTGTAGAAACAGGATCATAATATAAAAAATCACTTACAGTTGATCAAAGGACGTAGGCAGATTTGGAGACGGAAGTCCTTTCGATTCTTGAGGGATTCTTTTTCTTCTACCGTGTACCAGGAACTTGTTTTCCTCTTCTTCTGAAGGCCAATACTCCGGACCACGCCTGTTTGTTATCCAAAGACAAACACCTCCTTTGCTATCATCTTCAATGAGCTGAAAGGCCCCTGAGGAATAAAAAAACACGACGTTGCTTCTGAATAGTTAAATATACACCTTACCGTGAATAAGCTTGTCCATTGATAGATAACCTCCGGTTATGTCTATTATTTTCCTATCCAGAGACTTCGCCATTGGAGTCTCGATAAACTGGAAGCTAGCATGTATGTCAAAATCGAAAAAAATTGTAAACGGTGCACTGACCTCGGGACAGAGCGCGTTCACTCGTATTTTTTCTCTGCGAAGTCTTGATAGCGATCTCGTAAACAACACAACACCACCTAGAAAAATGTAGTGTTTCGACAGTAAAATGAAATGCGACCACCTTTTGAGCTTTTACCTTTACTTCCGGAGTAGATTGGCATCAGGGGAGCCGGATATAATCCCGCCGCAGATGCCAGGTTTATGATCACTCCCGGTTGTCCCCGAGCTCGCATTGCTTTGACCTGTAAAGCCCAGTAAAAGAGACTTTAAACTCTATAGCCATGGATGAGCTCGAGCACAAACACACCGCTTGCCGGGTACACTCCACAATTGCCACAAAATTCACATCGATCACTCGCCTCCACGTTCCTTTGTCATCGTTTATAAAATCAGAATTGCCTCCAATCCCAGCAGAGTTGATGCAAACATCGAGTCGTCCAAACGCTGAGTGGTGCTTCGCAAACGCGAGAGAAAGTTCCTCTAAAAGAGCGAAGTATTAGTACTTGACATAAAAATGAGCAGTGTGTGTGTGTGTGTTTGAGCATACCAGGTTTTGTAACATCGCACTGGACAAAAATGGCCGCCGTGCCCGAGATGCCGAGCCTGGAATGGACTTCCTTCACTAGATTGAGCGTCTCGAGGCCATTTCCAGAGTCGAAATCGACAATGGAGACACTGGCGCCCTTCTCAGCGAGCGCAAGCGCTAGCGCTCGTCCTAGACATCGCAAAGAACAAAAGATCGGCCGAAATCCAGGCATGGAACACGAAATTTACCGATTCCAGAGCCAGCGCCAGTGATGAGCGCAGCGTGTCCAGCTCCGATGATCATCCTTGCGGAAATTTTCGCGATGGCGACACGATCGCGATCGCTACCTAGGGCTTGCTAGAGAAAGAGAAATTATATATTTGCGGTCATGACAAATAGCAATGTGTTTTAGCTAGAGGAATCTCTTAGCATCAAACGATGCTTCCTGGCGCTTGCTGCCTAGAAATGCGTTCTTCTTCCCAATCCCTTGGAAGCAGTGGCCAATAGCACGATGAATCACCACGAAGAAATCCCGCTCTCTCATCTCAATCAATCCATGGCCAGCAGTAGCAGCAATGGCCAGGATCGCGACGAGGAAGCTCTGCTAGGAGGCGGCGGCGTCGATCCATTCGAGCAGATCGCAGGCAACAAGGCCCTGAGGCTGCGGCTGGATTTCTGGAAGAAGGAGGAGGAGGTCGTGAATCAACGCATCGAGCGCAAGGAGCAGCGATTGCAGAGCGCCAAGAACGAGATCTATCAGCTCCTGGGGATCTACTTCGTGTTCCAAGGTGTGATTCTCACCGCCCTAGCCCAGGCGAACGATCTCTCCGAGAAGTGGCGCTGGATCCCCTTCGTGCTCTCGACGCTGGCGTCCATGGCCACGATTCTCGCCCTCGTCTATAAGCTGCGGGATTGCTCGGAGCTGGAGCGCCAGATCAAGGGCGAGAAGCTCATGTCCAAGGCGCTGTTCCAGGCCAGCGACGATCTCAAGAGCATGGGGAGCGCATTCGATCACAAGGATGTCCAGCGCCAGCCCCACATTACGCACAGGCCGCAAGATCGCCCCAAAAATCTTATCCCCAGGATCTGGGAAGATCACATGAAGGCTTACGGCGCATTGCTAGTAGTGATCTTGCTCATCTTCTCCACGATCATGGGAATTGCTTGCTGGCAAATCACATCGAGCAAAAATTGAAAGAGCGCTGCTATTAAGTTCCGATTTTAGGGTTCTTGAGCACTAAAGCATATTCCTTAACGCTCAAAGAATATTCTTCGGAGGTCAAAGAAGACGAGTTCGTCTGTGAGGGTTTGATCGCTCGCTTCTAGCACAATGCTGCGCCCCAGTTTCGTTATCCCGGTCACTCCAAGTGATGAATCGAACGCTCCTCCTCAAAATCTCACCCCTGGCACCGATCCTTACGCGCAAATTGCTGCAAATCCCGCACTTAAGCTGCGTCTGGAATTGTGGAAGAAGGAGGAAGAAGTCGTGAACCAGCGAATCGAGCGCAAGGAGCAGCGCCTCCAGAACACCAAGAACGAGATCTATCAACTTCTAGGCATCTACTTCGTCTTCCAAGGTGTGATTCTCACTGCCCTGGCCCAGGCCACAAATTTGCCCCAAAGTCGCGTATGGATCCCTTTCGTTCTCTCGATGCTCGCCTCGCTCGCCACAATCCTCGCTCTCATCTTCAAATTGGAGGATTGCGCAGAGCTCCAGCGCCAAATCGCAAGCGAGAAGCTGCTATCCAGGGCCCTGTTCCAGGCCAGTGACACGCTCAAGAGCATGGGCAACGATTACAACCCCACGGATCTCCAGCTCTTGCCCCATCTCCAAAATCCCAAGACCGTGGATCGATCGCAGCTTTCGAGGATCTGGATCAGCCACATGGAGGGATACGGCGCATTCCTGCTAGTCATTCTGTTCATCTTCTCCGCGATAATGGCCATCTCGTGCTGGATCATCCACAACGACGGCTCCTCAGAACCCAAGAACTAGTAACCGTCCGATAAGAAGGTTTTACGCCGTCCGATCGGATTATAAAAATCATGGACAATAATGACCGGGGCTTTTAGTAGGGTTTATAATCCGAGCAATCGGCCATTTTCTATACTCACGGCTTTCTTTAGTATCGCTTCGAAATTTCTACGATGATCCATCGGCGCCAGCGATCCGGTAAGAAATCCATGGATTGCGAGTGAGCGAGCGCCATTAGGAGTAGAACTAGCGCCATTGCGAGGGCCAGGGCTCACACAATCAATGCGCGAGTCGAAAGGTTTCTATTCTTCCAAGTAAGCTCTTGCCTGGCATGATTGAAGCTTGCACTTTCAGTGGATTGATAGCACCTGCATTGTGCCGTGAACATAAAGTCGCAAAGTTTTTAAGTGGAGGGGACCAAAAAACCTGGATGAAAGAGGGATATGCGCTTCCATATCCTGCGATCTTCACAGGTGTGCTTCCGGAGTGACTTTTCTTTTGTTCTCTCTCTCTCACTGTTTAGGAGAAATCTCTGCTTTCTTTGCGGCTAAGTTGTCCTTGTTTTCATTCTATAAGGTGTCGTATTCCCTTGTGTTGTTGAGTCATCTTTTCTTGTGGAAAAGTCGGCTTGAGCTCGTGGAACATTTAAAGTTTTGTGCTCCCTTGTTTACATTGTAGTTCTTCCCGACTCGTTTCTAAATCTAAGATTTAGTTTTGCTCCAGGAGTGGCTGCTGGTCTTTGCTCCAAGTTTGCTTGCACCAATCCAAGATCTGAGGAAGAACAGGTGGTTTTTTCGGCGCTCGTCTCATGGGAAAGTATCCGACAGGTCCTACGAGCTGTGTTGATGATCCATCCTGCAGTGTTCTCATCACCAGCGTCACTCAGACAGGCCCTTTGATCGTCTACGCGTTTTGGGCTTTCGTTATCAGCTGCTGCTCGGCATTTCAGCTCTGGAAGTTCTTGAAGCTGCGAAGGAATCAGGTGCAACCTTTAGTCCTCCAGAGGAACGGGAAAGGCGAGAATTTTTCCTCATCTGATAGAAAACCGGGAGAAGATCATGTGGTGAATGTGGAAGAGGAGAAGGAGCTCCGAATCACTGGCTACACTTGGTCTTATTTTGGAGAGTTCTGCTACTTTCTCTGCTGCCTGACATCGCTTCACTGGATCCTGCTCCACTCGCTCTTACTTTTCGATGCATACAATAAGTGTCAAGTCGGTGGTGTTGATAACTTGTGCTTTTATGGGAATTATTCGGTGTTCGGGAGTTATGACTTCAATGGAAAGGTTCGCAAAAACTTTTTTGTTCTCGATTGAATCGTGGTACAACTTTGCCCTCTTGTTGCAGATCTTTTTCGTGGTCTGGTGGCTCTCGGCCATTTGGTTTACAGCTTGGGTAATATTCAAAGGCCGAGTAAGATTTTGGTTTCGAATTCCTTGCGGTCTTGAGTCTGCCGGAGTCGTCTTTATCTGGACCAGAGAAAGCGAGCAGATTTTGTCGACAAACGACTTGCCGCTCGTGCACTACGTCCGTTACTTTCGAGTAAGCTTGACAACTTCTATAATATAGAGTGATTCACGTATGCTAAATTGTTCAATTTTGCAGAATTTCCTATCAACTTTTGAAGAGTTACATGGTCATTCCGAGATTGTCAAAATACTCACTACAAAGGCCGGGCAGCGGCATTTTTTCTTTCAAGGCCACAGGTTCTTGATCAAAGGCGAAACTGTGACAGACGTGCACTTCAAAGTTGGGGAGAGATACTCAGATTTCCTCAAGGTTTTAAAACTTTATTTATATTGCACTGTATCGTTGCGTCTAAATTATTTTTCTTTTCCATTGTTTCCGGTAGGAAGCCGAAGGTCTTACTGAAGGGGAAGCTGAAAAGCGTTTAGAAGAACTTGGTCCAAACGAAATCCCGTTTAAACCAGAGTCCCTCTTCTATTCTATATTCGATGAAACGTTCACGCTCTTTAAAGTGTATCAGCTCATTTCCTACATTTTGCAGTTCTGGAGTAGCTACTTATTCGTTGCATCGCTCATGATGTTTATTGTGGCACTGAGCGCTGCGATAACCATTTACAATCGACGTCGAGGCCAGTTCATGATAGCCAAGGTAAGCGTTGTGAATCAGTTTCAGATGGTTGGAAAACGTCCTTTTTTGTTTTCAGATCACTGAGTATGATACGCAAGTTGAAACTCTGAGAAGCGGTCAATGGATAAACCTTGCTTCGCGAAACTTGGTACCCGGGGATGTTATCAAGCTCAAAAGCGGCTGGGTGCTTCCATGCGATCTACTGATCATCAAAGGTTTGAAACCGTCTGTTTCTCGATTTTTAACTAGCTTCGAGCAGGCTCCTGTGTTTGTGACGAGAGTGCTTTGACTGGTGAGCCCATGCCAGTGCAAAAATACGCTGCTCCCAACACCGACGTGCAGTATAAGGCCGATGGCCTTGGCTCGCGGCATACTTTGTTCTCTGGAACTACTCTACTTCAAGCAGGACAGGGCCATGATGATGCTCTCGCAATTGTCACGGAGACAGGTATATGTTTTTGCCATGGTTTTTTCTTTCACTATGGAACGCGTTTTTCTGTGACCCAGGTATGTCAACCTCCAAAGGCGAACTGGTCGCGACGATTTTGTACCCTCAAAAGCTCATCTTCAAGTACGATGAGGAGCTCCAAATCGTTGCCTGTCTTCTTTTTATCTACGCTATCGTATGCTTTGGTGTGTCCATAAAGTTTCAGGTATATATTCATGTTTCACTATATGAAATCATTTTTGCAAACTGTTTGTCTATTGTGGACCAGAACATGAACGGACAGCAGAGTATTTGGGTGACAAAGTGGATCTACTGTATGTTCATCATAAATCAGATAATGTCGCCACTATTGCCGGTCGCTCTTGAAGTTGGACAAATTCACGCTCTGGAGAGTTTAAAGGCACGCCTTCTTACCTCCTGTTTCCAGTTCCTTATGTTGTTCTTTCAGAAGCGTGGGGTGTTTTGCCTCAATCCAAAGCGCATAGCTATCGCTGGGAAGATACGAGTTTTCTGTTTTGACAAAACTGGGACATTGACAAAAGAGGGACTCGATTTTGTTGGAGTTCAGAGTGTCGTCACTAACTCCTTTGGACCAGTTTTATCACTTGAAGGGGGTCAAAGAATTGATGATATTGTTTTGCATGGACTTGCCACATGTCATGCTGTTACAAAGTTCGGAAAGGACTTGGTTGGAAACCAGGTTGAGGTAAATTTGTAATTTTCGCAGAAAAGCTTGGATGATCTTTTGTGTGATAGGTGAAAATGTTCTCAGCTGTGGGATGGAATTTGATAGAGTCCGCAAACAGTCCCCCAGTCGTTTCAGATGGTTCCGGATCACGGACCTTTAGAATCGTGAGACGAAACGAGTTTGATCAATCGAGAGCAACAATGAGTGTTGTTGTGGAGGACAACTCTGGAAACTTTCACATCTACTGCAAGGTTCTTGCGTCTAGCATTCGTAAACCTTCACTCATCAATATTTCCGTTCAAGCATGGCAGGGTTCTTTCGAAAAGATTAAGGAGCTGAGCAACGCTCAAAGCCTTCCAGCGGACTACGAGGACAGAGCACGGCTTCAAGCCCTGCAAGGTTGTTATGTTCTTGGTTTAAGCTACAGGTGCACGCTGTTTCCTCAGTCTTTCATGTTTTGCAGCTGGCTTTTTATACTGTTTTCTTCCAATGGCTTATTGCTGAACCTTGCAGATATCTTGGCCGAGAACTGGGATTTGAAGACATGTTAGCACTACCAAGGAATGAGTTGGAAAAGGACCTGAATTTTATATCTCTGGTCTTGTTTAGGAACGAGCTCAAGCCGGATAGCTCTGCAGCTATTCAATCTCTCAAAGCTGGAAAGGTACGTTGTCTATATTGATTCCGCTGGAAAACGAAATGCTCCTGGTCTACAGGTTCGTCCCGTGATGGTTACCGGTGATAATGCTCAATGCGGCCACTATATTGCTAAACAATCTGGTATGTTCTCATCTGACTGTAAGATACTACTGGGTGATATAACGAACGACAACAGGTTAGTCTTATTCTTTATGAAAGATCTTTCTAACGATAGCTTTGTCTCTGTAGCGTGGTATGGTCTTCATTGAGTAGTGAAGTGACAACGGGTATAAGCCGCATGACCACCGAAGAACTTCTTCAAAGTAGAGCGAGCTCACTTGAGGATGGGACCTTGGAACTTGCGGTTACGGGTAAAGCTTTTAATCGCTTACAAGAATCCAAGAGAATGGACGACTTACTTCTTTACACACGAATCTTCGCAAGATTCACTCCTTCCGATAAGGTTCATCTTGTTCCCTTTGATAATAGTCTCATGCAGTTGTGGACTTGCAGGAGAAAGTGGTAACTATGCATAGAAACCATGGCCTAATCGTGGGAATGTGTGGTGACGGTGGAAACGATTGTGGAGCGTTAAGGGCCGCACACGCCGGCATCGCTTTAAGTGCTGCAGAAGCATCGGTGGTGTCTCCATTTACTGCCCGAAACAAATCGGTCAGTTCAAGCTTTTTTCTGAAACAATCGCGCAAAGTTGATGTTTTCTTTGTAGGTCCAAGCTGTGGTAGATTTACTACGTGAAGCGCGAGGTGCTCTCCATACGTCATTCGCATGCTACAAGTTTCTAATTATTTATGGCCTCCAGTTCTCAATATTCAAGCTTTGTTGTTATTGGTAAGCTTGGACTTTCGAGATCTTCCCGACGCTTAGCGCTTTCAATCCAGGTTTGGGATTATAGCCTGCCAAATGGACTACATATTTATTGATGGCGTAGCTGTGCTCAGCCTTGGTTATGCCATGTCTCGGTGCAACGCTGAAAAAATACTCAACAAGGTTCTTACACTTCTTACCTTGAGTGTATGAAATGTTTAACCGTGGTAATGACAGGTGAGGCCTACTTCCAGTTTGCTTGGACCTTTAAACGTAGCATCGGTGCTGGGGCTATGGGGAAGCAACGTTGTGTTCCTGGTGGCTGCAATTTGTTTCATGGCAAGCCAGAAGGATTACGTGAGATGGCCGGCACAGTAAGTGATTGGTTTTGTGAAGTTCGTGCTCAAAATCTCGTTTGTTTCAGATACTCTCGTGGTGCAAGCTGGTGGACGCTGGGTGACAACTGGGAGTCCACAGTGTTGTTCTTCACAATGTATTTCCAGTTCATCACGTCCGCATTCGTTTTCTCGTTTGGCTCCAAGTTTCGAAAGACCGTATTCAAAAACTTCTCTTTGATGGTAAATCTTCTACTTTCAAGTAGTTTCAAGTACTTAAGTCTTTTCCGCGCAGGTTTCGTACTGGTCATTGATCGCTGTGTGCTCTTGTCTATTGCTTCTTCCTCACAACAAGTTCACGGAAGTATGGCACGTTGCAAGCGAGCAATTCAACCGTGCAAACCCCGCCTCTCCAGTTTGGGCGTCTTACCAGGTAAAAAAACTCTCATTCTTTCCACAACTAAATCATATCTCTTCGTGTTTTCTTCCAGAAAAATGGTGGACAGCCTTCGCCGGCCATGAGCTTTGATTTCCGTTTCAAGCTATGGTGGATCATTCTCGCGAGTCTCGCCATCAATATAGCTTGGCAAAAGGTTTGAAGTTTTCCATTCCAGAAGAGAAGGAAAAAAAATCTCACTTTGCGTTCCAGGTCGTAGTGGAAGGCCCACTGGCACGGATTTTAGCTGCGAAGTATCCCTCAAAGCGGCCAAAGCTACACATATAGAGTATATTCTTAGAATCGCCAAGAATGTACGGTACCAGAAATTTATAAATCTCAAGGGCAAGCGCCATCCTGATTTTAAGATTTAGGGCTTTGTGGAATGGCGCGGGCGATGGCGATTTCGGCTCTACCGGCTGCGCGTCTCTCGAGAGTAGGCCTCTGGATTCCTCCCACATTTTTCTTTTCTTTCTGCGAATGGGATTGGATTTAGCCAGGCTTGCTCCGCTTCTGACAAAGACAAGCTCCAAATTCCCGCTGCTGCTAGTGTCCCCGAGCTCAAGACGACGATCTTACGCTCCGTGTCTAACACAAATCGTGGTAAGGTGAGCTTGCTCTAGATTTTCTTTCCTGATTTCTCTTCCACGCGACCGCGACTCTTTTCTTTTTGTGGATTTCCTTCTTCTTAGGATGCAACGAGTGAGCAAAAGCAAAAGATTTTGTCACTGGTGGAGGTAAGAAAACTTTTGTGGTGTGATTATTACGTTCTTATTCTCTTTTGTCTAGGAACTAGAGCGTATGAATCCCACTAAAAACCCAGTAAACTCTGATCTTTTGTCTGGAACTTGGGCTTTACTTTACACGGCTCCACTGAATGGTATGCTTTGCAAGCTTTCCAGGCTGCTAATTCTTGTTCTGCCTTTCCACGCAGAAGAAATTGTGGATAGATATGCTGGCACCGAAGAGGGCCCTTTTCTTTCAAGAATCAAACCACTGGCATTTGGAACTATCAAGCAAACTCGAAGCTTGCAGGTAGTGTTTCCTCATTTCTTGTTGGCAAGCCTCTTTTTCTTTGCGTGCAGATTATCGATTCCATCAATGGGAGCGTGAAAAACATTGCAGACTTTTCCTTTCTTGGGATCAATGGTATAAAGTTCTTCTATTCTTTTGGTTCTTTTCCTTACGATAGCTTTTGATCCTCACAGTTTAAAGCTGTGCAGGTTCTCTGTGCATAAACGCAGCAGCCGTAAAATCTTTGGAGCCTGACACACAAGGCGTCCGTCTGCTCGTCACGTTTGAGAGCTTTGTGTTGACGATCAACAGGATCCGAGTTGCCACCATTTCTCTCGCGTTCATCAAACCAAAGGGGTAAGAAAGCAGCTTAAACCAGGATCTTTCCGTGACTTTCTTCTTGGCTTGCAGATGGGTTGACACTACGTACCTGGACGACGATATGAGAGTCGGGCGTGGTGACAAAGGATCCATTTTTCTTGCCGTGAGAACGAAAATGGTCCCATCACTATAATTTCGATCCAGGTGATGCTCCATTCCATTCTCGGTTTTTGCAAAGGATCAACTTACGAGCTGCTGCTATCAGAGACTCGAAGATCACAGTGACTGCTGCATTTTGCTCTCCGGATCTTCTCACATTGCTGGAGCTTAGAAAATGATATCGCCAGGCTGATCAAAACATTTGTACCATGGAAGATAAGAAACAACGCCGGCTGGATAGCTTTTTTAAAGTGAAGCAAGTATATTCCAAGAATCGCCAAAACTGTACGGCACAAGCCGCGTACGGCAGCACTCCCGTACTATCTTGTACGGAGTGCTCTGTTTTTAGGGTTCTTCAAAACTTTCTCTTGAACTTCTTGACGGCGAATTGGCCGTTGCGGTGCGCGGAGACGACGATCCGGTCGTGCACGGCGAGATCGTCGGTGTCGATGAGGATCTGGGTGTTCCCCTCCTCGCCGCTGGTGTCGGTCTTGGCCAGGAGCCCCATCTGGTAGTACGTCATGGTGCCCACGAGGTCGGCGGGGACGATCTGGGCGGAATTGGGGAGGACGGAGTGGCGCAATCGCCCGAATTGGTTCTTGTGCTTGTCGCGGAGCAAAATCGTGTGGGCGGTGTTGTTCACGATCGATGTCGTGCCCTCCCTTTGATCATCGCTGAAAGAGCTGGAGCTGGAAGAATCGGAGCTGGAGCTGGGACTGGAATTGGATGTGGAATGTCTCTCGCAGATCGAGAGTGTCCTGCTGTAGGAGAAGCACCTCATGATCCTCCTGGAGATGAAATGGAAGGACACCTGGTTCTCCTTCGCTTCTTCTTCTTACATTTATATCGTGGGGAAATTCTTTAACGTGTTGCGTGTTGCGTGTTTCTCTCCAACCACGAAGCTACCGATGCGTAGTGTGACAATGTCACACGCTTTGACGAATCCATGACCACTGTGACCTTTAGGGCACACGTCATCGAGATTTTCCCGCTACTTTCTTCTAGGGTTCTTCGCGTGGCGGCATTCTCCATCTCCGTCGCATTGCTGTCGCGATTGCTACATTCGCAAGCCGGAGAGCGATCGCCATCGCCGCCTCCTCCTCTCAAAGGATTTAGGGCGAAAGGCAAGTTCCACACTGCCAGTGTCGCCGTGGTGAGCAATTTCTCTTCCTTTGCGGAATCTCTCTCAGGGTGCTTCTTATTTCTAAGATTTTCGGTGTGGAGAACTGCTATTTGGAACAATCGACCAGCTTGCAGGTAATGTTTAATGAATTTCTTTGTCTTTTGGAGAAGTTCTCTTCATGTTTGCTTGCAGATTGTGGATGCGGAGCCTGAGAATTATTACAGAGCCTTCCTTGAGGATAAAAGGTATGGAGTTTTTTCTTTCTTTCTCCGTTTAAAAGAGATTCTCTCGCTTTTATCTTTTATCAAACCAAGGCACAAGCAGAGACATTCACGGTTGATCAACACTACGTATATGGACGAAATATCAATCCAGGTGATGCTCTATATGCATGGAATTCCATTCGATCTATTTACGCTTGCAAAGGATCAACTTACAAGCTGCTGCTATCAGAGCCGTGAAAGCTACGGTCGCGGTGACAATGGATATCTTCCATTTCACCGTCGTTTTCCTCGCGGGAGGAATCATGACTGGCTGATGCTCCAGATTGTTAGGATCATAGTCTGCTCCAAGTCCAAGAAAGCGCTCCATCGTCCGCGCTACGGCTCTCGAGTTGGCCTTCTCGAGATTAATCTCGTGCCGAATCTTCTCACATTGCTGGAGCTTATACCAAACAGCAAACGCTACCGCCATGCCCGCGAAGATGGTCAAAACAAAAGGGATCCACCAGAGTCCACACTCGAGTTTGGAAGACTGGGCCAGAGCAGTGAGAACCACGCCCTCGAAAACCACAAAGATCCCAAACAACTGGTATGTCTCGTTTTGAGTCTTTGTTAGCGACTGCTCCATTTGCTCGATTCGTTCTCGCAGAAGCTCGTCTTCGTTCTGCCATAGCCGGAGCTGGAGCAGCAATGCTGGACTGGATTCAATCTCGTGCAAGACATTCCTCGCTCTCGCAGGAGTCGCTGAAGTAGCACCTCCACTCCCAGGTATTTCTTCTGAACTGAAACTTGACCTTGGACTTAGAAAGGTTTCAGCTTGAGTTCTTTCAGGAAGTTCAGTAACTCGATTACTACCTGGTTCGTCCAAGCTAGGAATTTCGTGCTCCACTTCGCCAGAAGTACTTACATTCGTGAAATTTTCACTCATATCGTTGCTCTCGAACAGGGAAGAACCAGGATTGATCGCCTGTGGAGGAAAAGTAAACGGCTTGACGTGCGAGACGGCGATGCGTGCAACGACGCAGCACGTCTCGCGAGTGTAAACAAAGCTCCCAGTGTTTCTTCCGGCTACCGTACACGTCTTTTGTTGGTTTCGTCTCTTCCTGCAGAGTAAGCCATCTCTTTTTTTCTTTCATTGTTTTGGTCTTCTCCTTCGTCTTCAAACGCGTGCTCTCATCACTAACGTTTGACTGCAGCCTCTAGCGGACGATAGGAACAAAGAAAAGAAAAAGAAAACAGAGGCTCTTTTGGGGATGGGAAATTCTTGGAGCTGCTGCTGGAGCTCCAGATCGCGCGAGGCAGACGAGGCGAGCGGCGAGGACAAGGTCCCCAGCGTTTTAATCCACAACAATACGGAGAGGACGATTGGCCTGCGCGACAAGGAGAGGGAAGTCTATGGCGTGCTGAGGTACAAAATCCCCGCAGGCGCGAGAGAAGAGATTAGCGTCGACTTGAGAGAGGCAGGGACTTACTACCGGATGGCCGTGCTCGTCATGGTGGACGAGAAGAACGATAACAAAGTGGAGCCGACGCATCCGCCACTGTTCATCGACACGGAAGATCTCCACACCCAAAAGGTAATCACGATCTCTCGAAAGGGCAACAGGTATGTGCTCGAGAAGGAGGGCCGAGCTCACTTCAAGAACGGCAGTAAGAGCAACGCCGGAGTGTCCAAGCGGAACTCCTCGGCAGAAAAGGAGGCCTCTTGATGGGAAAAGAAAGTAAAAGCTTCTGATCATCGATCGATCGATTACTCGTTTTGAGAGTGTTTTCAGCGCCGCGTGTTTTTTTCCTTTCAAGGATCATGTCGATCTCAGTGAAAATGCTATCCAGGCCAAGTTTATAAATAATCATGCTTTCATTCTAAGAATTCACGTTGACTTGGCGAGTTTGACTCGTTGACCATTCGTTGGCTAAACGGCGGGAAGATCTTTGATTTCCGCAGGGGAGTTTCTTCGTTTGATCTAGAATGGGAGCGGACCAAGTTCACGCAGAGGACCTGGATTCCAAGAAGTTTGGAGCGAGTGGGGAATCGCCAAGCGAGAAGAATGCCTGGAAGTGTTTCCCATTCAAGTGGAGCGGGAATCGATCGAGCTCGAGCAAGGAGAAGAAGGCCAAAGCTAAGGAAGAGGTGAAATTAGAGAGTAAAACAGCGGTAATTGTTCCTTATTTCACCGCAGGAACTAAGTTCGAAGAGTTCTTTCTGACAAGCAATAAGTGTTAATCTCGACTGCTTAACTGTCAACTGAACAATGGCGTGATGGTAGCGCACCTGGCATCATATAAGAAGGTTATGTGTTCGAAACTCTCCAAATATTTGTTCTTGCCGAGAAGCCCTAAATAGATTTTTATCCGGACTGGGAGGAAAAATGGAAGCCGGAAGAAGCACTAGTAAGTCACAGAGCAAGAAGAGCAAGAAGAAAACGGTAAGCAGTGTGATTTCCTACATAGTTACTCAGTCTTATATTTTTTCCTGTCTCCGTTCAAGGCTGAAATGGAGTTTTGCCCAACATGCTCGAGCTTGCTGCTTGTGGAGCACGCAGCAAGGCTGAGGTATTTCTGTCCAACTTGTGCTTACATTTACAACATCGATCACGAGGTTCTTATAACTCTATGAGATCTTCGCTCCTTTTAACGCGTTTTCTCCTCCCATTGATAAAACTCCTTGCTACCTTGTCTCAGATAACCAAGAGGATTCCACTCAAGAACAAGGAAATGGATGATATTCTTGGAAGCGAGGACGCATGGAAGAATTGTGATCGGACGCCTAGTAAGAACTAGTCTTTTTTTCCTTCTCATTTCGAAAATTTCATTGCTTTTCAGTCACTTGTGCCAAATGTAACCACGAGCATGCTTATTTCATGCTAGTTCAAATCAGATCTGCGGATGAACCAAGCACTGCATTTTACAGATGCTGCAATCCAGATTGCTCCTACCGCTGGAGAGAAGACTAGACCCTTACCTTTGTTTTTCATAGATCTATTTTTAGTATTTCGTTAATTTTACTTTATTATTATAAACTTTTAAAGTTAAAAACAGTAGTTATGTTTTAGGTAATAATTAGAGAAAAAAAGTGTCTTATTAGAGAATTTTAAAGAACTGAATTAATAGAGTAATAAAAGAACAATTATATGATAAAACTTTAAGAGCGATTATTAAAGTGTAAACATACTCAAGTAATTTCAAATTATTATCTAGAAAATATTTTAAAGCAATGCTATATAATATAATGGATATAAAAACTCTTTGCAAATAGTATAATCTATTTAAACTATAAAAATCTGTCTTATTGATAAGTATATGTCAGTAGCATTTTTGGACATGGTCGTATATATAAATACAATTATAAATATATTTTATATTAGTGTGCTTTTGTCAAGATTTAAATTATAAACCTTCATATATAGAATTTATAAGCAATATGCATATGTATGTCATACTTCTACTTTTACTCCTAACAATTAAAAGGAACAAGACACTATATCAACTTAGTATTCTGCCACATCAATAAGAATAATCTTGTTTTGTGCTAATCTTGAATTATGCCATGCTAAGGAGGTGAAAACTAGTTGTAGTGGGAGTGAACTTTATTTTGATGTGATTGAAGTAAGTATTACAATTGTCTGCCCAAGGAACAGAAAGAACTCAAGAATTCTAAAGCTTTAGAGACTACACCCTATCATGCTCTTTAACTTCAAATAAAAATTACCACCTTCACTTCTAAAAGACCCTTCATAAGGATCTCATTGCAAGTAAATAAAGTAAAATTGGACCTCTGTTATGAAAAAGATTTATATAAAGAGTGGTCATACTAATTAACAATTTTGAAGTCTTGAAAATATATCTAACAAGATTCCTAGAATACTTTCATATTTCAACTTAACTTTTAAGTTTTTGATATGCTATCATTTAAAATTAAGTGCATCAAATCACTTGGCCTAGTAATCCAGCCAAGAGAGAGGCATCAAGCATGGTTTTCAGTGATTATGTAAATTTTCAAATTGTCTTGGGATGGATTGAATACTCAATCTTTTTAAATTACTTTTAAAGTTCTGCACTACCAAGCATTTAAGAATTTCTAATACACTACTAAAACTATTACTATAAAATGTTAAGGCCATTACCAATATAGCCCTAGAACTTTAATTCTAAGAGTTAATCTAGCTAGAAAGAAGTTTACTTGCCAGTGAGAAAAACTTTTAAAGCCAAAGAAAATGAAAATTTTATGGCTTAATGGGCAAGAAATAAAAAAATATTTTATCAGGTAGTATAATAAATGAGATTTGCAAATCTTGGGAAATATTGTTAATGAAAAGAGCACATTCATTTGTGGGGGAAGGCAAAATTTTAATCCCTTAAACTATAATATCCATTTAGCAAATTTGTGTTGCTATGGGGATATCTTTTTGCTTCAAATGCATTATGATGTCATAAATACTTCAATTAAATTGATGTCCACAATTCTATAAAAGTTGCTTCTGTTTTTATTTTCTCTCTAATGCTAGCACTCATATAATTATTTTGAGCTATTTCCTTTGCCATGCTGGGCATTGAGGAAAATATATAACAATTTCAATCCATAACTTGAATATTTTAATACCAAAATATGCTAATCCTATACTAGTAAAAGCAAGATATTGATAAGCTAAGTTATATGTGGGAGTAGTGAGTGGAGTAATATGTTAACAAAAATGGAGTAGTATATTATATATGAAGAGTATCTGATGTGATAATTTTTTGAGAGTATTAATTACTCTGGAGGAGGTTTACTTACTCCTTTCATGTGTTTTAAAATATTTCTCCTTATTTTTCTTTAATGAGTGGAGGGACCATACAACTATAAAATATTTCCAATTGACTATTATGTGCAAAACAAATGTATTATAGAATGTTATATAAAATTATTCCAAACCATTCTACTCATTGGTATTTGTATGATGAACAAGAGTGAGAGAATTATATGGAAAGACATCAAATTCCTCAAAATTAAATTAATAATAATAAAAAATGTGTAGGTATAATGAATAAATTTTTACATCCTTAAAAGGCTTAAGGATGGGAACAACATGGCAAATAATTAACTTTGGAGAATCTTTGTAAAGCACTCCAGTAACAAGGAATCAACTTTTATCAACATCATTACTATTGTAATACCCACGTATATTTCCCTTTTAGCCTATGGTCTAGAGATATAATTTATTCAATCTATCTCAGATTGAATGTATCGAAGCAGGTTGTTGCATGAACAAAATTTAGCAGGATTTTCCTTGTAGCCTCATATTTTCAAGGTAAAAGAGTAGAAAAACACAAATTGATAACAACAAAAAAATTACAAGAATAAATCAAAGCATATCCTAATACTAGGATATTCTTAGAATGTTCACTACTATCATAATTTAAATCTCATTTAGTTTTAACATTTTAAAGTACTTTTATCACTTATATTTCACCTCCATGAAAGGCTTTCTTTAAATTAGTTTGTAAATGTTTTAACTTGACTATAATATTCTAATATTATTAATATAATAACTTATTTATTATAAAAATAAAGAAATTATTTTATTAGTTAAATTAAATGATTATTATTTTAGACATGCAAAAAGTTTTAACCATACCGGTACCATCAAGAGAAAATGTCACGTTAGCATTATTTGAAAGAATTCTAGTTAGAAGAAGCATGTTCTCTCACCTTATAATAGATGAATAGTTGACAAAACTCATAAGCTAGTTGTCAAGTTGGAGGTTTTGTGACATCATGTCTTCATACGTCACAAACTGTTACATTTGGTTGACAGCAATGACGAGCAGCCAACACCACCCGGAAACAAATTTGACAAAATACAAGCTGGAAGATTTTGATTGCATTTGGCAGTTTTTGATAGTCCGAGCGGACAACATCCAAACAAAATAAAATAATGCAAACTTTGTGTCGCCACCCGTGATATCCCACCCACATTTTAAAACCATAGCCAACGGTGCCGATTAACAGAGGGGAATAAAAGATTAGGATACCTTGGAGTCAAAAGAAACAAAAGAGAAGATACCCATCTTGGAGTCAACCACACCACCCATTGCGCCAGGTGGCCACATCTGCAGCGGGCCACGCCTCCTCTTACGTACATCCCGCGCCGTGTGGGCCCAAAGTTTAAACGCTTACGACAAGCCGTACATCTGTCCACATTGAATGGCGGGAGGCGAGAAGCCCTAATAACGCCTCGGTAAAATTCCAAAATAGAAACCCACTATTTATGAAGCGCGAGTATCGAGGAGGGAATAAGCCGTCCTTAGCTAATTTTGGTTTTTTACTGAAAGTGAGAGAGACGTCGGTAAAAGCCATGCATGGCATGATCATATGCGCTGTACCTTAAAATGAATGGTGACGCTGGCCGTGATGGATGCCCATGCCATGGTCATGGCCATCGCATCCCATAGGGGTATAAATCTTAACGTTTTGCGCTTCACCACAGGAAAGCTTTTTTTCTCCTTCCCCTTCGTTGGCTTTTCTTTGGCGCTAGCGTTCTTCCAAGATTTCCCTTTCTCTCCGGCGGATCCTTCGATCTCTTCCTCCCGCTGCCAGATTTCGATAGCGAGCGGCGCTGCGCGGAGCTCTCCTTCGATTCGCCGCCTTCTTTTCTCTTCTTGTCGGCGGCTCGGTCGGCGGCAGCGCTTCTCCAAGATTTTCCATCCAAGATTCCACGGCGGTGCTGGATTTCTCTTCTTCGAATCCGTCGGCCACTGCTCCTTGCTGTTTCTTTGCGAATCTTGCTTGCTGTTGCTTCGATTGTCACTGGCGACAGAAGAGAGTGAGCACACGGGGCCCCGTCCATGGATCGCATGGATTGAGCTTCGCGTGCTCACTCTCTGTCTGTCAGCTGTGCCTGTTCGCAGTGATACTGAGCTCGCTGTGTGTTTTTCTTGAGCTGCTTGTGAGATTTTTCTTCCTGTGTTCGTGAATTTGCTTCTTTTGCTTCTTTTGCTGTTTCCATTGTTTCCATTGTGTTCGATCGATTGAAATTGTCTTCGTTGCGTTCCGTTCTTCCGTGGTGTTGGATCGATTTGCGCTCTTGAATTTTACTTCAATTATTCTATGGCCTTTTTTTACTTTTTTGTGCTTTGCGGCGATAGCTGGAAGTTGTAACGTTATACGATTTAAGAGATTGATTTCTGTATTAGTATAAACATGGGTTAACACGACTTGGTTTTTCAGCAATACAAAAGTCCAAAACGAAGAAAAGTCAGCTTTAAATTTGATGTTTGCGGTAGAAATGTTCTGCTTAGATAAATGATCGACCGATCCACGATCGATTTTTGATTGATTGATCGCCAGTCAACAAATACGACGACCCTCTCCAAAAATGATTGGGATTTATTTTCACGTAAGCCTTGCGCAGCACATGGAGAGAGAGAGATGCTGCCTGTACAAGCGAGGACACAAAACAAAAACACCCCCCGCAAACAGAAAGCTGGAAGACAAGTAACAGACGCGCCGTACGATTTTGCCCTAAACGAATATGCCGCGGCATTTAGGGCGGGCCCGGTACGGCGGCTCTTCGCAGGGCACGCGATTCACTCGCGCGTTTGCTAGCGATTTGGACGAGGTAGCTTCTGGGCAGGAGGCATCCAAGTACAGGACCCAAATCTTCCAATCGTAATTGGGTTGGTACTCTTTGGAAGCTTTCCGAGTACTGAGACTAACGGCCGGGATTTGGCCGAATGGGACCGGATCGTACGGCGCTGGCCACTCCAGCGCGGCACTGACGGGCTCGCCCGCCATGGTTGACGGGCGGTGGATGAATGAAACAAAACGGGTAAAGGTAAGAAAAACAAAAGAGTGAAGAGACTTTGGCACATACCTCATTGGATAAATCCCGTCGAGTCCGGGGCCTTGAAATGGGAGGGATTGCGATGGAGAAGAAAAGTATCACACCGCTTCTTCTCTTTTCTTTGCTTCTTTTCTTCTTCTCCAGGAGTGTAGAGATTCACGATTCAATCGCCCTCTTGCCGAAAGAAGAGATGTCATACTTCTCTCCACAGCAATGGCGTTGGATCTCAAAGATCTGGAGCGAGAAAGAGCGCAATCGTGTGTTTCCTGGCGATTTTGGTGTGTCTTTGCTGATTCCTTGTCACGCAGGGAGCCAAAAGCCCGAGATCTCGCACGGGAGACCATACAAATCGCATGGGACGAGGTCAACTTTTGGTTAAAGCCGGAGAACAAGAGATAAAGCTCATACGGAAACTGTGAAGAGCTTCCCAGATCCGTGGTAAGCTTTGCTTTCAGACTTTTGGTTTCCTTGCATAGTTGTGTGTCGACTTCGCTGTTTCGAGCCGTGTGCTCTTGAATGTCTCTTGTGGAGTGTTTTTCGTGCTTGTGGATCCATTGGACTGCTGCTGACAGAAGATAGAGAGCACAGATGTTTGGCTGCGAGAGCGGAATCTATATCCAGCAGCTCTGCGTTCGTGCTCTCTATTCTTCTGTCATCAATCTTTCGAGAGCTCTGCTTGCTTCAGACATGAACTCAAATGTTGCGTGTTTTGCTTGAGGCCATAGCTGTGCTTTTCTTCCAAAAGCCAACAGGAAAGAATTTCAAGTGTTTAGTGCTTGCTGCTTTCCACAAACATAAAAACACAAAAGAGAAGCAATGGAAGCCTTTCTTTTCTTATTCTCGTATTTATGTAACTTGTCTGTGCCGTGAGGAACTTTGTTGTGCACTTTGTAACAAGGAAACGAAAGGAGGGTGTGATTGTTTCCACTCGCTGGAAGATCCAGGCGTAAATCGAAATAAGATTTGTGTTTCCCACTTTGGCTGCTGCTGCTGACTTTGCAGGTTCAGTGCATCTCGTTGTTCCGTTTTCTAGCACCAGCAGCATCTTAAAAACGAAAATGAATGTATGGATCTTTGAAGCGCAAGTGGCTGTACTTCTGAAACCTTGAACTCGGTTGTTTGTGCCCGAGATGGGAGGGAGGTTGGATTTGGATACACAGGTATTCCGCAGAAGCACCATCTGTGTTCCGTTTCCAAGTGTGCATTCCGTTTCCAAGGGCAGAAGATACCAGAAACTCCCTCTGGCAGGTTCACATATCATTCTTGTTGAAAGGATTTTTGAACCTTGGTCACTTCTTGACAAATTGATTCAGATTGAACATTCAACAACAGTTTCTGTTCGGTCCTTAATCTCTGAAACGCAAGCTGTGTTGTAGTTGGTGAGGCCGAACCTGCATGCTGCTGCTGTGGAGTGTGATGCTTCAACTTGCCTGAAATATCTCTTCTTTATTTCAGATTTTTTTCCTGCCGGTTGCTCGAGTACAGATGTATTTCTTGTTCGTGGTCGGCAGGAATGCAGCAGCTGAAGGTGAAGACGAACCTGCATGCAATTTGCAGGCAAGGGAATGATGATTATGTGTGTGAGGGAGCACAAAGTGCATTGGTTTCACAGTTTCTTCAGACATATGGTGTTGAATGCTCCCAGTGTTGAGGAGAGTGTTTCGTTTCAGTGCTTGCATAGTACAATTGTTTTTCACCAGACGCACTCAGCCAAATAATGTCAAATTCTTTTCTCCTTTCTGTTTTTGCATAATATAGTGCTCTTATGTAGTGCACCAAAAACACTCATTTCCTATCACCTCATCTCCACAACATAGATCATCTCAATATCTATGAAAGCCATGTCAAGGATCTTATCTAATGCTTTTGGGCACTGATATTCTTTTCCGTACATTTCTCAATGTTTGATCTTACGAAACAGTCTGCATTTCAAAGAAAAGAGAGGGGAAAAAAAAAGAAAAAACAGAAAAAACAGAAAAAAGGAAGATTTGGTTGAATGCCGTGAAATCTTCAACTTCAGGACGATACGAAAGAGAGAAAAGATTTGCAAGCGCTGCAATGTTTTGAACCTGAGACGTCATTTGCTAAAGTCTCCACTTTGTAGACACGTGTCCCATACGTGTCGAGCTCCATGCAATCGATGGAATTCTCCTCTCTGCTCTTCTAGGGCTCTTGCTTCGATCGCTGAGAGAGATTTCTACGCGCAGTGGTCTTGATCAATCATCCATCATTATGGCGGACCAATTCAGGTTAGTTTCTCCGGGAGGATTCCATCACGAGGGAAAAATCCCGCGCAAGCACACCGGCGATGGCCAGGGCGATCAAAAGGACATCTCGCCGGCGCTCGAGTGGTACAATGTTCCTGAAGGAACCGTGAGCTTGGCGCTGGTTGTGGACGATCCCGACGCGCCCGATCCAAAAGATCCAGTCGTGCCATGGGTTCACTGGTAAGAAGATTAGATCTCTCCTCCTCTTTCCCTTCCCATTCCCGATTATCTCCTTGCCTTGTGATCCAGGGTCTTGATCAACATTCCTCCAACGCTCAAAGGTCAGTTCTCTCCTTTCCCTCTAGCGATTTTCGGTGATTTCTCTCGTTCTTCCAGGGATTCCAGCGGGTTTCACCACTAAAGGGCTGGACGAGAAGAGCGAGTTCGCGGAGATCCAAGAGGGCTACAACGATTGGAAGCTCCCGGGCTACCGCGGCCCAAATCCTCCAGTGGGCACTCACCGCTACGTCTTCAAGCTCTACGCGCTGGACACCAAGCTCAAGCTCGGCCACAAGGTACTCACATTTCCCTTTCGATTCATCACTTTCGATTCAATCAGCACAGATTTCTCGGATGATCTCCGCGAGCTAAGATTTTCCCCCCTTCTTTTTTTGTCTACAGGCAACCAAAGACAAAGTGGAGATAGCCGTACAAGGTCATGTTCTTGGAGAGACGGAGCTCATTGGCCACTACACCAAGGAAAATTTTAGCACTGGCCACGACTCTTACGTGCCGCCACCCGGTGGACCGCTGATTTAGAATATATTGACACACGTCAGCTCCCAACGGTCGTTAAGAGTCGTAGAATATGCCAAAAGTATCTACTGTTTGACCAAACTTTTGACTTGAGCCAATATTTAGGGCTTTAGAACCCTAGGGCGATTGGCGATGGATGCCGCGTTGATGCGCTCGCGGCATTCTCTAGGCGCTGCTGCGCATCGGAGGCTTACGGCAGCGGCGGGAGTGGCGCCGACGTTCTTGTCTGTGGTACGATCGCGAAATCTCTGCGCTGCGGCTGCAATGGCGGTGAAATCTTCAGGCGAGAGCGTGGCGATGGAGCAGTATTTTCGCTGCGTGGAAGAATGCAACCGCGGCAGGGTAAGAACGAGAGCTTTGATTGCTTAGTTCTTTGCATTTTCACCAGGAATGAGAGATAAGAATGCTTATTTCTTTGCATTTTCACCAGGAGAGGGTATGAATGAGAGATTGTTTGCTTATTTCTTTACATTTTCACCAGGAGCGAAGCTCGGAGTTTCTTCGCTTTCTAGTGGAAGGACACACGGTTGGCTACATTCATCCCAGGTGAGCTCTATGTGACCCAAAGTTTAGCGGTGTTGATAGGAATAGATTTCCATTGTCAGATTTGCAGCGCTCTTGGAGAAATTTCCACAGGTTTTTACAGTTGCTACTACCTCGACAGGTTATGCGTCTGTGGAGATCCATGAACGTCTCGAAACCCCCGAGCAGCGCACAACTGCCGTGGACGATGCTTTGCGGGTCTTGAGAAGAGATGGATTCGTTCCCGGCTGGCGTGACGAGGTACTTTGCGTTTGCACGACTTTCCTTTACAGCATTTCTTTTATGCGTATAATCACAGGCTCTTATACTTCTACGTTTCGCAGCATTATCCGGTCGTTCTACAATTTGGTTCGCCGGCTTTCTTCTCGTTGGAGCGAGCGGCTGTTCCGTTTTTCGGGACCAAGGTGTGTTGCTTTTCTCGGTCGGTTCCAAAGGAGTGAGTGATTTTTTTTTTTTCCTTTTCTAGGCTTATGGGGTTCACATGAATGGATATGTCACCAATTATGATGGCTCCAAGCAGCTCTGGGTGGCCAAGCGGAGCAAAAGCAAACAAACATATCCCGGTTACCTCGATCATCTAGTCGCAGGTGGTCAGGTAATAAAACATAAAATACCAAGTTCTTTCGTGCGTTACACTCATTGATGTTGGCTTCGTCCTTCCATGATGTGTTTTTCCAGCCAGTGGGACTCAGCTGCTCGGAGAATATTGTTAAAGAGTGCGAAGAGGAGGCCGGAATTCCAAAACAACTGGCGGAAAAGTGAGCTCCATCAAACTCCTCCATCGCTGCTCACTCGACATTTTTGTTTTCTTCTTGTTTTTTGCAGAGCGATTCCAGTTGGAGCAGTCAGCTACGAGACAATCTACGGCGAGCAATGCAAACGAAACGTGCTCTTCTGCTATGACCTCGAGCTGCCACTCGACTTTGAGCCATCCAACAAAGGTACATGATCTTGATACATTCAATTCCTCCGTGTTCTTGTTCACCTCTTCCAATGGCTCACGTCACTAGATGGCGAAGTGGAGTGCTTCCGTCTGGATTCTATCCCAAATGTGGTCCAGAGCCTGGGAAACTACAAGCCCAACTGCGCACTGGTCGTTGTCGACTTTTTATTTCGCCACGGGTACTGTTCTTCTTCTCTCCTGTTCGTTTGCTCTCTTTTACCAGTGGATTCCCACAGATACATCCGACCAGAACAACAGGGCTACCTAAATCTCGTGCAGAAACTCAAAAGCGGGGAATGCTTGTGAGGCAAAAAGGAAAAGCATCGTCCCTTGCCTCTTCAGAGCACAAGTGGAGAGACAACGGGGAAGAAGAAAAAAATAATCTTTCTTTTGATAAAGCCCAATGCACGGCTCAGACAGCTTTCCTCCCCATGGGACAGGAGAGAGAAGAAGCTCAACTTTAGAAAAGAGACCCAAAGGGATAGGAGAGACGATACGTCTCCTCCTCCCTCCTTGCTGTGGATCTCCTCCCAAGGTATTGCGGCCTTTTCTTATTTACAAATAGAGCTTGGAACTTAATGGTAGTGATGGTGATCGTGTAGAGCTCTCTCGCTGGCAACGGGGTCGAATGGGACTCGCAAGAAGCAGCTGGAGAGCGCGCGGCGTGTTCTCGTGAGCTCTTCTCGACTTTTCGATGATCAAGTTGCTGCTGGAACCGGGATAGTGGATGCTGATGATTGTGGTGGTGGCGGTGGTGGTGGAACAGCGGGAGGGAACTGGCCATTCCTGGCTGCTTGCCCGGCTTGTATAAGAATCGCGACTTCGGCCATTGTGGCTTCCTGCGCAGGGACAAAAGTAAGAAGCTGTTTACTCGGGGAAAAGGAGATTTTACTGACTTGCTGCTGGCGACGTCGTTGTAGGATGCTCAGCGCCCGGAGCATGATGTAACAGGGTAAAAGGAATCCCGCTGCTCGCAATAGGAATAGCTGGACCAATTCACATGGAGAGAACATATATATATATGTTAGTACTTCCACACGGAGAGAAGGATAGGCTCGGACTTACAGTGAACAGCGCCGATGTGTCATCGTCAGCGCCAGAGGATGCCATCGCCAGAGCGTGGCGAAGCAGTAAAAGGGCCATCAACTGGGATTAAACAAAGCAGAAAGTTAGCAAAAAGAAAGCGCAATGGTGCTTAGAGAGAGAGAGGGGAGGGAGATATTATTCCGGAGAGAGAGAGAGAGGTTGCTTACGATGAGGGCGGCCGATCGGCAACAGGCAGCGCTGCTTGCATTGGCGGAGGCGTACTCGTCGTAGTCCGAATCAAGGAAGTGCCTTTCGGCGGCCATTGCCAGGATCCTGGGGTCCCGTAGATCGAGCTGATGAGGACCAGTGATACCCCAGTTGCCACTACGAGCCATCAATGCAAGCAGGGGATGGAAAAGAAGAAAGAGAGAAATTAGAAACGAATACAGTGAGCGCTGCTGCTTGTAGCTTACCTCAAATCAATCGGGGTTCCCTCCGGTTCCACAGGACGAGGAGGAGCTGTATACCCAGGCTGGTATGGCTGAAAAGCAAAAAAGAAGGAGGAAAAAATTCCAATCGATCAGCTAGCGCTAGAAAGAGTTGGCAAAACATGAGCAAGAGTAAATCCAACCTTTTGACAAATCTCACATGTTGTATCGCCTTTCTCGTTACACCAGCGCTGGACACACTTTCTGTGCGCGTACTGCAAAGAATCGAATGAGCAATGAAGAAGGAAAAAAAAAAAAGAAATAACGAAACAAGGCAAGCAAGAAAATGGGAATGGATCAATCAGTACCTTGACACTGCCAGAACACGCGCATGGAGCTTCCAGATTTCCCACATCGTCCTCCTCCTGGCAGATTCTACATTCCACAGTCACCCCAGTGGCTCCTCCAAACGATGCGAGGTCGTCGTCAATGGTTTTGCCCTTCTTGACCACGAAACCCCCGCCGCCCTCGACGTATTCCTCCTCGCTGGCCGGCGAGAAGATGACGACGTGCTCGCTCTGGGGCGATTGCTGGAGCGCCCTGGCGGATGAGAGCAGCGGCGTGTGTTCTTGAGCAGCGCATGAATCTGGCGACGCGGCGGAAGCTCCCGGGGAGCTGGAAAGCCGATCTACATCCAGAACGACATGATCCTCCATTCTTTCCCCAATCTCTTCCCGAAATATTTCGTGTTCTCCCGTCCGATACCCCGGCGCTCAGCACAGATCGTCACACAGACCTAGAAGAAGAGCTCGCATTCCTGGCGCTGACGCGCTTTCTTGCTCCCTAGTGTCGGCTAGAGTGCCGTAGAAATCCCAGGATGCCTCGCCGAATCCCCCAAAACACGAGATTGCCGCCGGAGAAGCAATCGCAGGGCACGCCGCGCCAACACGCTCGATCGATCAACCGAGTGAATCCCTAGAAAAATCTACGGCACTCTCCCTCGCCGATCGCCCTCGCCATCGCCATCGCCCTTGCTTCTTCCTCTTTGCTGCTTTGTGTGTCCATATTTTAACCATGTTTGAATTCCAGCTTGGCGTCCGGAGACTAGGCTCGGCACCGAGCCTGAGCTGCCAGGCCGGGTCGGAGTGGCCAATGCGTACGTAAGAAACAGCTCCAGTTGTACGGCTCTATCATTCATTGTGTGCACGTTCATGGACATTATTCGCACGGACGGGGCGTGGCGCCACACTGACTTTTGGCCCAGCCAAGTGGCCAGCGGGCCATTGGACAAATCCTCGACGATGTAAAATTATTATCGATCAAAGCTAAACATTGTGCGTTACTGGACACCTCTACAATAGGGACGTGATAGTATACGCCGTAGAAACACGTATGTATCTACTGTGTGAGGGGGCCTCGCAAGCACTAGAAACAGACATCTTATCGGAAGGTCAAAAGTTTCATCATACAAACCAAAGCAAATCTCTTGTGTTGCCCTGTTGCAAATCTTTGAGGGCTTTGTAACGATATGAATCACATGTGTGATGTGGGATCCCTTGTTTTCCAAGCTAAATCGCCAGTGGAAATGTGGGGATCGATCCATCCATTTGGATTCAGATTCAAAGCCATACAAACTCTTTTATACTAAATTTTGTAGGTGGGGGGAAAGGAAACTAATAATTCTTTCGGTAGTAGCGGCCAGTGAAACAGAGATAGATTGTTTACAATGTTCTTCCTAGGGTAGTTCTTTGATTTTTGTGACAAGGCAAATAAATGTATATTGTATAGATTGAAATGCTTGGCTGGCCAAAGATCGGTGACATATATCAAATGTTGTGCCTCCAAAATTCTGTCGTGCGCGCGGATAAGGCGGATGGCGGGGCGTTTTCGGTGGCCCTTTGCCTGCACACGCACACCGAGCCTCAGCCTCGGGTGGCAAATAGCCAAAGCGAGGAATATTCCACGTCGCAGGATCCGACGGCCTGGATTGCAAAGGAACCTTTTCGAAGTTTGAAAGGTCTGTGCAAAGACAATTCTGGCAGAGGAGGCCCAGTCTAAAAGACAAGCGCGGAGAAAGTTGGGCGTGTTATAGTTGATGGAGTTGACCAGCATTGAGTGAGCTAGTCAACGGCTACTACAAGGGTTTTGACTGGCTTTCACTGTGTGCGCCGTGGGGCAGTTATTTCCGCGAAGTATTCTACGCGTCTGCTAAGAAACACCGCAATATTCTATGCGACAATTGAACTTTACGCGACTGCATGTAAAAGACGCCATCCGTCAACTTTCTGTCAACTTTCGTGGGAAAATGGAAAAAACAAACAAGCACACGACAAAGTCAAGCTTGCCGGTTGTCTTCAAAAGGAGGACAGAAAGAACGAAGAAACAAAAATGGGAGGAGATGGTTCTCTTCACGTCCTCGTCTTCGTCTATCCCGTCCATGGCCGCATCATCCCCGCCATGGTTCTCGCCTCGCGCCTCGTGGATTCCGGCGCTAGGGTAAGCTTCCTCTACCCCGCCCACCACGAATCGCGCCTCTGCGACGCAAGGTCCCGGCCACATTCTCCAGAAATCCGCTTCGTCGCGCTCCACGCCCGCGATTTCGACTCGGCGCCCAACGATTTCAGCCGGGATTTCTTCCTCATGCCCTCGCTCGCCCAGGAATTCGAGCAGCTCGTCTCATCGCTCCAGCCACCACCATCGTGCCTGATTAGCGACGAGGTGTGTGGAACACTCGCCAAATCCGCACGATTGCTGGGCATCCCGCGCTATATCCTCGTCCCAGAATCCGCGTCGGCATTTGCCGCTACGCTACTCGCGCCATCGCTCGCCAGGGATTCCAAGCTCCCGCTCCAGGTCGCGAGGAACGAGACGGTGGATATTCCGTTTATCGGGATGACGGTCGTTGCGAGGGAATATCTTAGCCCGTACCTAGATACCTTCCCGTGGCGTGCGGATTACTTCCTCGAAGGCGCCATTGAGGCACAGGCATCGGACGGCATCCTCGTCAACACGTACCGCGAGCTGGAGCCGTCAATCTTATCCGGCATGGTGCGTGACACGTGCCTCAATCCTCACCGTGCGCCCGTCTTTGCGGTTGGGCCGCTGATCCCCGAGCCATCCTCGACCGTCGGATCCCACCACCAGGAAGAAGAGGCGGAGATTATGGAGTTCCTCGACGCGCAAGCTCCATCCTCGGTGGTCTTCGTCTCGTTTGGAACGCTCATCCAGCGAAACGAGAAGGACGCTCGCGAGATCTTGAGTGGGCTCGAGCAATCCGGCCATCCTTTCATCTGGAAATTCAGTGGCGATGGCGATTACGTCCCCACTGGAGCGGGAAAATCTGGATTGATCCTGCGAAACTGGGCGCCGCAGCTACGAATCCTATCACACCCATCCACCGGATTGTTCCTGACGCACTGCGGATGGAATTCGTGCCTCGAGAGCTCCAGCCTCGGCGTTCCAATCCTCGGCTTCCCGGCCTTTATGGATCAGCCCATCAACTGCAAGCTCCTAGTGGAGCTTCGCAAGGCCGGGGTCAAACTGGCCACTCTCGAGAGCTTCCAGATCGCCGAAGCGATCAAGGAGGTGATGGAGTCGGAGGAGATCCGGAGAAACGCACAGAAGCTCAAGCTCGCTGCCGATCGAGCGCCCAAGAGCTTAGATTTCTTCGTGGACAAGTTAAGAGAAAACTCTGCTTTACATTACTTGTGAGAAACGCTTACAAGGAAAGCACCTCTTTCTTAAGCTTCCATAGCTATGAAGCACAGACTTTCCTTCACGCTGCGAAAAAGAGGAGAGGGATGGAAAAACCAAAATTCATAAGAACACACCTTAATTGTAGTAGAGCTCCAGCCCCATTCCATCGCGGATCTCGTAATCGGACAGAGTGATGTTGTCCTTGTAGATCGTGTACCATTTCTGGATCCTGATCTTCTCCGGGCGCGTCCCCGTCTGCGCCGCCACGAGCTTCTTCAAATCGCCGATGGTATCATCCTCGTTGCACTTGACTCTCACCTTCTTGCCCAGACGATCGTTGAGAATCACCTCGATCATCGCGGAGAACCCTTGGCGGAAAGCGAAGAACCCTAACAATTAGGAAAGTGAAAATGATGAAAAAGAGGAACCCTAAATGCCGTACGGACTCTGTTAGGAAATGGCTCTCTAACGGCTCCATTTAACAGAGCCGTCGGTCATACCGACAGCCCTGTTTGTTTAACAACATACACAGGAATATGCCAAAAGGTGCCGGCATCTTGCGAATATCCTCCCCTTGCTTTCCGTTAGCGAACAGGGGAAAGAGAGAATCAATCAGTTTCTCGCGAGCGGGTGGACGATTTGGCCTGGGATCGGCGAGGCGAGATCTCCGCCAAGGACGATTGAGGCGCTGCGCGTAGCGGTTTGTAGCTCTGCGCCATGTTTAGGGCTCCAATCGACGAAGAGACGAGGTAGGGCAGGCGAGGGCGCCGCGAGCGGCTCTCCCGGCAGTGTAATTCTGCGGCTTCCCGCGAAATCCGGATTGGCGGCTGCGATCCCTGGAGGAATTTCTCGAGATTTCCATCGGAGAGGACCTGGCATGGGATAATTCATGGTAATATCGGATAAGGTCGTGGTATGAGGTCTAGGGAAGATCGCAGTAGCGGAAGAACTCCAGGAAGGATTAGTCCCTTAGAATGATGGATAGCAGCGAAGCAGCGGCGATGGATTTTAATCTACTGGCGGAAGAAGATGAGTCGGGCAACGATTGTAAAAGCCGTCAAGAAGACGGTGACGAGGAAGAAGAGGAAGGAGACAACGAAGATATCGAGCTGCTAGAAGTTACTAAAACGCTGGAAGAACAGGAAGAACAGGAAGAACACGAAGAACACGAGCAAGAAGAAGGAAACGAAGAAGTCCACTGGAGGCGGCCTAGTTCGAAGATACTAACATTCCCGGCCCACGCTCCAATCCAAGCTGACACAACAACATTCTCGTCTAGAGAACCAACTTTGCTGTCGGTGGACACGGACGTGGAGATGGAAGTCACCACCGAGGAGACTCCATCGCCGAGCACGACTCCAAACCGGAGGAGCGACTCCACTGCCGCTGGAGATCATGGCAAATCCCCGTCGGTGGCAACTCCAGGCGGGAGCAGTGACGATCGTCCGTCGTCAAACTCGAGCGAGGAATCGTCGTTGCAAAGCCACCACAAGCGGTTCCTCGAGCTGCAAGCGTTTCTCAAGCTCTGTGACGAGGCTGACCAGAAAGATCTCCTCGAAGGTGAGTTCCAAAAGTTCGTTTCTGTTTGATCGTAGCTCTAAGTTTCTCCTCGCAGCGTTGAGATCTCTATCGGCCGCTGCTCGTAGCGGGCATGCGTTTAACTTGGAGTACCGAGCTCTGATGCTTTCCATGGAAGAAGGTAAGCGAAAGTTTCTCAAGTTTGGCTTGGCTGGATCAAAGTTTTCTCGATGTTTTCTCGCAGGTAGAGAGATGCTGAGATTAAAGATGCTCAACGTTATGGGTGGCAAAGGCAGCCCTTCTCAATCGCAGCAAGACAATGGTAGCACACCACTGGGGACTCGATTGCCGGCCCCTGGATCCGTGACAGATTTAAGCGCATATTGACAGACAGCGAAGATTTACACCCGAGACAAAGATTATTTATGGCTATGCTCTTGATCCCCAGCCGTGGAGGACTCGAGAGGCTTGTGCATTAAACGAATAAATCAAAGAACTTCCAAAAAATCCCCTGGAACTTTCAACCTTCTAAAGTTCCTCTCTTGCAATCCCTCATTGAGAGTTTTCAGCAGGCATTGTCTCAGATAGAGCTAATACTTTGATTTCTAATCATGGGGATTGTCCAGGAACCACGATCTATATCTCTTTCGTTCCCTCATTTGGAGAAAGGTTTGGCATCACGCTCTGCTCCACGAGAGCGAGCATCAATCCTATCAACTTCGTTGATAATCATCGGGAACGAAACATTGAAATCTAAAACCCAAAAGCCTCAGCTGCCTATAGTCATCTCCGCACAGAGAGAGGAATCGCACGAATCCTTCCTTGGAGTGGTGCATGACTTTGCTTCATCACGGGCAAAAAAGAATGTAACCTAGAAACCCAAAAGCCCTACATCCAACGCTTCATAACAGCTCTAGTCCCTAAATCCAACGGCCCGTCTCGGCTTAAAATCCAACGGCCCATATCGTTCAAATCCGACGGCATACAGCTTAAAACGATGGTTTTAAAAGCACTCCCGGTGGGACTCGAACCCACAATCCCCTGATTAGAAGTCAGATGCCTTGTCCATTAGGCCACGGGAGCGGCACTTGCAAAAGAAAGTGGTATAAAATCGAGTTGTTAGATTCCATAAACCCTAATTTTCGTCTTCCCCCGAAAGAAATATTTCACCGGGAGTGGATTTTCATGGCGATGGCCAAGCGCGCGTTCGATCCAAAGCTGCTCGAGTTCCTGGTGTGCCCGCTCAGCAAGACGGCTCTCAGGTACGATCAATCATCGACCTATGGAATCGATAGGCAGCAAAAATTCTTCTCTCTTTCGTCGCGCCTGGCATTGTACTGGATTGGAATTCCCTGCTATTTCATTTGTTTATCATTGCCGCCAGGAAATCGGCATCGAATCCTCGGAAGAAAATAGAGTAGATGCTGAAAAACACTGGTATGCTCACTGATGATCCATCATTCACAGATATAGTGAGAAGAGACAGGAGCTCATCAGCGACGAACTGGGCGTCGCATATCCGGTGCGTGTGATGAGAGTGCTCTACACGACTGTGACTTACAAAACTTCGTAGCTTTATTGGTTACTTTTTTTTTCTTCTTTTTTTTTATTCTTCTCTCTTTCTTCTTTTTTTCTTCTTTATGCGTGTGTTTCTCTTGGTCATTCCTTCTGACTGCTCGCTTTTCCCGCAGATCATCGATGGAATTCCTAATCTGATACCCCTGGACGGACGAATTATGGAAGAGACTGAGGATATCTCTCGCTCGGCTCGAGCACCGCAGGCTTCCGAGTAAAGTTTCTAGATTCCTGGCTTGTTAGAATGTCCACCAGGTGAAGGTCCCCGGTGTGGGTTGGGATAGTCAGTATGGAAGACTTGCTCATCAAAGCTGCCTTCTTCGGAAATCCAGCGAGACGAGTGATATAGCTGCAAACAGTTGAAATTCAAACGAACTGTCAGGTGATTTCCCTCTTTTCTTCTTTTTTTCTCTAAAGCTTGCTACTGAAGAAACACGGTTTGAGAAGAAGAGAGTTATCAGACCTTTCCAGGAGGAGCGGGTTCTCCATCATGCAAGACGACTAGAAGCAGCTTACGCGGTGCTACTGGATTGGATGCTGAAAGTTCAAATCTGTTAGTAGCGGAAAGAACGACCTTCTTTCAGCACAACAAACCTGCAGCAGGAGAGATTTGGAGCAAGGATAGGAGGAGAAGAACCAGGAAGACTGCTACTGCAACAGGAGCTCTCGCCATTTATCTCCTTCCGAGGTGACTCGAGGTATGGCTTGCTAGTTTTTTTCTTTTGATTTATATAGCGATAGCGTATCCTCTCAACAGCTGAAAAGGCTGCTTAGACTAACATAACCTGGTTGTAGCTTTTACTGGGAACAATGCGATCTTTCACAAGGATCCGGATCAAATGGACAGGTTAAAAAAATGGAGGAAAGAGGGAGGAAAATGGCCAATGGATCCTTTAAAGGTAGACCACATATGTTTTTTACTTCTCTATTACTCGTTTGACAGGAAAGAGAATACAAGTAGGCCAACAGTGGGATATTATGGGTGCTAAAGTGTAAGCCTTGCCCAGCACTGAGGTAACATCTTGGAAGTTGGTCTGCGATTTTACCAGCGCTGTGTTGTTCCAGTGCCAAATAATTCCGACACAGGCTATAGTGGAGTGGAATCGCGCGTAGAGGAATATATATAAGCACCGGCTTTGTTGACGGGAGACGATATACATGCCACCTTGGAATCGTCCTGACGAATCGAAAGCTATGGGTCCTGTTATTTCTGGTTGCACACAATGGTCGCTGATACATTTATGGACAGGCATGAAGGATCGACCAGAATCTGACAACGTTGGCATCTCGAGGTCTTGCGATTCCGGGAGAAAGTTTTGGATCCCAAGGAAGCGGCTTCCAGCTTTGTTGGTGACGCAAGTGCTTTCTGAGCTCGAGTAAGTAGGCTGTACCAACACCTGTAATTATCAGATCTTAGGGCTCTAGCGAGGATGAAGTTTCGGGTTTTCGGTGGAGAAGATGCTCCAGACTGGGTCCTCTCCGGAATTTACACGCTCTCCAAACTGGTACTTGGTATCCGATTCTCACGACTAGAGTATCTAAGTGAGTGGAGTCTTTTCAGAGCTCTGCAGACTTTCAGCTTTTGACACTCGCAATACTTCGCCAGATCTTGGGAGAAGCTTTTGATGTGAGTGTCAAGCTTACTGATTAGTGTCGTCCCTGATTCGTTTGTTCTTTTCTTTGCCCAGTATGAGAAAGCGTTGGAAGTAGCCTCAGCGAGTGCCTCTCTTGGTGAGTTGAAACGAGTGCAATCGAAGCAACTTGATTTCTTTTGCAGATATCAAGGCATGTATCGCAGCACTCCATTTTCTTATAACCAGTGCAGCGAGATTTGATGTGGACGACGTCACCGTTTCTAAAGAAGCTCAACAGCTCGGTTTACCAGCGGGTAGGCTCTTTTTCCTTTCTTTGTTATAAAACGGCGGCCCTGAGCTTAGCTTGCTACAGAGCTTACCGATTCCTTCTGCGTTGTTTACAAGGAAAGCAAAGATAGATTGCTGTCAAGGCTCTCGGGACAAACTCCACGGAGTAAGGACCAGATGCTTGTTTTGTTTCTATATATATGTGCTTGGCTAAAGCTCTTTCTTGTTTTTCTTTACTTCCTTGCAGTTCCTCCGATATGTATTACTGGATGGCAAGTGCACAAGGCCAGCAATGATATATTGTTGCGATTAAGTCAGCCCTGTGAGATTAACAACAAGGACGAGGACAAGAACACCGATATGAACTTAAGTTACGAAAAGCTCACAGCTCTTTTGACAGGTCTTTCTCTATTGCCTTTTCCTCCTCTCGCTTTCTCGTCTTCTTCTAAACACAAACCTTGCAGAGCTCAAAAGCGCGAGAACTTTGATGGAAAACCTCTCAAACGCTACGCGGACTTCGACGAGTAGCAAATAAAGGCTGAAAATGAGAGATGGGTCCTTTTTTGGTCGCTGTTAGGTCAATTTTGTAGTGGTCCTTAAACAAGCCCTACAAAACGAATAGCCAAGTGTTTAATCAGAACATCTTTAACTTTTTCTTGATTTTTCCAATACTATTTGCCTAGAACACTAAAATAAGTTCAAGAGCAAGTAACAAGTATGACATTTATCATTTGCATCTTGTTAAATAGCTTTAGATAAAACTCTACATAACTTTAGATTATTGTGACTAATCCTACCAAAGACTGTTCATCACAAAAATATATGTATCACTGCTATTAGCTACTGCTTATTCCTAGGACTCTTTCACTGTAAGATCTCTTTTTGCAATTACCTCAAGTTCACAGCTTCTTGCATCTGTAAGAATGATGTAAGTATGTAAAAGAGTGAGATCAATCATAAAATTTGCTAAAATTTTGGTTTTTCTTTCATTTGCAAAAAGAGTTGGAGGCCAAGATTGCCATTTTGACAAAAATTGATAAGAAATTCCAAAGAGAAATTGATTTATGTTATACTATTGATTTTTTTATCTCATATGCAATATGCTAGCTTTGATAACAAACATTGCATGATTTCTAAGATTTATGAAGGAACAGGTCATACATACATATATGATACAAGATATTTGATTCTAGTTATAAATTTTTTTATTATTCATCAAGATTCTTAATTTTTATTATAAATTTAAAACAAGCCAAGCAAATTATTTGAATGCATTTCTAGATATATGCTAAAATATTCTTCAATCCAACGGTTGTAATTTTCTACTCTTATGTGAGTAAAAGTATTGACCAAGAACAAGTAATGGAACTAGTAATTAGATGATTTTTCGTCAGGGAAGAATTTTAACACAGATTGCTTAAAAGGCCCAGCTATGAAGCCACAATTGTGTGGCTTTAGATATCTTCTTCCTTCTTCCTTGTATATCGATCATGGCTACCCAATGGTGGTCCGAGAAAACCGTGGCAGTGGTCACTGGTGCTGGCAAGGGAATTGGCCTGGAAATCGTGAAAGCCTTGGCAAGCCGAGGTATCTCTGTTGTTCTGACGCTCCGCGACCAAGTTGCGGCGGAAAAGGTTGCTCAAGATCTGATAAGCGCGGATCCCAAGCTCAAGGTCTACGCCTCCCCTCTGAACATCACACTTCCGGAATCTGTGGAAGCGTTTGGAAAGTGGATCCAAAACAAGTTTGGAGGGATTGATATTCTTGTAAGATTGTTGGTCACTGTTCATAGTTGGTCACTGCTCATACCCTTCCTTTCTTCTTGTCAATGTGGAACTAATTTCCAGGTGAACAATGCGGGGCTGCTGCTGGATCCTGTTCATCACAACCTCGAGGAAGCAAAACCCGTGCTGGAAGTCAATTACTATGGCACCAAACGCTTCATAAAGGAGATGCTCCCACTCATGAGAGAATCCGACCATGGGCCTCGCATTGTCAACCTTAGCACGCTTGGATCACGCCTAGACGTATGCAAAACTCCTCCCCAGAGTTCTCTTGTTCCATTTCCCTTTTTCCTTGTTCACGTCTATACGTTCCCAACACAATTGCCTCTCTGGTGATGCTAGATCCTCGGCAACGAATGGAAGGACAAGCTCTCCGACGTGGAAAACCTGAGCGAGGAGCTCATCGACGACTTTGTGAGCGCATATCTGCGTGATGTCGAGGAAGGCAAGCAATTCGGCAAAGGGTGGCCGGAGATGTATGCAAGAACCGATTACTGCGTCGCCAAGATGGCCCTGAATGCGTACACGCGGCTTGTGGCCCGAGAGACGGCAGCCCAGGGCAGAAAGTTCGGAATCAACTGCACCTCTCCGGGGCACACAAGTTGCGTTATGTCAGGCCACACGGGGCATTCTCCGTCCGAGGGTGCACTCACTGCAGTGTGGCTGGCACTGGAGCCACCGCCGCCCAGCTCGGGTGGCTACTTTGTGGATCGCAAGAGCGTGGGATTTGTGGAGATTCCACTCCTCTACCACGGCAAGCTCATCTATGATCCCGAGGGCATCAAGAAGCACCTCCTGGATAACGCAAATTACACGCACCACAAGTGAAAGTTCAGCAGAATTCATTGTCTATCTGGATGCAAGGTGTGTACAATATGCAAGAAATGTAAATTTGTGGGGTGGTCAATGTTTAGTGTGGTTAATGAAACGAGTTTAAAACATCCCTCGAGAAAGGAATGGTTGGTAGCGCGTTGCCTTGAATGACTTACGTACATATGGGACATATGTTGGTGGAAATTTTTTGTGTATGGTGGGTGTCACATTGTACATACGCTGTATGTGGTCTTGGGCAAACGAGTACAAGCATTAGAGGATTGGTGATGTTAGTATCGAACTACAGATGGGACCAACAAAAGTTAAGAAAAGCAGCAAACTTCTTTTGCGCAAAAGAAATAAAGCTCTTACGCTCTTTCAAGAAAAAGATTATATGCTCAAGAAAAACGTGGGAGAAATGGAGGAGAAGCACCGCTGAGCATGGCTGTGCAAATCGACGCGAACGCATGGCTCATCCGGCGTCTATCTATCAACACTTTGCCTTGTTCCCACGGTGAAGAGAAAAAACAACAGAGAGCGCCTGGTTTCTAGATTCCCCTCGAAGATCTACTCTGACAACTGGTTTTCCAGATTGATCTACTCTGACACCAACGTATCGGACAGCTTTAACACCTGGTTTCCCATCGAATCGATTGCTCAGGCGACGTCTTCATTGGATGGTTTTCATTGGATGGTAACATGTTGTGCGATATTTCGCGGGCGAGAGAGGACACACGGTGCGCGTTTGGAGGCGACGAACGAATGGAAGAGCTATTGCCGACAAAAAGAGTCTAGGTACTTGGTATAATTTAAATATATACTTAAAATTGATCATTGATTAGAATGTAGAATCAAGGACCTTGACTATAACATTGATGTTCAAAGCTACACCCAAAGTATTTGAATGTTTATTTTGTGGGCCTTCTTCTTGTAAACATGCTTCTGAAAGCATCAGTGGGACGTGATTTAAATGAAGCCACAAATCTAATGCTAAAAAAATCAGTTTTTGATAAGACTATAGGCAAACAAGGCTCAAGTTCCACTACACTCCTAAACCATCCCAATGCCAACCTGGCAATCTTCCTCTTGGAGATTACTAAACACTGTATCACTGCACAGATCTATATGCTCCAAAAGATAAATGCCTTTCATCACTTATCTAAATAGCCACTAGTTTTGGGTTTTAGTAAAAATAAAAGTGTTACAAAAAGAACAAAAATCTTTCTTCTTTCTTCCTCTTTTTTTTTTTTCCTTTTGAAATGGTCACCTCCGCCTCATTCCCCTTCCTCGGCCCCTGCCCATCATTCCTCCCATTCCTCGCCCTCGTCCGGCCATTGCATTAGCGGCTGCTTCACCCTGGGCACTCTCCGACTGCACACATTCAAGTTTAGCCTCTTTCAACTCTCGAGCGCTCGAATTTTTTACCTTTGGATTCCGGATTGTCTCATCGACGCTCAGAACCAGTGCTGCAGCTTCTGCCGCAGCGGTAATCGCATTGATCTGCGAATATGTAACAGTGGTGTTATCATTGGCTGAAAAACCAAACAAAGAACAGTGCTTGTTATACCTTCACCACTGCAGGCTCCCACACGAAGTTAGCGTATGTGTCTGTTATACCACCGGTGTTAATGTCTACACCATACAAGGCACCTTCTCCTGTAAGCCGCACAAGAAATCGCCATGAGAAGAGAACCGAAGAGAAAAAAAAAAGGAGAACCGAGAACCTGACGGGAGAGCATGCTTCTGTCTGAGCTTGTTGAGAACATCTGTGGCATCAAATCCTGCGTTGTCGCACAGTTGCCGTGGGATCACCTGAAAAGCCCAGTGAGGATGTGGTACAACGTAAAAGTAAAACGCCTTACCTCTAGTGCCTTGGCAAACGCGTTTATGAAAAGCTGAGCTTTTCCAGGGATTGTCCGTGCATGCTGTCGCAAGTATCGACTTATTTCCATCTAAAACAATAAGAACACCGATGACGAAATGAAGGGAAAAAAAAAGGCCTCCAAGACTTACATCTATAGCGCCCCCTCCGGCAACAACCGTGGAGTTTTTTAGAGCTCTACGAACGATCATAATGGCATCGTGAAGGCTACGCTCTGCTTCATCGATAAACTGATGCCGCAAGTAAAAGATAGAAGCTTTCGTGAAACAAGAAAAATCAAAGACGGAAACGAACGCACCTGATCCGCCCCGCCACGGAGAACAATTGTTGCAGTCTCACCGGTAGGACATCCCGTAAAAATATTAAACCTCTCATTTCCAACTTGCTTCTCTTCAAATCTTTCGCACGATCCAAGAACCTACAGATTTACACCTTGTGAGTTAATCAGACCAAATATTACAGTCGCGCATACGTCAGGAATGAGATTGTTGACGGAAGTCTGCACAGCCCCTCCAGTCGCGCGGGCCACACGTTGTAAATCCTCTTCTACAACACGCCCAGCGCAAAAGATATCTCGATCTGCAAAGTACTGAAGCGAGCATGTGAGATAAATAAAAAGAAACACAAAGATAAAGAGATAGTACCTGAGTAGCCAGATCACCAATAGCCAAACGGGACAAGACCACTTTGGCACCACTTTTGACGCATTTGTCCAGTTTGTCATAAATGATGTTCCATTCCGCATCCACAATGGACTGATACTGAGAGGGATCCGAGAGCCTACATTGTCGTTCAAACATGACGAGATTCAGTCAGTGGTAATTGAAATACCTGATTTCAGCGTTCTCCTTTTCCGATTTTAGCTCTAACTCAATGTTTAAAAGCAAAATACTCGGGTTGTCAAACTTCTTTGGTTGCTGCTCAAAACCAGCGTACGAGAATGTTTTCTTAAACGCAACTCCATTAACCAAGAAAGAGTCGCGCATTGTTCCTCCGGGTACCTACAGTACAAAACACTTGAGTCACCTCAACATCATAAATGCAAGAGATTTCTTACTTTCTTCACGCCAATCATCTTCAATCCTCTGTCCTCTCCCATGTCCGTCACGGCCTCCACGACCATCTTCGCAAAAAACTCCTTCTCCCCACCCACGAGCTTCGAGCTTAGCGTAGTCGAGGCACATTTCTCGAGGAGCGACTTCTTCTCTTCGATGCTTTTCCCCTCTATGCTGACTGCTATTTCTTTGATCTTCTGGACAGCCTATAGCACAAACAAAAAGACTTAACTCCAACTTGTTGCTACAAGGTTACCAAGTCAGCAGCGGTCCTGAAGCTCCGGATTATAAGCTGGGGATGGACATTCTCCTCGACAAAAGGCTTTGCTTCTCGCAAGAGCTCACCAGCCAGAACAACAACGGTAGTCGTGCCATCCCCCACCTGTGGAAAAAAAAAAACGTTTTTTGGAACTTTCATTTAGGAAATGGAAGTGTGAGAACCTCTGCGTCTTGCGACTTTGCAATGTCGACAAGAACTTTGGCGCCGGGATGAACTACGTCCAAGAGCTTCATGATCGTGGCTCCATCGTTGGAAATGGTAGTCCCCTTGTCGTCGTGGATGAGCTTGTCCATTCCTCGAGGACCCAAAGTGGTCCTCACCACATCCACCACAGCGATACACGCATTGATATTGCTGATGAGCTGCGGCTTCCCTTGCGATGTGTCGGTGCCTTCTTTGAGGAGAATAATCGATGGTTGCTGCCAAGAACACGATCAGATGAAACTTGATGGATCGATGGCGCCGCGCGCGCCGCGCGCTCGAGATCGAGCTCGAAAGAGAGAGAGAAGAAGAAGAAGAACCAGCGAGAGGGAGCTTACCAGCATCGCCGCCATCGCTCTCGCCTTCTTTCCAGCAAGAACCCTGCCCTAAACGGCTATCGAGGTTTTAGGGCTTTTTGGGCTCTAGGGCGAAAGGGAAGCGATGTATGGCGGAGGTGAGCTCGCTCTGTGCGCGGCAATGCTGGATCGTGACCATTCTCGTGTGATTAGACGAGGTATCCGCCATTGTCGTGGATCTGGGATCGCATTCTTGCAAGGCGGGATACGCTGGAGAGGACGCTCCCAAAGCTGTTTTTCCATCGGTAAGAAGAGATTTTTTGCTAGAATCTTATCATATTTCTTCTTCGTGCGAATTTCTTCCAGGCTGTAGGATCTGTGGGAGAAAAACCGAGCAGTACGTACTATGTGGGAAATCAAGCAATACAGTTTAGACGCGATTTCATGGAGGTATTTTTCTGTCATTCTTCCTGTTTTTAATTGAAGCTTTGCTCTGTGACAGGTTTCTCCGGCATTGAAAGATGGTCTCGTCGCAGATTGGGACATAGTTGAGAGCATCTGGGATCACGCTTTCAAGTCTTTACTTCATCTTTTCTCAGGAATGGCTGAAGTAACGTTTTTTTCCTTTTCCTTTTTCCAGGGAACGGCTGCTGATAGATCCCAAAGAGCATCCAATGCTACTTGCCGAGGCATCTTTTAATCCTCAACAGCATAGAGAAAAGTAAGCTGTTTCTCAACTTAAACTTTCATGTCATACTCTTCGTGATGCAGGACTGTGGAGCTGATGTTTGAAAAATATGGTGTGCCTGCGGTCTTCCTTGCGAAGAATGCTGTAAGTGTGGTTTCTATTCCTTTTAGTCTTCTTCATTTATCATTCCAATCTCGTGTGATTGTCTTTCTCTCTCTTTTTTCTCAGGTTCTCACTTCGTTCGCATCTGGACGAGCGACGTCGCTTGTTGCTGACTGGTAATTTATTTTCTTGCTGGAAAAGCTATTCATGGTGTTGAACGATTGCAGCGGTGGCGGTTCTACTACTGTTGCTGCTGTACATGATGGCTATGTTCTGCACAAGGTTGAGTTTGCCGATCTTTAACTTGTTTGTATTAATTCATGCCGATGGATTCTAGGCTGTTCTCCGGTCCCCAATTGGCGGGGAAGTCCTCACAGATTGCCTCTTGAAGATTTTGGAATCGAAGAATGTCAATGTAAGTCTTGGCTTCGGTTCTGTATTCATTTGGTAGTTACTGGCTAGTTTTTTTGCAGATCAGGCCAAGGTATTCGTTCAAAAAAAAAGAACCTGTGAACGGGGAGTTCGAAGTAAGTGTTTTTCTTAAACGCGCAACGCAAATGACAGTACGTTTTGTATGCTTTTTCTTTCAGATTGTGAATCTCGACTTTCCCAACACTACCGACAGCTATCGTAGGTACATGCAGGTACTCGCTGTCGTTGGAAGTTAGAAGATGCTGACCTTTGCTCTATCAGAGAGTGATTGCCGCGGATATCAAAGAAACCGTTTGCCGGGTCCCGGATGGCATCTTCGATGGTAAACTGGATTTTTGTTTTCACCTTCTTCCCATATGAGCGTTATTCTTTGTGTCTGCAGAACACTCGTATGCCAACATTCCTACAACTCCGTATGAGCTTCCCGATGGCCAGTATGTTAGTCTTCTTATCTCGATACTCTGATGGAACTTTGAACTCACTGCAGTACGATTGAAGTTGGCGCTGAACGATTCAAGGTTCCGGACCTTATGTTCAATCCTGCCTTGATACAGGTAAACTTTGCTGTCCGTTTTCCAGGCTTTTCAACTCTTGTTTTTCGGAGCAGACAATACCTGGGATGGAGAAATATGGTGTCGATACGGGGCTCACCTTACGCGGACTACCACAGATGGTAAAAGAATTTATTCTATTTTCCCTTCGAGCTATGGTTCCTTTTTCTCGCCAGGTTAGCGACTGCATAGGAAAATGCGATGTTGATATCCGGAGAGAGCTCTTCAGCACTATTTTGGTAGGAGAAATTGAGTTTTCGCAAATCTTAATTCTTATGAACTTTGCTCTGTGCAGCTCGCCGGCGGAACCGCATCAATGCAGCAATTGAAAGAGCGTTTAGAAAAGGACTTGGTTGAGGTTTGCTTGACTCAAATTCTCTCTGGGAGTTGCACACACAAATTTATTCCAGGAAGCACCACAAGCAGCTCGCGTCAAGGTTCTTGCAAGTGGGAACACAATCGAGAGACGCTTCAGGTAACAGAAACATTTTGAACACTTCTCCTCACCCATAAATGTGCGGTTTCCTTTCAGCGTATGGATTGGTGGAAGTATTCTCGCTTCTTTGGGATCGTTCCAACAGATGTGGTTCTCTAAAGCAGAGTAAGATTTCATTCTTTCCCTCGTTCGGGTCTCTGAGCTTTTCTCAAACAAGCGCAGGTACGAAGAACACGGGCCATCGTATGTCCAAAGAAAATGTCCTTAGAAATCAGAAAAGTATGACTAATTTGTAATTATAAAGTTGAGAAACTGAAACTGATATAGAATTTTCGAAGTGTTACACAACTATAGTACCGGAGAGCAACAGATATGGTGCACTTTGGTTGGGTATCAAGTTCTGGAGCTCTCGAGATGCAAGCCTAGCAAAATCTTGATCCTTGTTGATCTTACTTGATGCCAGGAGTGAGATCCATGCAATCGAGTCTGGCAAAAAGGGCATATGCTTGATCAAATCCTCGCAAAGTTCCATTTGTCCCGCTCGACCCAACACGTCCACCATGCAGCTAAAGTGCTGCTTGCTGGGAGCAATGCTGTAATCACCCTGCATTTCTACAAAACACTCGCGCCCAAGACCAAGAAGCCCAACGTGGTTGCATCCGCTCAAGATGCCCAGAAAGGTCATGTCGGTGGGCATTAGGCCTTGCAAACAAAGGTGGCAGAGAATCCGTATCGCATCACCAAAGTTCCCCGAGTGAGCATGCATGGAAATCATAATGTCCGCCGTAGTTGGGCTATGAAACGGCATAACCATGAAAGAGAACTTTGCTTTCTCCAGATGCCCAGACTGGGCATACGTGCCAAGCATGCAGTTCCACGCCAGTGATGCCCTCTCACGCATCAGATCGAAGATTTCCTTCGCTTCTACTACTTTTCCATTGCACCCAAACATTGCGATCATGCTTGTCCACGACACGGCATTGTGTCCAGGCATCAAAGTGTATGCTTTGATCCCTTCTTTGAAGCTTTGGTTCTGTCCATAGCCGGAGAGAATCGCATTCCAAGACACAACATCTCTTTCGGGCATTGTATCAAACAACTGCGCTGCCGATTCTAGGAGATGGTTTTGGAAATACGCAGTTAAAATTGCGTTTAGTGTCACAAGGCTCCATGCAGGCATCCGATCGAACGTCACCTTTGCATCGCAAACAATGTAGTTCAGGACGTATGAATTGCACATTGCAGTCCAGGATATCACGTCGCGTTGGGTCATATGATCAAAGATTTCCTTGGAATCCCTGAGATGCCCGTTTTGGGCATACGCCAAGATCATAGTTGTCTTGCACACATTGTCCTGATGACCCTGCATTGTTTCAAAAGTCTTTTTCACTTCTTCTAGCTCATTGTTGTCGGCATATACCTGCAGCATAATGGTCCAAGCCACACTGCTCCTTTCCGGCATCTTTGCAAAGATAAGCTTGCTTTTGTCATGGTATCCTCCACGGGCATATGCTTCGAAAAGCGTGTTCCAGGAGATGGCATCTCGCTCAGGCATGTCATCAAAAAGTACTTTGACTGTGTCGATATGAGAAGATCTCTGAGCATATGAGGATATCAAAGTATTCCAGAGGATCGAGTTGTGCTCGGGCATAGCCTGAAAGATTTCTAAAGTCTCGTCATGAAACCTTCCCTGGGCATATGCATGAAACATCACACTCCATGAAAGGAGTGTCCTCTGAGGCATCAAGAAAAACAGGAACCTCACTGACATGACGGATCCCTCTAACGCAAATCCTTTCAACAAGGCGTTCCATGATATTACATCTCTCTCTTTCATAGATAGAAAAAGTTCTTTAGCTTGAAACAAATACCCTTCTTCGGCAAATGCTGTGATCATAGTGTTCCAAGTCGAGACATTCCAAGAAGGCATTTTCGCGAAGACCTTGCTAGCATTTGGCAATTTCGAGTTGATATTGTAAGCAGAAATCATTGAGTTCCAGGAGATAACATCTTTGTTCTTCGTCAAGTGAAACATCTCCTCTGCCGTAGCAATATACCCGTTCTGGGCATACGCATTCGTCATAGTGTTCCACGCTTGTAAGTTCGGATCATGGATGGAATCAAACACCGTACGTGCCTCGTCGACGCGGCCGCACCTCCCGTACAGAAGAACGAGCTGGCTCGCCAGGCCCTTGTGGTCTCTGTACTCGCTTTGCGAGATCCACTCGTGAATACTTTTGCCGGTCGATAAGTCTCTCAAATCGCAACACCGTTTTAGACACGCTCGGAGCTCGCTCAACAGTGCCACCATTGGAGAGACTCATCGTATAGACTCCTCAAAGAAGAACACCAATCTATAAGAGATCCAAGTTCTCAAAATACTTCGTGGAGGATCACCCAAGATTGCCAGAATTTTTGAGCTATTTGAGCTATAGCATCTATCACGATATACTATAGCTAAACTGTCACTGGCAATCTAGCTACCAAACAGAGGGTGGAGTGTCTTTATCCTCCTTGGCGCGATTCGAACCCCAGACCTCTTTAGCAGTGTCGGTTGAGGCCGTCCACGTGTTACATCCATCGGTGGTTTGCGTCAATCGCGAGATTATCGAAGCCCGAGGAGGAGCGCACGAAGACGCTCCGCGCCCTAGCTGCGATCCTTGATCTGGCGCTTCAATCCACACTGGTAAGCAAGCTCTAGATCCGCCGCGGCTTTGCTTGGCATCTCGCGGTGCCCGGTGTTTTCCCACGCATTCTCTTCTCTTTTCTTGAGATTTCGTGGAATGCGGGCAGTATTTCGAGCTCTAGCGCCCAGATCTCCGCCATTTCCTTTCCTTGTGTGAATTCTCACAGCGCTTGATCAGGTAGCGAGATCATGGGCTCCGCTTATGGCGCCTCGTATTTTGTGATCTTGGCGACGCTGGTGTTTGACATCATTGCTTTTGGGCTGGCGATTGGAGCGGAGTCGCGGAGAAATCACGTAAGTTCTTTCTCTTCCAGATTTTATTTGGCTTTTAACGTTCCTTTCTTTGTGTGTGGTACCACGACCAGGTCACGATTGAGACGGACGTGAGTGATTCCTATACTACTTGCCGGTACAGCAAGGACATTGCCACTGGTCTCGGCATTGGAGCGTTCCTGTTCTTGCTCTTGGGTCAGCTTATCATCACTGGTGTCACTCGCTGCCTGTGTTGCTCCTCGCCACTTCGTCCTGGGGGATCCAGAGTTGCCGCGGTCGTGTTCTTCATCCTTTCCTGGTAAGCCCATCTCTCTTGATTCATCTCAGTTCTTCGACCATCAATCCCGTTCCACCAATCCAAAACCATCGAACCATTTTCTTCCCATGTATCTCCACAGTCCAACTTCTTCACTTTCTGTATGGTTTGATGTTTCCTTCGTATCATTTATCACTCCATAGACTTGGCAGCTGGGAAAGTTCTGATTTTTCTTTTCCCCGTGATCTTTCCAGGTTCACTTTCGTGGTCGCCGAGCTCTGCCTCTTGGCCGGATCGACACGAGCAGCGTACCGCACGCGCTCTCGCGGCTACCAGGGCGCGTTCGATCTAGACTGCAAGACGCTGAGGAAGGGAGTCTTCTCCGCCGGCGCCGCTTTCACCTTCTTCACGCTGCTCCTGAGCGAAGGCTACTACTTGTGCTTCGTCAAATCCCAGGAAAACGCATGGCAGACTTACAACACTGGCGGCGGCCCGGGCGTGGGCATGACGCCATATCCAAGACCATACTAAAAGAAGAAGAAGATGGATGATTTTCCATTCCAGTGGAAAGACGAGGGGCATTTTGCTAGCTCGTATAGAGATATAGTCCTTTAATCAATCATTGGTTTGCACCTTAATATCAGTATCAATACTGTTATTTCTAGAAACCATATCAAATGTTTTCGGCCTTTGGATTTTTCTCAAATTTTTCTGAAGAGCTTCTCGCCTCAAGGAACCAAGATGCCTTTGACGAGGTATACACTTGCGAGCAAGAACGAGACGAGAATCCTGTAAGTTCCAGTGGTGGAGTAGAGAAGGCAGAGTAGCTTGTCGATCACTTCCTGGAGGCATGATGAGAAACCGGGTGGCAGCGTTGGAGTGCTCCCAAAGTTTGCGAACAGCAAATCATCGAGGAGGGCTATGATGCCGCGCAGGACGTCGATGAGACTTGGAGGACTGCCCGTGGTGCCCAAGCCAGCGTAGTCGATGAGTGGAGACAAGAAGCCTGAAGCTTGCGGGTATGTCTTGTTGCAATACTGGAGCTTTTGCTGGATCGTGATGAAGTCTTTGGTGATGTTACCAGCTGCAAGCACAGCAAGAGAAAGATCGATTAGAACCACAGTTTCCTTGAGATCAAATTACGATCAAGCTACTAACAAGTATAGATAACAAGTATAGATATTAAGATCAAGCTACTAACAAGTATAACTGTCTGCCGTGCAGCTTGAAACCAGAGAGATCATGACCAACATTGCTAACACGGATGGTAGATTGGAGGCCATTTTTTTTGATGAATAATCACTAAGCACTGTAAAATCTCACTAAGCACTACAACTGCAAAGACAATCAGTGCGGTTTTATTAGGAGGAAGTGTACAAAAAGTCCAGGGAGGTACCGCTTACCGACCTTACCAAAACCAGATGCAAATCAAATAATTCACTCCTTGATCTCAACGCGTTCCGAATAGCTTTACCAAAACCCGCTAGGATTTTTGAGTTGGTCGTCACGGTGGAGAGTCCCAGCGCCAAATTCTGCCGTCTTCACAGCAGTACCGGAAAAGAAAAAGCAGAGAAACCATCAAGCAATCCATACAGGAGAAACAAGCTTAAAACGAGGCCATCGATCACTTAAGCGCGAAGCTCGCGACCAATTTGGAAGCACTGGATCTGGAAAAACATTTAAGAGAAGTGGAGCTAGTTTGAGAAGCCGAGAGAATAACGTCCAGTCTTTCATCACCAGCATCATATAGAGAGAAAAGTTCACTGTGGCGAGAACCGTCAATAGCCCGACCATTTGGGCGAGTCTTCGCCGAAATCTATTCCTGCTGCTCGGAGAAAGATTGCTGCTTGCGGTAACTTCGTGGAGGCTTTCGATATTTCTGTTGCTCGCTGGAAGGCGTTTCCTCTGTAGAAAACTTCTGGTTAGATTGACTGATTGATGAATAATAAGTAGCAGCAGTGATTGGCACGGATGAAACGAGTCAGAAGCTCCTCAACTTGACGAAACCTGTACGCTTGTGTATTTCATTTGATTTGGTTTGCGAAGCAACTCGTGTTCTTCTCAGGTTATGGTGTTCTCGGGTCATGACCAAGACAAGCTGATTTGTGGCCTTCACAGTACGCTTTCTGTGCCTCGAAGCTCATCGGCAATGACAGACACAATCGTCTCGGAGAGGCAAGATTTTAACTATGCATGGTATGAAAGCATTTCTTTTCTTGTTTTTCTCTCTCTTCGTTACATGGTAACTTTGTTGCTTCGCAGGTATGGTGTCCTGTTCGTGATATCTGTACTCGCTCTGTTCTTCTGGCCCAGCCAGGGAATAGATTTGTGGCAGCCTAGTCTAGGGTGGCCAAGGACGAAGACGCAGAGTGGAAGATGCTCTGGGACGCTGAAGGGTAAAGGAAAAGACTCTTACGTTACCCTTCTGGGTGACCAACTCGTCCTTCTCAATCTCTAGCCTATCAAAAGTGAGTGAGAAACAGTTAGAACACCTAAGAAATTGCTGAGAAAAGCGCACCTGATTAATAGCTTCGGACGCTCTATCGAATCCACATCGTGTGTTGTCTGGTCTAAACAATGGTATATGTCCATTGGCATGAAGACCATACTAAAAACATGGATGATTTTTCAGAGGAAAAGAAGGAGGGGCATTTTACTGGCTTGTATAGAGATATAATTCAATCATTGGTTTGCATCTTAGTATTATTACTATTATTCATATCAATGTAGAGATGGCTTATGCTCGTTTCTCAAACTATCTGAAGATCTTCTCGCCTCAAGGAACCAAGATGCCTTTGACGAGGTATACACTTGCGAGCAAGAACGAGACGAGAATCCTGTAAGTTCCAGTTGTGGAGTATAAAAGGCGGAGTAGCTTGTCGATCACTTCCTGGAGGCATGATGAGAAACCGGGTGGCACCTTTGGAGTGCTCCCAAAGTTTGCGAACAGCAAATCATCGAGGAGGTCTATGATCCCGCGCAGGACGGCGATGAGACTTGGAGGACTGCCCGTGGTGCCCAAGCCAGCGTAGTCGATGAGTGGAGACAAGAAGGCTGAAGCTTGCGGGTATGTCTTGTTGCAATACTGGAGCTTTTGCTGGATCGTGACAAAGTCTTTGGTGATGTTAGCAACTGCAAGCACAGCAAGAGAAAGATCGATTAGAACCACAGCGTTAAGCTTTTCCTTGAGATCAAATTACTAACAAGTTATAGAACTGTCTGCCGTGCAGCTTGAAACCAGAGAGATCATGACCAGCATTGCTAACACGGATGGCAGATTGCAAGCCATTTTTTGATGAATAATCACTAAGCACTATAAAATCTCACTAAGCACTACAAATGCAAAGATAACGAGGTGCCCTTTTATTTAGAGGCAGTGCCCAAAAAGTCCAACAGCTTACCGACCTTACCAAAATCAGATGCAAATCAGATAATTCACTCCTTTGATCTCAAGTTCAAGTCTTGTATATGTACGCGTACCGAACTATATTGTAAAGATCCTGTAAATAAACCATTAGAGCTAGCTTTACCAAAAAACAAAATACCCGCTGGGAATTTTGAGTTGATCGTCACGGTGCAGAGTCCCAGCGCCAAATGCTGCCGTCTTCACAGCAGCACAGGATGGTGCTACAGCCAAAAGCAGAGAAACCATCAAGCGCCGAAAAATGATGAAAGAATGAGAAGAATTGGTACCTTCCATCCACAGAAGTTGCTGTTTGTCTTATGGGCGACTTGCACTGCGAATGTGAGAGCCTGCATGCAATGCACGTTTCTTCATTCAGCTCGAAAACAATAAGATCTTACTTTGCAACGAAGCCCGGAGGACTGGATTGGAGATCCCAAACAACAACCTTGCCTTCCCTGTTGCCTGTCACACAGATAAGAAAAGTAGAGTCGCGAGAAAGTTATAAGATATCGCCTGCGGGCTTTTACCTATTGACATGGTACTGAAGTAAAAGTCACACGAGAATTTTATAAACCATATGTCCCAGTCTGGCACTGGGTACTTCTGGATGACATCTACAGCACCCTGTTTACGAGATAATGATATTGCCCGTTCTAGAAAAATGAAAATAAACAAAATAGAGGCTCACGTCGTTGGAAGAATGCTCTCTGAAGATTGGTTCCCACAAAACGATTTCATTATCCACACTCTGCGAATACAAAAATCATTTGTGGTAGAAGTTAAAATAAAGGACTTGCTTAACCTTGGACAAGACAAAGTCGCCGAGCCACCTAGTACAATCCACGTAGTTTGAGTGTACAACTGCGTTAAAAATCTACAGCTTTTTATAAGTAGGATGAACGTGGCTGCATACCGGAAATTGCACGTATTTGGTGGGAAAACGAGAGGATACGTCAGTCCAGGTTTTAGATTGCTCCACATATATCCAAAAATCTGGATGCACAGAGCAAATCAATTTGGGGATGTGTCAAGCTTTTGAACGAACCTTTAAACGACCAGATCTTTATACTGTTGTCCATTCCACAGCTAGCTAGAAGAAATGTATTGGATGGATGGAAGTCCTGTCGAAAAACATATGAAAATAAAAAAACAAAAAGGACTGCATTTACCACACTAAGTACTTCGTTCCGATGACCGCCAGCTCCACCAAATATTAAGATGCAGACACCTGTTTGTAGATTCCAAAGTCGTATAGATTCATCCTGGCAAGGTAAAACATGCTGATAGAAAACACAAGTGATCACTCAATATTTTACCTTGCTTGCAGACGCTATCAAAAACGGGTTCTGACTCTGCGTCCTTAACTCATTGATAGAATCTCCATGCCCAACAAAGCTCTGAAACGCAGCTATGGATATCAGCAACTCAGCACGACCACCAAAACGTAAAAGCCGAACCTTCGACAATCTCTCCATTCCGCAGTCTATAACGCGTATAATCCCGTTGCTTCCGCTCGCAATGAGCAAAGGCAAGCCACTGAGATCGCAGGCCCAAGTAACTGTGTAAAACGATTCGTCTTTCTAGAGGAATGTGGGTCGATTGAAAGAATGGATTTACAGAAAAAACTTACATCCTCATCGACATAAGCCTGTAGCACGGCCACAGCACCTCCTTCCAAGCACTGATAGACTGTAATCTGGAAAAAACGACATTGGAGCTAACAAGATTGGATAACGAGAACTTCGCTTACTCTGTTTCCACCGGCGGAAGCAAAGGTATTGTGATATCTCATATCCAAGAAATTAAACGCGATGGCATAGAGTGGTCGCTTGCCTTCCTGGAGTCGATTCGTGAGCTTATACTCGCGCTTCTTCTTGCTCGCAGTGGCAACACCCACAACGGGAGCCAATCCCAGTCCTGCTCCAGGTCCTACCGCCTTCATCCTGGCACGAGTAACGAAGAAAACCCTCAAGAACCCTAAAATCTCGCGAAAGAAAGAACGAGAAGATCACTGCGACTCACCTGACGCGCCCTCGGCATAGATGTTGGACAGCAGCTGATACGTCGCGCGGCTCTCCGGCTCCTCCGCCGCGATCTTGCGAGCGATCGCCGATCCCGTCTGGCGATCGCCGTGGATCCGGCAAGCGCTGAGGATCGTCGTCAGCGTCGCGGAATGTGGCCGGAATGGCATCGAATCGATCACTCCCGCCGCCTCCGAAATATGCCCCGATCTCGAGAGGAGATCCACGATCCCGACCAGCGGCTGATCGCTGCGCGCCGCGATGCCGTAATCTTCCATCTGTGACGCGAAGAAGAACAAGCCCTGATTGACGAGGCCGGAGTGCGTACACGCCGAGACGATGCTCGTGAATGTGATCTCGTTAGGGATAATCCCCTCGAGCTCCATCTCCATGAAGGTCGCCACTGCCATGTTACCATAGCCGTTTTGGGCATATGCCTCCACCATGGCAGTCCACGTCACGATGTCGCCAGCGTGGCGGATATTCTTAAAGATGCTTCTTGCTTTGCTGAAATTTCCGCCCTTTCCATACATGTTGATGAGCGCGTTCTTGACGCGGCGATCGTGCTCTAGGGTTTGCAGATCGGCTATGCTGGAATGGATGAATCGATCGTGCGCGAGGGATGGGGTGTTGGCGCAAGCGTCTAGGAGAGTGATCAAGGTGATCGCGTTTGGCGCGACGCCGTCGAGATCCATGGCACGGAAGATCTGCATCGCCTCTCTTCCCTGGCGATTGCGAGCGTAAGCCGAGATGATCGAATTCCAGGCGCCGACCTTGCAGCAGTACGGCAGGATCGCGTCAAAGGCCGCCCTGGCAAGCTCGATGTGGTCGCATCGAGCGTACATATCGATCAGAGCGCTGGCGATGGCGAAATTGGAGGACGAGGCTGCGCAGCACTCCTGGTGGAGTAATCTCCCAGTTGCGAGATCTCCCAGGCTGCCGCAGGAAACGATTGCGCTCACAAACGTGATCTCGTCCGGGAAGACTCCGTGGAGATCCATCGTCCTGAATAGCCCCAATGCCCGCTCAAAGCACCTGTTCTGTGCGAATGCCGCAACCATGCCTGTCCAAGAGACGATATTTCTTTGTTCCATCGCGTCGAAAATTTCCATCGATCTCTCCACGCTGCCGCATTTGCCAAACATATTCACTGCCGCATTGCCGATTCTAACATCCTGCGAGGGATTCCACTGCCAAGAACCAGAAGAATACACCGATTCGGCCATTGCCAGGGATCCAAGACTCGCGCAAGCGTCGAGAACAGTGATCAAAGCCACGGCGTCCGGCTTCAATCCTTCCTGGATCATCGATCGAAACACCCCCACCGCATCTGAAAATTCCGCGTTCTCGGCAAGCGCTGCGATCATCGATGTCCAGCACACCACATTCCTCTTGGGAAGAGCAACAAACGCCGATCTAGCTCGCTCGATCGATCCACACTTGCCATACATCGTCACTAGCGCGGCGCCTACTGCCGCGTTCTTGACAAGCCCTAGCTCGCAAGCTCGAGACTCATGAAGGCACTGCCCCAAGGTGAGCCATCCAACGGCGCCGCACGACTCCAGGGCGACAAGGACCGTCACATCCGACGGCGGGACGCCCTCCAGATCCATAACCGCCAGGAGATGTAGAGCGTCCATCTGGCGGCCATTCTCCGCGTAGAACGCCATTATGGAATTCCAGCACACGACATTCCGTTCCGGAATGTGGTCGAACACTTTCCGGGCATCATCAAGATGCCCGTTCTGGGCATATGCCGCGAGCATCAAAGACCACGAGAAGACGTTCTTCCGTACGATGGAGTCGAAGGCGGCCCTGGCCGAGTCCACGTCCTGGCACCTGCCGTACATTTGGACGAGGAGATTTCCCAGGAACGTATCGCAGCTGTGGCCGAATTTTTCGATATGAGCGTGAAGAAGTTTGCCTTGCTCTAAAGTCTTTGTTTGCCGCAAGAGTGAGGCATAGGAGGAGAACTTCACGGGAGCGTCTGGAAGATCCAAGCTCAAGCAATCCATACAGCGGAAACAAGCTTAAAAAGAGGCCATCGATCACTTACTCGAAGTAAGCGCGATCAAATTGGAAGCACTGGATCTGGGAAAACATTTAGTGAAGTGGAACTGGTTTGAGAAGATGGCTTACCAGAGAGAAAGAAGTGTTACGTCCAGTCTTTCATCACCAGCATCATGTAGAGAGAAAAGTTCACTGTGGCGAGAACCGTCAATGGCCCGACCATTTGGACGAGTCTTCGCCGAAATCTATTCCTGCTGCTCGGAGAAAGATTGCTGCTTGTATCAGTGTCGGTAACTTCGTCCGGGACGGTGGAGGCCTTCGACTTTGCTGTTGCTCGTTGGATGACGTTTCCTCTGTAGAAAAATCCTTGTTAGAAGATTGATAAAAAGTAGCGCAAGGCTAACCTTCGCTCGGAGCCTTGAGATGAAGAGACGCTAGTTTGTGGGAGGCTTTTCTTTACGAGATGCATGCCACCTTCCGCGTCCCAGAGCATCTCCCACTCTGCGTCTTCGTCCTTGGCTTTGACACCTTCAGAGCCGGCCTTGAGTGCGTCGTAGAGGCTACGAAATGACTGCCACAAATCTATTCCCTGGCTGGGCCAGAAGAACAGAGCGAGTACAGATATCACGAACAGGACACCATACCTGTGAAGCAACAAAGTTACCATGTAACGAAGAGAAAAAAGAAAAGAAAAGAAATACTTTCATACCATGCATAGTTGAAATCTTGAGCCGGAAGGAAACAAAGGCTCTCCGAGATGATTGTGTCTGTCATTGCCGATGAGCTTCGAGGCACAGAAAGCATCATGAAGGAGGGATATATATTTCCTTGTTGCCAGCTGAACGTTCCCACTGTGTACTGCGAAGGTCACAAATTACAGAAGCTTGTCTAGTGAAATCTGATCTTACCTCTGGATAAAACCCTTCGGGAGTGGCATGAACAATCTTGCACTGGTCATGGTCATGACCCGAGAACACCATAACCTGAGAAGAACACGAGTTTCTTTGCAAACTAAATCAAATGTAATACACAAGCGTACAGGTTTCGTCAAGTTGAGGAGCTTCTGACTCGTTCCATCCGTCAAGTAGTTTTGATATCTGTGAAACAGTAAATGAGTTGAGTTGCAGTCACTGTGGAGGAACATCTTACGTTACCCTTCCGGGTGACCAGTTCGTCCTTCTCAGTCTCTAGCCAATCAACAGTGAGAACACCTTAGAAATCGCCTAAGAGAAGCTTACCTGATTAATAACGTCGGACGCTCGATCGGATCCGCAGGGTGTGTTGTCTGGTCTAAACAATGGTATATGTGTCATCAGAACCATAGGCCTAGCTGCACGGTCTGTGGAATAGAAAAAATCAAAACAAAAATCAACCATGAACAGCATTGCTTTACCCGAGCTTGCGACTTTCTCAACAAAACTCCAAGAAGCATTTGTGAAAGGGTCCGCTCTTGAACCTGTGAACAAGAGCGTTTGGACTGTAAGAACACAAAGAGAAAACTGGCTCCAACGCGTACCATCAAGAGCTTGCGAGTTCACAAACACGAAGTCCAAGCTACCAATGTTGTGAATGAAATCGGTTTCACCGAACTTCTTCTGGTACCTCTGTGCTATCTGCGAAAAAGTCCATAGTTTCGAGCCAAAGAAAAACAGAAAACAGAGAGAAGGAAACGATACCTGTGGTTTCTGAGAGAACACCTCATGATATCCCAAGTCGTGGTTTCCACACAAATAATACGTGGGAATTTTCTTCCTCGACTTCAAACCTCTTTGGGTCTGATCAAAGATATGCTCGAAACGTTTCCAAGACTCCTCCCACCTGTGGAAGAGCTGTTCTTATAGAGCTAGAATTTATAAGCTAGAAGAAATTCTTACTCGTCATCCGCGAGGTAAGGTCCTCCATCGAAGTAATCTCCCAAGAAAAGGATCTCATCTGGTTCTAGACCGAGCACAGACGATCGAAATGCCCGTCTCATGTAGATATCGGAGTAGAACTGGATGATCTTCAGCAGGAGCGAGCGAGGATCCATTCCATACGATGTCCTGTCGGTCAGCTATCGATCGATGTGTCAGGAGAGGCAAATATTTCGGGGAATTTGCCAAGAACACGAACCTGTGGATCGGCAATGAGGACGATTCTCAGCGGCCTCTCTCCCGGCGGTAATTTCGTGCTCGCAAATTTCTGCCAGAAAGAATTTGCGTGAGAGAATTGAAAATTCCTGGAGGAAACGTGCGAATGCCTGCTCTAGATTCGGCCAGGAGCAGCTCCACCGGGGGATCCAAAACGCGAGGAGCTCGCCGTAGAGCAAAGACGCGATCCAGAGGCCTCCCAAGAACACCGTGAGCGTCCATAGCGACCGCATTTTCCCCTAAAACATTTGTTTTGTTTAGGGCTCTACCAAAACTGGGTAGGGTTCTAGGAGGAGAGAATGAGAACGGCGACGATCGCCCTCTGGCGAGCTTCCAGCTCGATTCACAGAGGTATGCAGCGGGCGGCGAGCGTCCCGCAATCACAGCCGGCGGCATTGCTCCATTGCCGGAAGATCAGCGAGGAGGCGCGGAAATATCGTGTGCCGACGCCAATGGCGGGCTGGGCGCGCGGATTTCCTCTTCCCAAGGGCGTCGAGCCTTCGTCCCGGGACTGGCGGAGGAAATCTGTGAAGGTAAAGAAGAATCGCAGATCTTTCTGTCCCTACACGATCAAAGCCAGGCGCGTGTACAGCAGGGTGAGATTTGAAGCTCAGGAGAGGCGGCTCAAAAGGGCTGCCGATCGCGAGGCTGCTGCCGCCGCTGCTGCTGCTGGAAACAAAGATGGAGGAGAGGATGCGCCCCGGATGGATCGAAGCCACAGCGAGCAGCATTTCTCCAGTAGAGCTGCTCCGGGCTTGGATTTCTACTCGAGGTTTGTCAAGCCCAGCGGACGTAACGAGCTTGTGCCGGCGGCAGTGGCACCACCCAACTTTCCTGCCTATTGCAAGCCGGTGGTGAAGAAGATCGATTCATGGAGAGCTCCGTGGACGCGGCCATTCAAGAAACCCAGGCAGGATTATCAAGTTGGAAGGCCGAGGCCACTGCCAAAAGCCGCTGCTCGAGCCGTGAGAAGCGATCGAGAGGTTGCGAAGGTGAAGGGCCGCGAGAAGAAACTCAAGAGGCTTGCTAGAGGAAAGATCGTCAATCCCAAGCAAAGGATGGAGTACACTTGAGAGAGGTAAGGTGGGACTTTCTCTTTTTCGTTTCATAGTGATAACTCTAAATTCTCGCAGATGGTGATGAAGATGGATTCAATTGTAGTAGTTATCGTAGTCGCAGTTAAACAAGATCTCATCATCGGCATCCACTCCGAGGCAGTCTGAGAGATCAATCGACGCCGGCTTTCCGCCACAAACAACAGAGATCTCTGTTCCTTGGATCGTGAGTGTCGAAGTCTGGCAGCTTGTTACAAAGTTGTGGCTGGCATCCCCGCACTGGAGCTCGTTGTTCTCGTACTGCAAGAGAACCTGGAGGTGGTAGCGGTCACTAAACCAGTTGCCGTGCGCGCGGCAAGTCACGTAGAGGTAATCTTCGCTGCTGTCGTAGTGGATATCCCGGCACTCGGTACTGTTGAAAGTTTTGACATCGCAGTTCTGCAAGCCACAGAGACGAGACAAGACGTCAAGAAGTGATGCGGTGATTATCAAGCATCAAACTTACAGCGCTAACTTGTTGGAGCACAGCTGCTGTCACGACGAAGGCCAGGATCGAAGTTTTCAAGGAGCCCAAGAACAAAGCCATCCTCTCGAGCTCGAAAGGTTTGCTGCTCTTGGTTTTTTATCCCTGGCCTCATTCTCTTTACGTGCGTCTTGAAGCAGGAAGACTGTGCGTTATAAAAGAATGCTAGAAACTCCGAAAAGAAGTTACTTGCCACTCGCGAAAATGCTACAGCCACATCTCGTCGGCCGCGTTCTCAGAGGCAGCGTACATGTTGTCGGAGCCAGCGATTTTCACGTCCAGGATCAGGTGAACTTTAGCTCCAAACCGCGCTGACAGTTCCTCGTTTGCAGCCATTCCGATTTTCCTGGAAGAACACGCTCGCGAGCTCTTTAGCCTGTGGAAATTAGCATCGTCCGAAGTTACCTGATGAGACCTCCATTCTTGCCAATGAGAATCTTCTTTTGAGAGTCTGTAGGCACGATTATCTGCTGCTCGATGCGGATGGAGCGGTCTTTTAAGATTTTCCACGAGACGTGCTTGTGGTGAAGATGATACGGTATTTCCTGGAAACAAATAAAGCGATCAAATAAATTCTTCTCGAGAATTTGCAAGAGTTTGCAAGTGTTACCTGGTGTACATTGTCAAGGACGTGCTCCCACACAACTTCTTTCGCCACTGCGATGGGACTCATGTCCGTCACGACACCCTTTTCTTCTTCCCAAGGCCTTGGTACTGCCTAGAACGAAGAAACAAAACGTATGAGCAAAACCAAAAGCGGAAAAAAGAGAAAAGAAAAGAAGCTCACTTTCTCTAAAAGGTACTCTTTTAAGTGTCTCACGCCGCTTCCTCTCAAGCCGGAGATCATGAAGACCCTGTGAGTTGAAACGTTGAAGAGATGGAAGTGACGAATTTTTTTGATACCTGTCGTATCCAGGGAGCGAGCCAAACTCCTGCGCCAGCGGCACTAACTCCCGCTTTTGGCGAATCAAGTCGACTTTGTTCAAGCACAAGATCCTCTTTTGCTTTGGATCCTTCTTCTCTCCTAGCTTCTCGATCAGTTTTCTCACTCTCTGGTCGGGGCTATCAAGCGAAGAACCACGTTTGAGTTGCTTCGAGGAAATGTATACGTCCTTACCGTTCTATTTGGCGATGAGCGTCCACCAGCACGATGAGAACTTCGCAGTGGCCAGTGACCATCCAGGCGCTTTGGACTCGGCTTTTCACGTCTCGTCTTACGGCCTGACCCTTCCAGCGCATCATCAAACCCGGAGTGTCGTAGAAAAGCTGCAACCGCCGAAGATAAGCTCCATATTCCTCAAGAAAAAGCATCAAAAGCTTACAACTTGCGTATCGTTCTCTGTTAAAACTCCGAGGATCTCGTTTCGTGTTGTGTTTGTCTTTCGAGAGACTGCCGACACCTTGGTTCCAACCTGGATTTGGATGGGAAGTGAAGAAAACATACGAAGAAGAAAGATAGAATCGCTTACCATGAAGTTTAAGAGTGAAGACTTCCCAGCGTTGGGAGCTCCAATTATCCCGACTCTCACGGACATTTGCTCGTCCAGTGACACAGATCCGATATCAGCCGAGCGATCGTCGATGGCTGCCAGTAGTGCCTTCGCTTGAGTCGCTCCAGAGACTTTCTCATCACCTTGAGCGGACGAAGACGTTGTGGCCGTGTTCAAATCCTCAATCATCTTCTCACGTTCCAAGCTAGCCCGCTGGTCATCTTCGTCCGAGACTTTCTCATCACCTTGAGCGGACGAAGACGTTGTGGCTGTGTTAAACTCCTCAATCATCTTTTCACTTTCCCAGCTAGCTGTCTGATCATCACCTCCCTTGATCACGATTTCCTCAAATGATTTGAAGTCTTCATCGTCTTCTTCCGAGCTTTCGAATTCGTTGCTCTCCATGAAGCTGTTTAGTATAGCAGTGCTCTCCGGAATCTCTTCTTCTCCTGTAGCGACAGTCCCACTTTCTTCTTGTGGGACGAGGCCTTTGTCAACCAAAGCTCTCTCAACTCTGTCCCGGTAAGAAGTCTTCCATCCTTCCACCTTCGCAGGAGGAAGATCAAGAGGCTCCACTACTCCGTCAACTTCCCTCTGGAGAGACTTCAAGGATTTTATCGCAGCTTCGATCAATTCTGTGCCTTGGCTCTTGGGCTTTGCCACAGGAACACTACCTTTCTTCTTTTTCTTCTTGAGTTTTTTCCCCGGCTCAAACTCTTCGTCGTCTTCTTCTTCTTCTTCCTCCTCTGTGTCAATGCTGGACGATTTTTCTTTGGCCTTTACGTTTGAGCTTCTCGAATCTTTGCTCTTGGTGACCTCCTGAGACTTCTTCGTCTTCTTCTTCAAATTCTCCCTTTCTTTCTCCAAATCCTCCGCTTTCTTCCTCGCGATCTTCGCATTTTCGATCCTCTCTCGTTCTGCCTTGCCCAGCAAAAGACCCGATCCATCTCTGAGAGGAAGTCTAAACTTATCCTTTCCCCAATCCACGAACTTCCTCCCATCGATCTCTCCCCTCTTATACTTCTTCTCTACTTCCCCTCTCTTCTTCAGCTGCTGCTCAGCAAACCTGGCCCTCGCGAGCTCCCTGACCCGCCGCCGCCGCTCCTCCAGCACCGGATTCTCGCGCTCGCTGTCCGACGCTCGCGATCCCAAGCTCCGCACGCCAATGCCCGTGAGAATCCTGCTGCCACTACCTCGGAGCGCGATCAAGCCTCGCCTCTCTAGCATCTGAAAATGCCAGTATCAAGAACCCTAAGATTTAGGGTTTAACCCCTTTGCTGGCGTAAGCAAGAGTTTTACACTGTTCTTCCGGCTCTTTCATTGTTCTTCCAGCAAAGAACACGACATAAATATGGTGTTCGAGCAAACAAACTTCGCGATGATGGCGATCAAGCTTATGTGCGCTCTTCTTTTTCTTCTCGTTTGTGGCACTGGTGAGTTACTCTTAGATCTCTCAAGCTCCTGGAACTAACATCAAGTTCGTCAGACTCGAGAGGAGTGAACGTCGAGTGGGATGTTCTAAACTGGACTACAGATGGTTACCAGGTTTGATCTTCCAGCTCCTTACATTCTTTGCTTCGTCGCAGTGTTGATGTGAATCGATCTCTTCCAGGCTCTAGTAACTCTGGATTCGTCTGGAGAGAAGAGCTTTTCAAAGCACGGATGGGCTTACGGCTGGACTTGGGCGAAGAAGGAAGTGATCTGGGAGCTCGAGGGAGCTAAAGTCCAGGATCAAGGCAACTGTACTCGCTTCATTGGAAACAAGCCTCTTGCTTGTGATCGCTCGCTTGTCCTGGTTCCAGCTGCGAAGAAGCGTGACAAAAACGAGAAGAAGGTTGTATCTTTCCTGGTCACCGTTGGCGAAGCAGGGATGAGCACTATCACGGTTGATCTTCCTAAGAACTTTACTTTGAAGCCTGGGTATCACTGTGGAGCTGTGAAAGAATCATCTGCGCATAAGAAAGGAGCTCTAAGTAAGAACTACGTGTTATTTTTGCTTGCAAAGTACCTGATCTGATACCTTGTTTGATGAACAGAGAGCTGGGAATCGCTGTGTGCTTGAGCCTCGCTTCAGATAGACTTAACGAGGCTTTCGTCTTCTAGAGGTGTTTTCTGGAATTGATTTCTCAACTGTCCACAAGCTGCATTTGCATCCAGGCCACGAGTTTGCCTCACCGAGGCATTTACTCGGCACTTAGCCAATGTTTCAACAAATGTCTGGACCTATGAATAACGAAAAACATCAAGATGTGTTTTAGAAAGCTTATAACGAGCTTACTGATTTTTGCCAAGGTCGTTGAAACAAAGAGTCCGCAACTGGATTATATGGAATGAGGTTGACATGATGGCTCATATCCCAGTGATGGAGAAGCTCTCCTAGTTCGAAAGCAAGCTCCTTAGAATCGTTTACGCCAGCTGAGGAAAAGCCAACAAAATGAATACAGTGCTCCAAAGCAAACTACGTTGGAACGAACCTAGAAGAGTATACTCGAATGACACCCGACGCCCTGTGATGCTGAAGTATTCTTTGCAATCTTCCATCAACGCATCCAGCGGATAGGACTTAGCGCTGGGTACAATTTGTTCTCTGAGGCGCTGATTTGGTGCGTGCAAGCTGTTTCGGTGGAAACAAACACAAGTATTAAAACCGAGGAATAGAGAGGAAAGATTGGTGTCCCACCTTACAGCTAAAGTGGACTGAAGCTTATGTGCCGCAAGTTTACGTATAGAGTTTGGAACACCAACGGTCGAAATGGTTATCATGCGTTGGCCGATTCCGATATCTTCGTTAAGGCATCGATGAGCGGCAAGAACTGACGCCATATTCAGCATTGGTTCTCCCATTCCCATGAAGACAACGTTGCTCACTCGCTGTTTGAAAATTTCCTCCATAACAAGGACCTGAAATAAAAATCATGTCGCACTCCAAGGTATATTGTGCGAACAAATAAAACCTGCTCGATAATCTCGTGTGGCTTCAAGCTTCGCGTAAAACCACCTTTACCAGTAGCACAGAAGGCGCATCGCAGAGGACAACCTACCTAGACAATTGCAAGGTTGTATGAAAGAAAAAAGGAGCTGGAAAAAAAAAACCTGGGATGAAACACAGACAGTAAGCCGATTGTTTTCTTCATCAGCTGGTATTCCCACAGTCTCTATTAAACGACTATCTTTAAGCTTGAGTAACACCTTAAAAGAAGCTAAATGTTAAAGACGATCTTTGCAAGAACGAGAGAAAAATGAAAACCTTGATTGTACCGTCTACAGAGTTGACTTTGTGATGAATTGGAGATCTTCCAACTTCCCATCCCTCGGAGATGAGTTTTTCTCGAAAGCCTTTCGATACTGAGCCACAAGCATTTTCCTCTAAGCATCCTGAAGGAAAAAAAAGCTTGAGGAACTTACAGTTTGTGAATTCTTGTATCTCAGCCTTGCGGACTTTGTAGAGAAGAAGATACATTTGCTTTCCTCGAAACCTCTTCTGTGAGTAACAAAGAAAATAAACACAGTGACAACGAATATTTCATGACGCTGGAAAACAATACCTCTCCCATTTCTTCACACAGATCTTGAAGCTGCTTCTCGGATTTCCCTAGCAGGAATTTCCGTGGACTGATGATCTTACCATCCTTCACCTGTACCTCCGGACGAGCCTCGACCTCGTTGATCTCCAACGCCTCGGCTGCCTGTGAGAAATTTCGGCGAGAAAGATTGCCGAGCCCGGCGCATTTTCCCAGTGGCGCACAGACCCTAACTCTCGCAGCAGAAGAAACGATCGAGAACGCTAGCCGGCTCTGCTGGAGCTCTATCGCCATCGCCATAGCCGCGCGCTTCATAAACCCATCATCCAGATAAACCCTAGAAAGATTCGATGGAATATTTTATGGCGGGGGGATAACTTATCTTGTTCTAGGGCTTCTAGAGAGGGCGAGCGAGGAATGGAGCTCTCGAGGTTCGTGCATTGGTTTCTCTGGTGGAGCTGGCTTCTGTGGGCGCCGCGATTCGTAATATCGCAGCCAGGGCGCGATTGCTTGATGCTGTGCTCGCAGAACATCACCTGCGCGTTAGAATGCGCGGCGTGTGACTTCGATTGCTGCAGCTCCACTTGCGATTCAGCTCGCCCCGGCGCTGTTTGTGATCCATTTTGCTATGTCTCCAGTCTCGATGTGAGCGATTGCTGCGTTAGCGCTCCATCGCCGCCTCCAACTCCGGCCCCCAGTATGTAGCACTATGGACTCCACTATTCCCTGGTAAAATTTTTTGTCATTTTATTCCTTCATTGCTTGATCATGGTTTGTTCTATGCTCATTTTTCTTCTTGGTTTTTTTTCTTTTGTTCTCCTGTCCGTATGCTTGATCATGATTTTGCTTGAAAGGCTTTCATCTTCTTTTGCTTGAACCAGCTTGAGAAGTTGTCATAGTTCTTTGAGTTTCTATCGTTGAGTTTGCGTGAAAAGTTTTCATTCTTTATATGTTTGTGTTCTTCTATGCAGTTATACCAGGGCCTGGAAACTGCAGCGTTATCGACATTCTTGCTGTAAACATCACGATGGTCGAGGGAGTGCCGTTCACTTTCAATATTGTTGCCATCGATTCGAGCTGCAGTGGATCGACTTGCTCGTGCACTACACCTTATGACGGATCGCCCAGCCTTTTTCAAGTACGTATCTTCGATTCCGGAACTGGATTTACTCCACCCAATACTGCCTGCAACGTGAGCGAGGGGTCCAGTTCTGGAGTATTTTCCGTGTCATGCCTTGCTCAAAATTCCATTGCAGATGCCAATGCTCAATACATCCTTTTTGTGACTCTCTTTTCCTATGGGTTTTGGGTGGTTCCTATCGGATTTTCGAGCCCGGCCATCACTATCATTTCCGGTATGCTTACAGTGTTATCCGTCCGCAGTTTTAATGTTTTTTCTTTTTCTGATTCTCAGGTCCTGTGTATGTTCCTGCATGTGTTGCTACATGGTCCAACAATAGCAGCACCTTCGTTGCTGGCACAATGGCTACGCTGCAGATAACTCAAAAAGACGCATTCAATAACACTGTTGGTGGAAAGACTGGACGAAGTGTACTATACAGCTTTCAGCTCGCCGTAATTGCCAACCCTGCCGTGAACACCTCGACGAGCTTTCCCAGTTTCAATGTCTCTGGTAACGCGACTGAAGGTTCTCAAACTGTTTCTTTCTATCCTACTACAGCCGGTAGATTCTACTTGCAAGTTGGAAATGGCACTCACGTTATCCAAAAGGCACCGTTCCGCTTTTACGTGGTTCCAGGTAAAAGGTTTTGTCAGCAACGTGTATTCTTTCTGATGTTCTTTTTTTAATTTTTCTTTTTGTTTTTTGGTCTTTCTTTGATATATCAGGTCCTCTTTCTATTAATGACAGTTCAGCTGTTTGGCCAAACGGAGTTAATTCCTTTGAGGCAGGGACTAATTCTTCTCTAGCAATATTACAACTCGATGGATTCAGCAATTCTATTCCAAATATGGAGCTACTTCTAAGCTTTTACTACTCGGATGGCAGTACACTGGCGCCTCTGAATGTAACAGTTGCTCCCCTCGAAATCGACACGGATTATATTGCTGCAACTTTTATGCCAATCCAAGCAGGCCAATATTATCTGCACGTTGGAAATGGATCACAAGAATTACAACTTTCACCCTTCACATTTTCGGTATTTTCAGGTGAATGTGTAAGTTGTCAATCAATCAACTGGGTAACCAGAGTTTATAATTTTTTTTGCAGGTTCAATTGCAGTGGAAAACTGCAAGGGTTCCTGGACGGGATTCAAGTCTACCTTCTATGCTGGAGAACGAGCTGAATTTAATGTGTTGGAGATGGATGGTTACGGCAATAATGTCAGCTTATCCACTGGCAGCTTAAGCTCGTACGACTTTTCTGTCAACGTGAGCACTGCGAGCGACTATCAACTGTTTGCGATGCCGAGCCTGGCTTTACTTCCTCCGGAGCTTGGATCAGCTTACAGGATCGTAACATTTTATCCTCAAGTTTCGGGAACATATTTGCTGAACGTTGGCAGCGACATCGTCAATATTTCGAATTCTCCCTTCTTATTCCGAGTTTTTCCAGGCATGTATATAAATATGTGGCCTTGCATCGTGAACTGACTTCCTTTTCTTTGCAGGTCCTATCAGCATACCGACCTGCATGGGGTTTTGGCCAAATGGCAGCCAATTTCAAGCGGGAGTGAATGGCAGTTTGCAAATCTTTAAGCGAGACAAGTACAACAATAGCGTTTATGACCCTTATGTTTTTATTGGTACGATAGTGAGCCTCTCGAGCGACATACCAGTAGGAAGCTTGCCGGATCTGGGAGTGCAAGTGCAAAACATCAACGGCACGGATTACAACCTGATGACTTTCATGTCAACTCTTTCTGGAGATTTTGCCTGTGAAGTTGGAAGTAGCACTGACACCATCACAAACTCGCCTCTTGGTTTTTTCGTGAATGCGAGTAAGTTTTTGCTAGTATATATCTCATCTTAAGTGGTTTGTTACTTCAGGTTCGGTGTCCACTTCCGCATGTCTACCATCGTGGCCGAAGGGCTTGAATAGATTTCCTGCGGGAACTGAAGCCACGCTTCACGTCCTACTCAAGGATGTCTACAACAACACCGTGAGCTCAATTACTGGCGGATATGATTACAATTTTCAGCTGTCAGCCGACATTTCTGGAAGTGCTAATAGTTCTCTAGGATACAACGTGAGCTTTGCCGATAATCCTTCTGCAGGCATTAAAACAGTCAAATTCTATCCGACCTTGGCCGGCAGCTACTGGCTGGGTTTGTGGAGTCCCAGTGCAAATCTAACAGGGTCACCTTTCCAGTTTACTGTTACAGCAGGTCTCTGAGATAATCTTTACATTTCGTACCTTCTTTTGGCTTATTGTGTCTTTTTTTTTTGTATAGGCTCTGTATCTGTTTGGAATTGCACAGCCTCCTGGCTTGGTGGCGTAAATGTTTTCGACGCGGGAACTCAAGCAGTTATCCAAATCCTTCTCATGGATGCGTACGGGAATAATGTCAGCTTGGCAACAGGAAGAAACGACTCCTACAACTTTGTTGTCGAAGTACAAGGCTATCCTGATGCTATAAACAACTGGAATGTTACGGTTGTTCCTCAGAACTTCTCCGGGTACCAGTCCGTAGTTTTCTTTCCGGTGGATGCCGGACAGTTCAACTTAAGGATTGGAAGCAAGTCGAAGAACATATCCGGGTCGCCGTTTCCATTGACTGTAAACCCAGGTACTACACTCTTTTTTACCGTATTATATATTAACAGTTAAACACAGGATTCTTGTCCGTGCCGGATTGCTCTGGCGAGTGGCTCAATGGTATAGAGTTCTACCTACAGAACACAACTGTGACATTCTTGCTCTATCCAAAAGATGTGTTTGGGAACGCTTTACCCAGCAATGGCCTCACCGCAGCAAACTTTACGGCGCTCGTTTATTTCCAATCAAACCTGAGTATGCTGGGAGTTCCAAGCTTGGCCGTGACACAGATGACGAACTACTCGCTGGCATTCAGATTTAACATGACCAAAGTTGGAAGATTTATCTTACAGATTGGAAATGCATCAGAAGACATTTCTGGATCGCCATACTTGTTCACAGTGACCACAGGTTTGAACATAACGTTCTTTGATGTTATGCTAATCACTTTTCCTACTTTTTGTAGACAACGTGGATCCTTCGAGAACCATAATAGATGGTACTGGGCTAAAGAACTCAACCGCTGGTGTCAAGTCGGAGTTTCTTGTCCAACTTCGCGACAGTGCAGGAAATACAGCATACGCAAACGCTAGTGACATGAGCGTCCGGTTTACGAGGTTCGGCCTTCCTATCAACGTAACAACTAACATTTCTATCGTTCCCAAATCGAGTGGTGCATTCCTAATCGCGTATGTGCCCACACTTGCTGGGGACTACAAGATTGTGACGCAGTGGAAAGGGCTCGTTCTAGGGGGAGGTCCTGCAATAAAAAAGAGCGTTCTTCCAGGTGAATATTTTTCTTGCACACTTCGTTTCTTGAACTGATGCCTTTCGTAAATGGTTGTAGCAAGTATATATGGACCGTGGTGCAGAGCTACGTATTCTGGGGTGTCACAGGGAGAAGCGGGCTTGACTACGAGCTTCCTTGTCACAACTTTCGACGCATTCAACAACACAATGCCGACGGGGCCAGTGAATATCTCTATAAAGTTTTCTCCGGCTGTCACCCAGGCCACAACCATCACCAACAATCGAAATGGAACGTATACTGTCAAGTGCAACGTCACAAAATCTGGGACCTACGGTGTGTTTGTTTACGCCGGATCGTTAACGCCGAGCAATCTCACCACTGGCAGCCCGTTCCAGATCACTGTTTCATCAGGTTCTACTTCTTTTTTCCTCGACGATTCAAGCCTGAGTGTGATTCTTCTTAACAGGTCCAATCGCGATATCTCAATGTCGCGGGGTGTTTATGGACGGAAATGTGATAAGTGAAGGCAGTGCGGTGAGATTCCTTCTCTTACTGCGAGACAAGTTCAAGAACAAAGTCTACCAGGTTCTAAATGAAACAGTCACTGCCATGTTTACGGCGTCCGTCTACACGACTGGTGGCGAGGGGCCGGTTTTCACGTCGGACATGACCGTCCAGCAGTTTGCTACATTTACTTACGCAAGCGACCAGGTGTTGATCGCTTTTACAATGACCGAGCGCGGGGATTTCAAGCTCCAAGTTGTCAGTGGCCTTACGAAGATAAACTCCGGAGTCCCGTATTATTTTTCTATCGTGCAAGGTAAGCATACCGTCTAGTGTTCTGTATGACATAACTCACGGCTTGCACCGTGCAGAAGCTCCGAGCGTGCTCAACAGCACCTTCAACGGAACTGGCATCATAGACTCCACTGCCGGGGACCTTACTACGATTTCCATCACGCTCAGGGACCACTTTGGCTATCCAGTCGTGACGGACACAAGCCTCATCGTCGTAAACGCTTCGTCAATGGACGACACCTTCTTTCTACTCGCGAAGGTTTTCGAGCTTCAAGCAGAAGATGGAAGGTACGTGTCGAACTACACCGCCACCGTCGCTGGCGATTACACGGTTTCCATTTCATGGTCGGATGTTCGTCTAGTTTCTTACAACAAGACCGTCTCTCCAGGTACTTCCTCGCATTCTTTCTAAAACTTACATGAGTTTTTCTCGTATCTCAGGTCCTCCTTTGCCAGAGCAGTGTGTCGCCAGTGGCGATGGTCTCTCGGGTGGCGAAGCTGGAACGAATCTAGAGTTCAACATCTCAGCATACGATCGGTTTCGCAATCCTTGTGCTCCCGGCGCCATCTCTTTCATCGTCCAGTTCGATCCACCGTTCGCAAGCGTGGCCGCAACTTGGGTTGGAGGCCAGGACTTCTCGGTGAATTATACCATCTGGAAGGCTCAAAACTACAGCATGACTGTCATAGCGGTGGGTTCCGACGCTCAAGTGCCACTCCCAGGCAGTCCTTTCCCTGTCACCATTTATCCAGGTAGTACTTCCAACTTTGCAAAGTTTCTCTCTTTTTGGTATAGCCGCGATGAAAAATTCTTCCTCCAGGGCCGCCGGACACGACCGTTGCTTATGTCACCGGCGAAGGGGTGTCAATTCTAGCATCGGTGCTTAAATGGAACGAAGTCGTGGTGATCATGGTGGACGTCTTCGAGAATCCAGTGACGGTGGACAGTTCTGGCTTTAAACTCAGTGTTACGGGACCTGGAGCTTCCACTTATCGGAGCTTCGTCCTTCTTTCGCCAGGGAAGTATCTTGCCTCGTACAAGGTCCCTTCGCAAGGATTCTACGCAGTCACGGTCTCGTACGAGGATCTCCTTCTTCCCGAGTGTCCGCTCAACGTATCTGTCGGCTCTGGTAACGCATTTTGCATCGGTCAAGTATTTGCGTTCTTCTTACTCTGCTCACTGCAGTTAAAGAGACAGCCAAAGATTTCAGAGCCACGATTTCACCTAACACCAGTCTACCTGCTGGAGAGGACGTGACCGTCACCATCTTTGCGAATTACACGACCAACAAGACGATGAAATTCATAGTCGAGTTGGCGTCGGAAGAGCTTACGGTGGGACTGATACCCGACGAACGCAATGGAAAGTATTCTGCGACCATCAACGCTACGCTCTCGGGCTCGTACATCGCTGACATTACCCTCTATGGTTCGCAAATCAAAGGGACATACACTCTGCAAGTCAAACCAGGTAAGTTGGTTTCTCTTTTTGAAGTTGCAAGCCAGTTTCTCAAAGCTTCATACCTCCAGGTGCTGTTCACGTTCCTCTCTGCGCTGTTATAGAGATGGCCGCAGAGAGCATAGCTACAACCGGGGTTCCAAAGCAAGTGAGAATCCAAACCAGGGATAAATTCGGCAACAATGCTTATAGCGACGTTGACGAGAATGGAAACACTGTGACCTTCGTCATGATCCTCTCGGGCCCAACCATGGAGGAGTTTTCGATGGACTACGTATCAGAAGGGATGTTCGTCGGTAACTTTGTGGCTCGCGAGCCCGGCATTTATGACCTCTCCATCATGGCTGGCCTTGTGGATATCAGCGGCAGCCCGTTCATGGTAACTGTGTCCTAGAGAAGAGGCTTGGAAATTTTGTCACGAGACAAGCACTTATTATCAGCGAAACTATGAAATCTTACAGCATACCGATCGACGATGGCGCTATATAGTTTCTACACTTGGTTTGTGCTGGTGCCTGCGCTTACGAAAAGCTTGGCCCATTTGTTACAGTCAGCGCCAGGCCCGTCCCCCTATACAGGAAAATCGTCGTCTGTAAGGTTGAGAATTCTTTGCTGAAATAAAAAGTAAGTTTCTATTGCTCCAACCTGGACTGAGTTGAGCTCGTAAGTTTGGCCACACGTACACTCGAGGTCCATTGCTTGGATGCAGGCTTCGGCGACCATGATCCTGCTAGCTTCGCCAACAAGAGTATCACCTGTGAGAGAACTTCGGTCAAAACTATGGCAAGTATTAATTTCTCGACCTTGGCCAAGGATAACGTCGCGACGAGTTCCTGACGTTGCCTTTAGCAGCGTGTTCAGATCATACGATGTGTAAGGTCCGTCTGTTAGTCTCCCTGGCCTGTGGAAACCTCGTGCTCGAGAGGAAAATCTTCATGAGAGTTTGAGAGTTTAGCACCTGATAATAGTGTACGGGAGTCCAGAGCTTCTCAAAAAATCTTCACCCATTTTTTTGTACTTGAGCACTCCAAACAGGTTCATGATACTGCGGTGCCCAGCATAAAAGTTGAAAAGGTTGGAAACGCAAAGAACTTGATCGAGCTTACTTCCACGGCAGCTGATCGCATTTTGTAACTCCAACAGACGAAACCAACACAAATCTCTGGATGGTTTTGGGAACTGCAGCAATGAGATTGCGTACTCCCATCCAGTCTGCTCGTGGAAAAAGATAAGAAAAGTTTTTTCTTCAAACCAAAGACGTACCACTTCAATCTAGCACCTGTTTGTTCCGGCGTATTGTCTCCAGCCCAGCGCTTGGATGGAAACGCGGTGGTTCCTGTGCAGCATAAAACATGAGTGACACCCTGCAGCCAAATGATAGTTAGATCAAGGTAGTCGTAGAAAAAAAAAGAGAGATCACCTCGAACATGGACGGAACAAAATCTTCTGGATTCCTTGTATCCCCAACAACAACCTGGTACAAATTTTATCGATGGTTTCACCAAGAAAAGATAGAGAAACAATTTTTTGAGAAGAGCTTGCAATACCTGTAGCTTATCGCCAAACAACGATCGAGCTTTCTCAGCATTTCTCAGCAGCGCACGAACTTCTACACCTTTCTCGAGCAAAGACGCGACCGCAAGCTGCCCTGAATGGAAAAACACAAAAGTTTCGTTCGGCAGCGAAGAAAAGAAGAAAATCTCGATAAGAACTCGCCTACACCACCAGTAGCGCCTACAACAAGCACAAGCTTCTGCGAATACCGCGAATCCGTAGCTTCTGGAGCTGGAGAAGCCGCGGCGGCTACCACACCGCGGGGCTTGCAAAACCCTAGGGAGCTGGAGCGCAATCTCTTTCCAGACCTTGTGAAGCCGAGAAAATCCAGGCGCCGAGACGCTGAAAAATCTCTGGAATTTCTCCCAATGTGAGCGCCACGGATTCTTGGCTGCGCGCCCAGCGCCACAGCCGCTAGCACAGCCATTCTCCTCACAATGGGAAACGAATATCCAGTTTTCAAACTAGATAAGCATCTTCAACACCATACAGAGAATATGCGTTTCCCGGCACTTTTTGAAATCCAACTTGTTTCTAGGGTTTAGTTTTAGGGCTGTGGCTATGGCGGAGCCCGCGAGAATGCCGATGAGCCCCCAAGTGATGGTACGTGTGTTTCCACTGCACTTGATCCATTCTTGAGCTGTTATTTGGCGTAATTCCAGTCGCTGTTGAGGAAGCTCTCAATCAACACTTGGTTGCGCGCGCACGGCAAGTTTGTGAGGCCGGAGCTCACGAAGAAGCAAAAGCAGGAGCTCAAGGAGTGCTTTGATTTGATTGATCTCGATGGCTCTGGTATGTTACTCTTTCCTCTTATAAAAATCTTCTTGAGCTTTAAAGATCTTCGATCACTAAGCGAACTCTACCTCTAGCATTTCTTTTTTTTTTTGCCAAAACTTTGTGACTGATCATAGACTGTCACTTACTTGTTCGATGACAGCATTTTTTTCTCAGGTGCCATCGACAGCGACGAGTTGCTGACAGCGTTCAACGTCTTGGGAATGCATGTCAAGCGGTCGGAAGTGGACAGAATGCTGGACGAAGTCGACGAAGATAAATCTGGTGAGGTCTGCATGAATTCACTCGCAGCATGACGAATCTGCCTGGATCACTTAAAGTTTTCTTGTAGGTGGAGTATCCTGAGTTTGTGCAGATCATGACCACAAAACTGGACTCCCAGTCCAAAGAAGACCTCGAAGAGGAAGGTTGGAGTTAGAAACTTGTGCATTCTCCACCTTGAAAAGCTTCGAGTTTTTGCAGCCAAGCCCAAGGTTCAGCCTCTCCCTTTCCAATTGCTAGCACAAGCGTATCGTCGAAAGAAGGTAGTGCCTGGCCCTCGTGCTTTCCTCTAACCTCTGAAAGCTTTCTAGCAGATGATGGAAGCCGTCATGGGAGGAGACAAAGCTGCTCAGCAACGTCTGAGAGCAAAAGCTGATGAAGCAGAGTCTGAACGCTTGGCTGTTCTTGCTGCGATGGAAGCAGAAAAACAAAATCCGGTAGGAAAATCATGTTTGTGTCTATATATCTCGCTCACCTTTCTTTTCACATAGGCTCTTGCGTACAAGGAGCCTGGACGAGTTGATCTTCAGCAGCAGGTTCTCTTTCCTCTTCCTTCAGCTTGTTTTTTCAGTCACCTGATCTTCGAAAATTCACGTCTTTCAACCTCTTCCAGAAAGCACAGCTTCGAAAGATGGGTACGTTCATCCGAACTCACGAATTGTTCACTAACACTGCTTTCGAGTTTTGTGTAGATGCCGGCTTTCCGGTCTACATTGCTGACAATATCGATCAGGACGTCAGAGATGCGCTCTTGGGTGTTCATGAAGTGCCGAAGTTCACCATCAAAAGAGAGAAACCTCCTCTTGTCAAATGTAAGAGCTTGTGATACGTGCGTAGCATGGGATAAAAGGCTTGCCCTGGTTCCAAACAGCCAGTCATCTGCCTTGTGGGAGGGAGCTAAGGCCGTTTACTCTAAGCCAACACATACGAGAAGTTTATCAAGCCGAGCTTATCGACGTGAAGAAACGTCGTGCTGCTGTAAGATATATAGACTGGACATACCTCTTACTTCATGATACTGATGAAACAAGGACGCAAATCGTTCCAGGTCCGCCACAGGCCAGTGCTGGAGCAGCAGATGATCCATCTCAAGGCTTTGAAATCCATCCAAGAGATTGCTGAGAGGAACAACCGGAGGCTCTTCCGTTCGGCTTCGAGGTGTGGCTTCGAGACGGCTGCTGGCAGCAACAAGTTCAACAAGGCGAAGTATTTCAGATCAGCGTCCAGCATGGAAACCAGATTGTATTGACTCAAATCACCCGAAAAGCTTTAGCAACCTCGATTCAAACCTGTAAGCTTTCCAGCTCGTTCTTTTTCTCGCAACTATCTTCACCATTGATGACGCTATCCACACTCCACTGGATTGTTTTTCCAGCGAAGATTGGAACCACTGTCCCCGAATCAAAGCTATACGCTGTTCGCACGCACCAAGGCCTCTTTACCAGCGTCACCGTTTTCTTGTTCGCGGGAAGACCGTTTAGGGGAACAATGGTAGGAAACGAGGCCTCTTCGAAAACCTGGGCGTAGAGAGGTAGAGCAACCGCGCTTCTTTGGCTCTTTTCTCGTGAGGACCAAGGAACTTTTTTTTGCTCCCGCTCGTAACAGCCTTGATCCTGGTTTTTGTTTTCGTAGCTTGTCCTGGTTTTTGTTTTCGTAGAAATCTCATTGAAAATCCAGCACAAATAAAAGACTTTCTCGCTTAAGAACTGGGAGACATAGAAGTGTGGTTGCAAGCCGCGCTGAATGATTGCGTTGCGATTGAGTAGCAAGTGCTGTGGAGTTACAGTAGCAGCCACATTTCCTGCGAGGCCGAGAGAAACCACGAAAGAAAATCTACAAGAAATCGCGTACCCGATGTAACGCTCTCCACAAATCGCGAGTAGTGATGTGCTCCATGACCACCTTGAGCTGTGGAAGCTTGGTGACGAGCAGCGAGAGAATTTTATCAACGAAAAGTTTCTCGCGATCAAAGATACCGACGCTGGTGTCCGCCACCTCACCGAGCTGCCCTCCTTTCATAAGAGTGAAGAATCGTAGCAAGCTTAAGAAGATTCCGTGCGGGATTATCTGGGATACGTTCGATCGGCGTGCGCATCTCTGGCGCTGCTCAATTCCGCGATTCCAGTTACTTCTCACTATGGATTCTAATTATGGTTCCGAAAAGGCGTGAGAAGAACAAGAGTAAGAACTGTAGCGCGAGCTAGACTCTAAATGGGCAGGAGCACATATAGATACTCTACTAATACTGAATCCTCGGAGTTAAAACGGTATCAAGCAGTTTTAAACGTCTGGATATGGGTACCCTAATAACAATTCATTAAAAACATTTTTTATTGTAGTTTGATTTAACATTTATATGTAAAACAAAATATGTGTCAAATTTCATAAAGGTGTTCTACAGAGAAGAATAACTCCATAAAAATTTTATTATTTCATTGAAGAAGGACTTGCAGAAAGTAGCATATATCTAGCATTTAGGCCATGTATTGAAAGAATGAATAAAGAAGAAGAAAGAGTGAAAATACAAAAGCTTTAGCATTTTGGAGCTCAAATAAATTATTGATATGATTGAGATATTAATAAATGAAAAGGCTGCAAGATGAATTTATACATTACATAATATATGATTATTTGTATTAGATGCCCATAAAACTTTGTTTGGAAATTTTGCTTCATAAATGACTAAATTACAATCATTTTGAACTGTAAAATATGTTGGTAAAAAACATTCAAATTTATTATTGCAATACTTATTTGAAGACCATAATAACTTCTCATTATATTTTAAAACTAAATTCCCATTATTTTGCAATTTTAAAATACAGTCAAACAAATTCATAAAGGAATATGACTTATCCCAAATTATCCTACTGTTTGAATAAAGTATAAGAATACAATTCATTTTTAAAATTAATATATTCCTACCATTAGGTGAAACTAGAAAACTATCACTATAAATAAATGAATCATAATATAAAATACTAGATCTTATATCACAAAATACTGATTTATCATCAAGACTCTTTATATTTAAAAATGTTGATAAAGAATTAGAATCATCTGTTTTTAGATTATATTTTAATATATATTTAGTGCCATCTTTTAGAAAAGAATCTGAAGAATATAAGTTTATAGTGTCTATTGTGAATGCTAATAAATTTGTTAAACCTCTTATTATTTTATCACCTGTAATAGTTGCACCTGTATTTTCTACAGAACATTTATCTTTGCATTGAATAAGTACTGAAACAATTCCTTTTGAAGTACTAACTTCAACCTCATCTCCATAAGTTGTAGAATAACTTTTATCTCTATTAATTTTTTTTAATAATTCATAAAACGCTGTAATAGCTTTACCAATATCATGTGGACTTAAATAGTTTGTTCTTCCAATTATAGGTTTCTTTGGAGCGATAATTTTATTTAATTGTAAAACCAATATAACTATAATAAGTACAGTTTTTATTAATCTAATTTTATCCATTTTAATAACATTGAGACATTTGTCAAATATAAATATTATCAAGAACTTGTGTCGAGAAGAAGAAGACAATGAAAAAATAAAAACAAAGATGAAAACAAAGACAAGAAAAACAAGTAAGATGAAATTGTGTTGAATACTATAATACAAAGTCTTAAAAACCTTACTTTTATAGCTCTGAAATCTGCTGGTCAAACCTCTAATTAATCGAGGAACTTAGTTTAGATATTAATAATGAACCATGCATCTGTATGAGAATTCTTTAGTTTCAAATCCCATGAGTAACATCGAAGCCATATGTGATAAAAATAAACTTATTGTATTAAAAAGTAGTAAGAATATTTCTATATTTGCTAAAGTCAATACGTTAAATTCAAGTTGTAATTCTTAAAAGAGGCATTATCTTGTTATAGAGTGTGATGCTTGGTGATAATAAAGTTCAAACCAATACATGTATCTCATCCCCCTGAAAAGTGTTTCCTCCAACTTGATTTTCTTAATCTTACTGAATTAATGATTTTGCTATTTTATTAATGAATATTTTACAACCTCCTTTGTTGTGGTGAAACCAGTGAGAGCTATACGCTCATTCGGCAAATATATATTAGCATAATAAATTTGATGTATTGGAATCTGTGTACTGAGGACAATCACTATTACATTAAAATTACCCAGCAAATACCAACTGTTTACCATTACCTCTCTTTTAGGTCAATCTCTCCTTTCAATGTCCCACCTCTCAATTTTCCTTGCACCATGCTATTGTAACATTATGACTCCAATCCACCTTGCTTTTTAAAATCCAAAGACTGTTCCCATTCCTTCTGGTTAAGAATACTCTCAAAGTCCACATTGGAAGAAAAATATGTTAAAATGAAAGACACTTTACAAATACGTCTTTTAGGCTAGTTCTTTGCACAATCCATGACCCCATAGAAGTAATTATTGTTGAGCTAATCATAGCCCATTTCTCTCTATTAGAAATTTAAAACAGAGAAAAGAATAAATTCTACACGTTGCATGTAGCAACACTTAGTTTGCTTATTCTTACTTATTAATCCAATTGATCATATAAAGTTTATAATTATAAGCATATTTGTAATTTATAAACCTAAGATTAATCTTATTGCATATCAACCATTAGATGATAGAATAGAAAAGAATATACTACAAAGGGTTAGAAAGTTTATAAATTATAAACATTTTTATAAATTATAAATATAAGATTAATCTAAATGAATAACAACCGTTAGATGGTAGAATATCCTAGAATATCCAAGCATATTCTAAATATATTCAACTATCCCAGTCCCCCTACAGATTTGCTTAAGCAAACCAAAAATGAGTAATTCAAAGCATTTAATTATAGACCACAAAACATAATTATGGTTCTAATTCTAGCCACTCAAACAATATCTAGTATATGAAAAAAAATTAATTTTTTTTAGGGGGGTTGATAATCAACTTATTGAACTAGCACTTGGAATGCTCATTTTCTTTTATAAGCTTGCATTGGCTGATCCATCTTTCCATAAGTTGTGCTTAGTTGCTATTAGTTTTGATAAACTATTTCACAAAGGCAAGGATCAATTTCTATTGCAGTTGGTTCTCAAGAAGCATAAAATCATTCATGCTGCTATTGCAAGAATCTCTGTGAGAAGGAGATTTTTCCAGTTAGTAAAAAGATTTTGGTAGCTTGTTAACAGTGTGTTAAAATAGGACATATGGCAAGAAAATCTCAACCTTGAAGCAAAAGTGTTTGATGAGCTTAAGAGTCAGCTCTACAAAGTGTTCCATAACAAATTAGACTGGCCAAATTGGGTGGACTACATGCCAATGTCCACAAGAGCTCTCAAGGAGCAGAACTCATGGCCAAGATTAACAGACTATGCAACTAGAGCACAAGAGGGTGGTAAGTATGCATGTTTCTTTGTCTCTGATTCCAATCAATAATGTTTTCGTATTTTAAAGGTCCAAAAGGGAGAAAGCCTGGTGCAAGCTGTGCAAAGAGGACAAAGACAGCAACATAGACTCAGCAAGCATTAAGGTGTAACAACATGGAAGGAGAAGACAATGGAGAGAATGAAGTACAACATAAAAAAAAAAGGAGATGATGAGGCATAAAGTGTGGCAGAAGATGGAGAGGACAGAATACAAAAGGACACACCCAGCACACAACATGGTAAAAAATATAAAAGACATGACTAGTCTCCTACATTTAAAAACACAATCTCAGTGAGAGAGTTGTGAGCTGGACCTAATGCTTCTATAAGTGGAGAGGAGGTATAACCAACACGAAAAAATGTGGTCCAAAGTTTGTTCTCAATCTCTTAGAAGAGAATGCCTTAACAAGTATGGCTATCACGATGGGGGAGCTTAGATATCTTGTCAACAAAGGTGATCTCATCAGAAAGAAGCTGGCTAAAACAATTTATGAAATCCATCCATACAATAGTTTTCAATAGCAGTTGAGAAGTGCGAACATCAAGTTTGCCCCGTCGAGTGGGCACAAAAGATACAACCCATTGCGCTGATGATTATCACAGTTGGCATAGCCACACTGCAAATCATTGATGCTAGCCAAGGGGCTTGAGAGACAGCTCTAACAATCGTTTGCTCAGCTCGGCTTGGGGATTGGGGAGCTCTGAGGCGGCTGTGGGAAAATCCATCGCCATTGCATGGGGGAAGAACAGATTTCTAGAATTCTTTGGTCAATGACAGAAGGCGGGTTTGCGACAGCTGGTACGTGCATGCAAGTAGGGCTCCATTGCTCCTCCCACCACGAACGATTCTCTCGATATTCTCTTGGACATATGCGCTGCGAATACAGTGCTTACAGGGAGGCAGACGAATTGCATGCGAGTCTTCTCTAGAAATTTCACCCATGCTATGCCAGATGTGATCATTTGTGCCTAACCCACCAAAACATCCACAAAAAGTTTCACGTAACCATGTCTGGCCTAAACTTAAAATGCGAAGTTGGTTGGGAAACAGTTGTTTATTATGCCGCTCTCCAAGAGTAACATCCACAGAATTTAACGTGGACGGTCGTAGAGCTTTCTTATGGTTCTTGGGGCAATGGAGCTCGACGAGGCACTGAGCAAGTTGATTGACAAGTTTTCTCTTGCTTTTGTTTCTCCCAGATGATGTTCCACAAGCTGCTCATTCATCCATAATTGATGAAGCCCAGCAAGCGAAGATGAACTAGGTGCGATTCGATTTGTAACCATTTCTATAGCTTTTGTGTTCTTCGCCACGCAGGCTTCAATGTGGAGAAGATCAAAGCAATTATCACTTGTGATTTCTCTCACTTTCGATGTCCGATTGTGAGGTGACGTCCGAGTGAGCGCGCATCACCCCAAGAATCATCAGCTTAACGCGTCAACCCCATCGTGAGGTTCTCGTATGTGTTGGCTCAGAGTGAATGGTCTTATCTCCCAGGTGATTGAACCCACGGTATGACACATCACAACTTACATCTGACAAGAGGAGGTTTCTCTCTTTTTGATGGTGAACTTCGGTACTTCATGAACCCCCAAGAGCGCATCCCGAACATCCTGGTTGATAGTGTCAGCAAACCAGAAAGCCAGCATCTATACAAAATTCGAAAGCATTGTTGGTAAACACTTCGTGAGTTTGGATGAACGTACCCATCTTTCGAAGTGCTTTCTGGAAGAGGTTTAAAGACGTGATCAGGTGGCTGCAAATACAAGCTGAAGAAAGAGGATGCTGAAGATCAATCCGTCCAGGCTCCTTGTACGCGACAGCCTATGTAAAAAGACTATGTGAGCCTATCATCTGATAGAGAACTTCAAGGTTAGAGGACTACCTATACGCCAATTAGAAAGAGAGGCTGAATGGAAAAGGAACAAGTTTCTAACCAGTTTTGTAGTCATGATCTGCAAGCTCGGGATAACAAAACCAAAAACTAAAAGAGAAAAACTTCAGTAATTCAGAAAGTCGCCATGCTGCGAGTGAATACATGCAGACCTTACCACATCTTTCTTCATCGGCTTCGTCCAGCATTCTGTCCACTTCCGATCGCTTGACATGCATTCTCAAGACATTGAAGGCTGTCAGCAATTCGTCGCTGTCGATGGCACCTAAGAAAAAAAACTTCGCAAAAGAGAGAAATAAACTGTCTTTGTGATCGATCTTTCAGCTCAGCTCGTATGCCTCATGCGCAAAGATTTTTGTCAGAAGAAATAAAAAGCGAGAAGAACATTTTCAGATCATCGTCCAGCATGAAAACAGGATTGTACTGACTCAAATCACCCCAAAGCTTGAGCAACCTCGATTCAAACCTGTAAGCTGTCCAGCTCGTTCTTTTTCTCGCAACTATCTTCACCATTGATGACGCTCTCGACACTCCACTGGATTGTTTTTCCAGCGCAGATTGGAACCACTGTCCCCGAATCAAAGCTATACGCTGTTGGCACGCACCAAGGCGTCTTTACCAGCGTCACAGTTCCCTTGTTCGCGGGAAGGCCGTAGAAGTTTGGACCGTTTAAGCTTGTAAACGCTTCCAGCATGTCGAGAGCTCCGGCCTGGAAACATATCAACTCAAGAACAATGCTAGGAAAAAGAGAAAGAAAGGAATCGAGACTTGCCTCTTCGAAAACTTGAGCGTAGAGAGGTAGAGCAACCGGAGCACTGTAAATTCCAGCACACCCGCAGGACGCTTCTTTGGCTCTTTTCTCGTGAGGAGCACTGTCGGTACCAAGGAAGTATTTTTTGCTCCCGCTCGTAACAGCCTTGATCAGTGCTTGTCCTGGATTTTGTTTTTGTAGAAAACTCATTGAAAATCCAACACAGATAAAAGCAAAAGAACAACTTACTGTGATGTTCTCGCTTAAGAACTGGGAGACAATAAAAGTGTGGTTGCAAGCCGCCCTGAAAGATTGCGTTGCGATTGAGTAGCAAGTGCTGTGGAGTTACAGTAGCAGCCACATTTCCTGGGAGATTGAGAGAAACAATGAAAGAAAATCTACAAGAAATCGCGTACCTGAAGTAACGCTTTCCACAAACTCCACGGCATCGCGAGTAGTGATGTGCTCCATGACCACCTTGAGCTGTGGAAGCTTGGTGACGAGCGGCGAGAGGATTGTATCGATGAAAACTTTCTCGCGATCAAAGATATCGACGCTTGTGTCCACCACCTCTCCGTGCACCTAGAAAAGCTGGAGGTCATGCCTTAGCAAATCAAAGAGTAAGAACCAAAAACGAACAGAGTTACCAGTAGAGGCAAGGAACTCCTCGCCATTTCTTCCAAGACTGGCATACATTTTCCAAACAAATCCGTCACTCCAGCTTGCGAGTTTGTAGTCGCGCCAGCGGGGTAAAGCTTCACGGCAAAAACAGCTCCACTCTTCTCTACAATTTTTTTTTGTCTCTTCTAAGAATCAAATAGAATGTGGAAGAAGGAACTTACTTGCAAGCTTGATCTCCGAGGTGGTAGTGTGATCGGTGAGATAGAGGGTCATCAAGGGGGTGAAAGTGGAATCCGGTGGAAGAGCTTTCAAGATTCGTTCTCTGTAAGCCAGCGCTTGAGGAAGTGTGGTAATGGGAGGCTTCAAATTGGGCATTACAATAGCGCGCTTGAACACACTCGCACTGCTCGAAGAAAAGAAAGAAAGAGCGCTCAATCAAACCAAATCCAATCGAGGAGAGAAAGAATTCTACCTGTGCGGCGCTACAGATGCAAGGCCATTGCCGTCTCGCAGGTGAAGATGCCAATCATCGGGCTGGACGATCGACAGTCGCAAAGAATCCATTGGAAGGAAATGAACCCTAAAACCCTAAAACCCAAAAAAACATTCACAAGAAGTTTTAAAACTTCAAATTGCGGTTATGATCATAATGCCCATAACAAAACATACCATCACATATTTAATGTCAATGGGATAAATCACACTTTTATATGTTTTGTGATAAGAATTAAACAAGTAATAGATGTTAGCCTAAATTTGCCTTCTTTTTTCCTCCAAAAGATTGCAATACAAAAGCATGAATAAAACTATATAGTCACTATACAAATATGCTATTGCATTCATATTTCAAATATAATAAGCGCATAACAATATAATAGTAAACATAATTGCATTATTACATTGGGTTTTGGTTGTGCTTACTTTTGCTATATGCTTCATCACCTTTCAATCAATTAAAAAAAAAAATTGGTTAGTTACTTTGCATTGAAGTACTCAAGCATTGCAAGTATAAGCATATCTCAAGCTTCAAACAAACATGTATTCAAAGACTCTAAAATATAGTTTATCAAATGTTCAAATTATTACATTTCAAAAAATGCAATTGTTTAGTATTTTGGCTCCATGACAATTTGGATTTATCATGAATCTTTGCTATAGATGCATTAAGATTTGATGGTGTAAGAGTGTGATATCTTTCCAAAGTAAGTGAACAAGTTGAGATTTTTAAACACTTTCCAAAAGTTTTCAGCAAAATGCTTTAAAAAATCCATGCAAGATGTTAAATTAGCTACAGGAATTTAGTTTAAAACTAAAGTGGTTAAAATGTGTATTTAGGTCTAAGGATATTGGAGGGTTTCCTTATTAATTCTATAAAACTTGTGGTTGTTTTAAAGTTCCTTACTCGGAGATATATGAATAATGTGAAACTCTTCCTTGGTAAGATGCAATGTTTTGGTCTTTTTAATTATCATATTGCATTATTGCAAATATTGTTGAATTGTTAACATTTCACTATTGCTAGTGTTGCTTAAGTTATTAACATTATTTTTTGTTTAGTTTAAGTTGGTATTTTCAAATCTTAAAGAAGTGTTAACAACTCTTCTAATTGTGGTGTATCCTAACTATATTTGATCTTTTATTTTGCATGTGAATGCTTATGATATTGATTTTGGAGGTGTGTTGATGCAAAAGAGAATAGATGGCACTATTATAGAATTTATTAATCTTGAATCCTATCACTTGCTTAATTTGCATAAATGAATGATTTTTACCAAGTCATGCAATACTGTAAAGATAATGTTATGGCACTAGTGTCATAGTGATAGAATTGGAGTGTGGATGGAGAGGGAGGTAGATGCTTAATTAGTGTCATCCTTATATGTTATAACTAGCGGTGGTGAACTACTCTATGAATGCCTAGTAGCAGTTTAGGATTTTAAGAAGTTTCATGCATACTTGCATAGTTCTTAGACATTATTAAAAGGTGATTATGTTATGGTTACTTTATTTTTAAAACAAAAGAATTTGTGCATACAATACTTTTGATTATCAAGGAAAACAAAAGAAAAGAATGATATACACAAAACTATATATTAAATTTGCAAGCTAGTTTGGAAAAAGCTTATCTTGGTAAAAGAAGTCCTTGAGCTTGCAAATGAAAATTTATCTCACTACAATTGTGGCATTATGACAGTTATGACAGCATTGTGGTGGGAAGTTGTAAGGCTGTGGCAAAGCACTAGGGCATTAAGGCACTATGGTGGCTATGCTCGTGGCCATGGCAAATGGCTGTATAGCCATTTTGCCATGACTGCCATGCTAGAGCTGCATCATCTTGGTGTTGGAGGATTCAAAAGCTTGGTGATCTACTCCTTGATTTAGAGTGCCACAACTAAGTATGATCTAATATTTACCCTAATTTACAAGGATAAATGTGACTAAGTGTTACACTTTTTAGATAATTTACTGTAAATTTAATAATTCATTTGATAGTTTTTAATACATTAATTGAAAATTTTAAAACCTATATACACACACACACAAACACACAGATATATATACTCCTAAATTTGAAATTATATGTTGCGTATGTCCTTCTTGTGAAGTATCCATGAATGGAGGTATCCACTATGGGACTATGGTATGGGTGGATGAGTAATTACCTCATATAGAATAATTAATTTACACAATAAAAGTATTAATAGATTCAATGTGGAAATGGAAATACTGGTTCCTCTTGGCTAAATAGAGTTTATTAGTCAATAGTCAATAATGATATTGACATCTCTGAAGGGGGGTTGAGTGTAGCACATGTGATTATGGGATAAGATTTGGATATACTATTACTGTGGATCCTTAGAACCTTGGGGAATATGGAAATAAAATAGCCACTAAAAATTCTTTTATAAAGCAATTGCTTTTTTTTCAGTTAGCTCAAAGGAGTGTGGACCATACTTGAGCTCAGAAGTTGAAGAGTTGAGCTCACTTTTCAATTGTAATTTAGTACAATCATTATAAACTTTAAAATATTAAGGTTATAGTGGACTTAATAATTTTATAACTCTCTATATATTATATAGATAAAAATGTTCTAAAGGACACTTCAAGTTCTAATAAATTAAATATTTACTACATGCTATAATAGGGACATTTGTTAGAACATAAAATAAAATATTTACAAAAAGAGTATTCTTGTCACTTTCTTAAATCTATACTTTGTGCTTTCTGGCTAGTAAATGTCAGATTTTTCAGAATTTAAAAATTATTAAATTTGAATTAAGATTCTATATACAGCCATATAACCCATTTGAAAGGAAAAAAAAAAAAAACCGTTGATGTAAGTTTGTTGCATATATAAAAAAGACTTGGTTCTTTTTTAGAATACATTTTTGAGGGGTTTGCTATAGTATACTATCTAGAATTTATAGATCTTCACTTGCACTTTCATTCAAAAAAAGAGAAATACACACAAATGTCTATGGGTTTTACTGATGGTAATTTTAACTCTCTAAATTTAAAAGCGGCCAACGGGGCAATATTTTTTCCCAGGGTTCAAAGTTAGGAAATGCAATAGCTATCCCACTACACATCATAACCAAACCACACAAGAGAAAGAAAAAGAGGATAGTGAATATAGTGATCATGAGTTGGAGATAAATGCAATGATAAAGGGTGTTATAAATTAGGTGAAAAAAAAAGTTTCCCAACTTGTTTTAGAAAATTGCAATTCTATGACTTTAAAAAAATTCCCTATATGTTTTTTTGCTTTTGGTGGAAATAATGGTGATGATCACTATGATAGTATATATGCTCTCGTGACATATTGCAACATCATGCACCCGAAAGACTACTATGAAATATTTTTTGAGATGGTAAAGATAGAAGTGGAGACACACAAATACTATAGGCAATATTGCGAAAAGAACACTAGCAAGTATATAAAATGAAAAGTGAAATGATAAAATATTTTTTATTAATTATATAAAGTATAATAAGTTTATATTATTGATAGAGAATAAACATCGATAGTCTTGGAAAATTTAGCTAGCTCCAAAAGTATTCTGCAACTCAGCAATAGTAAGGCTTGTTTAGTGTATATGAATATCCACTTTAGGATCTTGATGTAAAATGTTGATAAAGATGTAATATATATGCTTGCAAGGAGCATATACCTTCCTATGTTCCTCATGCTTTATAAAGTCTAGACATGTGTAAGAAGAAAAATATTGAATAACAATTATGTATTCTCCACCATTTGTTTTGACTATGTACTCTTTTACAAGTGTACTAATGTACTTTGTGGAGAGAATTTCACACTCAAAGTGTTTGAGCTAAGTATATTTTACTTTGCTTCTGCTTGGAGACAATACCAATAAATTTAACTATCTTACCTTTTTTTGCTTGGTTCTATCACTCATGTCTCCAACTCTCGTTTTAGGATTGAAACCAAATTTCTCAAGGTTTTCAATCTCATCTGAGGTGAGTGCAACCCTATTAACAACCAGCCATTCTTTAGGTATTACATCAAGTTTAGTCATTATAGTGTCTTCAAGCCGCTTTGTATGATTGGCATCAGTGTTGCAACAATATAGCCAACACCATATTGAAAATTCTACTTATTTTCATTCCCTATGGAAACATGGGGTGGGAATAAAAGCAAACTTGTCACTACGGATCTAAACTCAACACTTGCCCTTTAGAAGTATCCCTACACATTTTACATTTGATTTTGTTAGCACTCGACAGATTGCATATTACTTCAGCTCTACGTTATGATAAATAATTTCAACCTGTTGTGATGTACTATTTTTATCAGCCACTTGAGGTAGCTCAATCTAAGGCTGATATCTTGGAGTAGAATGGTACTCAACATCAAACTTGTGAAAGCTTTTTGCTCCAAGATCCGTGCCAACTTCTTCACTAGCAAAGGAAAAGTGATGCTTTGAGCAAATGATCTTTATTTATATCACCAATAAAAGCATGGGGAGTGTACTTTATAGATGTGCTACAGACCACTTCCTCCACTACAGTTACCACTATTTGTGCTGGTGGAATCACTTTCTTTTTCATCTGATCATGTAACATCTTAATTGAAGGTCTTGTTCCCATATATCTTCCTTCCTCAAATGCTAAAGCTTTTGAAGAGTATTCTATAGCACATATCAAATTTGATAGACATGCTTTGTATAGACTCATTTTCCCTTTCCCTACCTCAAAGGAATGCCAGCTCCAATACTTACTCTCTGAGAGATTCACAGTTGGGGTGTATGCAAGATCCTCAAGTGGTTGGTCCTAAAAAAAAGATAATATTAAAAAGCAATAAAAAGAGAAGAAAAAAAATGTTTAAACTAACCTAAAAAGAGTGATGTCTCCATTGAAACATTCTAACTTCCCACCACTCTAACCACGACTCAAGTTGTGGTAGACAACTTACATTCATATAGCCATCTTCACGCCACCACATTCAGATCTCATTTGCTTTTGCCTCATGCTCTTCTTCAGAAGGTGCAATTTACCATTGTTTGCACAACTCCTTAAATGTTAATTGGAAATTTAGCTTGATAAAGTGGTAGT